ACCCCTACTCCCCCAGCCCAACCCAACCCTTCACTCGTTTTATGATACTTTTATCACATCTTTTCCCACTCTATCATCGCTTTTTGTTTGCGCGTTTGCGTGTTTGCTTGCTTGCTTGCTTGCTTGCTTGCTTGCTTGCTTGCTTGCTTCTCCTTATTGAATTAACCAACCCTCTTCACTCCCTCCTTTTTCCGCCCTCCTGCTCTCTCGGGAGCCCGCCCTCGAAGTTGATGAGATAGCTTCTCATGTCGTCTGCCGGGGCCTACGGTTCATCTGTCACGTAGAACAGCCTGTAAGAGCATAGGCCCTCCAAGATGATCTGGCGCCTGTCTGGTGCCCACGCCGCCCTCCCCGCCAGCGTTGCCCTCCTTTTCTTCCCCCTCGTGGTCGCTCAGCAGCAGCAGCCTCTCGCACGCAATATCGACACCCCACACGAACTCTTTCGCAACACACACTCTCAGCCACACTTTCAACCACACGCTCACCCTCACCTCGCAAACCCAAACGATGCGAGCGCCCTAGCGACTTTTGCTCCGGCGGCCTCCAGTTCCGCCGTTCGAGCACCTCCTGCCCAGACTGCTGGTCCGATTCCGCAGCTCCAAGCGCGGTCGTTGCAGGATTGGGAGGTCGAGGACTTTGTCCTCCTGGCGACCGTCGATGGGACCATTCATTCGAGAGATCGCAAGACTGGTGCTGCTCGGTGGGCCCTCGAGATCCCGAGTAGCCCAATGGTGGAAACAATCTATCACCAGTCCAATCGATCTGGGTTTGCAGACGTGCAACCCGAGGATGATTTTCTTTGGATCGTGGAACCTAGTCGGGATGGTGATCTTTACATCTACAACCAGGCCCCAAATGGCGGTCTTCAGAAGCTGGGGCTGACCGTGAGGGCTCTGGTTGACGAGACTCCATATTCAGGAATAGATCCTCCAGTCACTTACACAGCAAGGAAAGAAACCACCCTGTATACGGTAGATGCGCGAACCGGTGCGATTCTCCGTGTTTTTAGTTCTCGAGGTTCCGCTGCGACAGAGCAGAGATGCCGGCGAGTCAATGACCTGGAGGTCCTCGATGATGATGATGATGATGATCATGATGATGGTGGAGAAGAATGTGAAACAAGTGGCACCCTCACCATTGGCCGTCTCGAATACGTGGTAACTATTCAGAACACTGAAACCGGCAATCCTATTTGCACCATCAAATACTCCGAATGGGCCCCCAACAATCGTGATGTCGACCTCCAAAGCCAGTATTTTCGAACGATGGACGAACGCCACATCTACAGCATGCACGACGGTGTCATCTTCGGGTTCGACCACTCAAAAGTAGATGGACGCCGTTACACCCAGAAGTTTAATTCCCCGGTAGCACGCGTGTTCGACGTTGCCCGTCCTGCTCGTGTTGACTCGGCTGACACCTCCCTGGTTCTCCTTGCCCAGCCGCTGAGTCCCCCGGATGCCAATGTTGCTTTATCTGGCCCAGAAGACCGAGAGTCTCGTGTCTTCGTAAATTGTACCGAGAATGGTGGCTGGTATGCGATGTCAGAATCCACTTACCCTCTAGTAACAGGGCGTGCCAGACTAGCAGAATGCTACGAGAGAGACTATCCTGCAAATGAGAAACCGTTGATGAGCCACAGCCTTGCTCAGCAGAGGGCTGCTCTTGTCGGCGTTCACTCGCTCAATGAGCCATCAGACAAGTATCAACGAACCATTCCCAGCATTTCAGGGCCCCCAACCGATTGGTCGAATGATACCCCCCGAGATATCGTGAGAGTTCCAACTAGGTCTCCTCCCCAACCTACCATTAGGCCCCACGTTCTAATTCAAAAGGGATGGGACAATGTGGTTGATGTCATCGTCATCCTCATACTCCTCGCATTCGGAACCTTCATCTACTTCAACACTCACAATTTACAGGAGCTTGCGAAACAGAAACTTGATCTTAAAAACGTTATCTCTATCAATGGGAAGCCCTTGTCTACGACACCTTCAACGCCTATCATCACCTCAACGCCGACAATCCCGTCCGAGTTAGACGAGACAAGGGTTCCATCCAAAAATATAGATTCTCGTCACACGTCGGAAGTTACTTTTGATATCAGCACCCCAAACTCCGATGAGGGGAACACAACTTCTCGGCCGAATCCACGAAGTTCGAGAGCTGTTAATTCTACCCCTAAGGTTAGAATTGAGGAACCTCACCAGAATAATGATGAAGACGACGACGTGGAAGAGCTTTCCCTGCTTCAAACCCCCGAGAAAGCAAAGAAAAAAGCCCGTCGTGGACGACGGGGTGGTCAAGCCCATAAACGTGGCAAGAAGAACCAGAATCAAAAACAGGGGGAAGAGGGGGACGTTAAAACTTCCGCAAACCTGGAATCCGACACCGACAGAAATGAGCCTGGTAAAAATCTGGGACCCGAGAAGCAAATTGTAAGGAGTATCTCAACAGAAATGATGGAGATGGATGGATCAATTAGAATCGGTCAATTGAAGGTTCATACCGATAAAGTTTTAGGGCATGGCAGCCATGGAACTGTGGTTTACAAGGGTTCATTTGACGGTCGGGATGTAGCGGTTAAAAGGATGTTGGTGGAGTTTTATGATATTGCGTCCCACGAGGTTGGTTTGCTTCAGGAAAGCGATGACCATAACAACGTCATTCGATATTTTTGCCGTGAACAAACTGCTGGTTTTCTTTATATTGGGCTTGAGCTCTGTCCTGCCTCATTACAGGATGTAGTTGAAAAGCAGTTTGATTATCCTGACCTTGTCAACGGGGGGTTGGATGTTCCGGATATATTATGGCAAATCACTTCCGGGGTTCGGTATCTCCACTCATTGAAAATTGTCCATCGTGATTTGAAACCTCAAAATATCCTTGTGACGGCACCGAAACTTCGAACCGGTTCAAGTTCTCTCAGGCTTCTCATCTCCGACTTTGGTCTGTGTAAAAAGTTGGAAGACAACCAAAGCTCCTTCAGAGCAACAACTGCGCATGCTGCTGGGACGTCTGGCTGGCGTGCACCGGAACTCCTCGTCGACGATGACCAAAGCGTTGCGAACCCTGCGACCTGGGATAACCAGAGCGCTGACTCATCTGAGCCGGCGGTAGTTGATCCTCAGACAAACCGACGAGCGACACGTGCTATCGATATCTTCTCCCTTGGCTGTGTGTTTTACTATGTTTTGACGCGAGGCGGGCATCCATTCGACAAAGATGGCAAATTCATGCGCGAGGCGAACATCGTTAAAGGATATCACAACCTGGATGATTTACAGAAACTTGGAGATTACGCTTTTGAGGCAGATGATTTGATCAGGCAAATGCTGTCTCTGGATCCACGACGTCGGTAAGTCTGCATATAACTGTGTTCTATATATGCTTACAGTGGTGCTTTAAGCTGATAAAGAATCCAGTCCTGACGCTACTTCTGTTTTGCTCCATCCCTTCTTTTGGTCGCCCACAGAACGTCTTAACTTCCTATGCGACGTGTCAGATCATTTTGAATTCGAACCCCGCGATCCTCCTTCTCCTGCCCTTCTCTGCCTCGAATCTGTTGCCCCTGACGTCATGGGACTGGATATGGACTTCCTCAAGATGTTGCCCAAAGATTTCAAGGACAGCCTTGGCAAGCAGCGGAAGTATACTGGTTCAAAGATGCTTGACCTACTGCGTGCTCTTCGCAACAAGCGCAACCATTACAATGACATGCCGGAACACCTCAAAGCCCACATTGGAGGGTTGCCTGTGGGGTATCTCCAATTCTGGGGGGTGCGATTCCCTAGCCTGTTGATTAATTGTCACTGGGTTATTTTGCAGTTGCAACTTACCAACACAGAACGATTCAGACGCTACTTCACACCCCCTGCGTAAAAGCGATGAATTCAAGATTCGCCTATCTTGAGAATCTTGACTTGATTATATATATTTCACCAATACTAATTCTTATTGTACGGATATGAGATATGACAGCGGGTTGACGGTCTTCTTCATTACAAAAACCAATTCAGGAAGCTTCAGATTTTGTGGTTGGCAGGTTTTCTGACTAGATATTTCTGTTTTTTGGTTGTTTTTCTTGTTCATTTCTCCCGTTTCTGACACGCCTCAAAATCTCATGTTTTGGTTGACTTTATATATGGAGTATTTAATTTCTCACAACTGCATGGTTTTCAGCCTGATAGATAAATAAAATAGTAAGCGATATTCTAAATGAATAACTAGAGTTTTTTTCTATTTCCTTTCTTTTTTCTTCTTTTATTATTTTATTTTATTTTATTTTATTATTTGGTGCTCAAGCAGCCATTGATGAAGGACGGGGCCTTCATATAATATTTATCAGATAACTCCCTCTGGACAGGCTCCAGCTCATCTCCCGTCCCTGTAATAAGAAAGAATATATGGAGTAAATATTTACCCCAGAACTTGCTCCGGAGTTGAGGTTTAACCTTATAATTACTTTATTATTATCCGTACTTAGTCCAGATTTAGCGGCAACCGCTGCGCCCTCCCGGGTACCGCGAATCACCTCTGGGAGCTCCGGGACATGTACGCAGTAGAGACATCTGGCTGAATTGAACCTGTGTTGGTTGAACGGTTCCTATTTGTGGCGGCGTCTCTAGCCCAGAGTGTCAGACTGGCCGGTGGCCTGGTTGAGCAGGATATCTTCAAATTTGCACGTTGACTAGAAGCTCCAACGGCCTTCCATCAACCTCGAAATCTTCAAAATACTTCAAATCCTTGCAAGCCACCACATAAACAGCGACAACAACAAATAACAGACCGTAGCAACACGTCGCTTAATTCATTGCCGTTCTTTGTGTTCATCCACCGGCGCTGGCTATCCTGCCCTTCTCTTCTCCTGTTCTTTGTTCATCGTCTTCTTCTACTTCTATGCATACGTTGAACGAATCTTGTGCTGAATCCCTGCTCTCGAACTGCCTTGATTACCCTTTATGGCTCAAGCCTCCAGCCTCCAGACACTTCTGTCGCTACCTGCATCTGAAAATACTCATCCTCCGTCGAACCCTTAGCTTTACCTTAAGCTCCGTTTTCATCCATTGAAACCCCGTCCGAATCCTCTGCGAACCCATTACCCCCATCTGACAGGAGCCATCACAGCGGGAGAGAGACTTCCAGGGCCGTCGCCCCCGCTGCGACAATGGTTCTTCTCCGTTTGACAGTCAAAATCTTCCCAGGGGAGCAGCTTATTCAACAGCGCTCTACGCCATTTGGTGGTGGTGAGGACAGTGATGAAGAACCCTACAAAACCATCAGCTTCCTGATGGTGCTACCACAGCCCGAACAAGTGACATTGAGACAATTGGCTCAAATGATACAGATTAAATGGAGACAGCTTCAACCCAATGCCGAGTAAGTGCTATTTTTCTTTGTCCTTAGCTTCTTTCCCACTGGAAGCATTCCAGCTTTCAGCTCCACAAGAACTGTCATGGTTCTAACAGCACCCTTATCCTAGCCCTCTCGAAATCAAGAAGCTCGTAGATGACGAACATGAGAACGATGCGCTGGTTTCAGACCTGACGGTGGCCGATGTGTTTGTTGACCACGGAAAAGCCCTCGCTGATGGCCTTGATCAGAGAGGCGCGATACGTGTTATCCAAATGCCCGGACGTGGCCAACGTCTGAGCTCTGTGGTACAGGACTGGACTGCTTATCCCCACCAGCTTGCTTGCGCAAACCCCACGAAACGGTTACCCCCAGTGCCTCTATTCCCGGCTTCGCCTGCATCTGTGAGTGGTGCTGGCTTAATCACAGCGGGATCTGTCTCTGGCCCATCTCGTCATTCATTGCATCCACGAGAGTCAGGTATCTTCTGTCTCTCGACTGAGCGCCATAACGAACTATCCAATAAACGAGATAACCATACTGTGCCATCTCCTGTTTTGGTAGAGGATTCGCAGAAACAGTCAAGCCGTCATCTCAAGGGCAAAAGCCGAGGTACATACACATTCCTGCCCCAAGTTTTTATTATGCACAACTTTCTACAACTCTCTACTAACACACTATACGTTTCTCTAAGCATTACCCGGTGATGACAACTTCGAACGAAGGGAAGTTCGCGAATCTGTTGCACCCGCCCAGGCAAATAGCATGGACACTATGGCAACTCTCGAAGGTGCCGTGGAGATCGCTCTAGCAGCTCGTAATTCCCCCACCGGTATTTCCCTACCGTTTTTTCTTGAGATGACGGCTAACTCGAATTTTCCCGTTATCAGAGAGAGCGGCATTACCATTGTCGCGCCAACCTTCGCCACCAAGTGTTGTTGTATTCACAAAACACAATATGACGCCGCCGCCGTCTTTGAGATCCAATTCTAAACTTCGTTCTGCGGGTGCGAAGCCAGACAAGCCGAAAGCGACGTTACCCAAACGGAATCGGGAGGAAGCTGAGGATGGTATCTGTCTCATTCCATCCACCGACGTAGAGTCTGAGAAACCTACGAAACCTCAACCTGCCAAACGACGGTCACGTAATACTATCAGCCGTACCGATCAATATATCCTACGGCTAAATACGGATGCTGCTGCTGCTGCTGCTGCCGCAGCAGAAAAGGCTGGGGGGGGAGAGAACAACGAGATTGACGTTGACAGCAATGCAGGTGGAGATGAGATAGCTCGACAAGCTGAAGGAGACGACAACATCGTTCTCGACGATCAAACCACCATTCGACGTGGGACGAGGAGATCCAATCTCCGCGGCCCGGGAAGAAAATCGATGGCACTCGAACTTTCCCTTACTCCCGATAATTTGAGAGAAGCCTCCTCAGTGTCAACCCCTGAGGCGACAAAAGCGCCAAGGATTGACGTTCCACCATTTGTTATCGACTCGGATGCAGAAATGATTGAGGATCCCAGAAAACCTAATAATTTTACTGGTGGTCGTCAACTAAACAGTTTTACAGCTGGAGGAAACAAAGCTGTTGGTGGAAAACTCATCGAAGGAACCATTGGTGTAACGACCCGTGCAGATTCCATGCGCACCGTAGACAGCGCACCCTCTCCTGTCTCTGGCAGTGCCATTCCAGCAAAAGTCGATACTTCCCGTAGCGAGTCTACCAATCCCATTGCATTGAGGTCGGATATTTCCAACGATTCTATTTCCCCTTCATCCGGCCATGGAATAGAAACCAAGCATATTACGACTCCCAAAAAGCCTCTGCAGAAATTATTCTCCGTTCAGATTGACCGATCTCAAAACCAAAGAAACGGCGCCAGTGCATCTGAATTACAGAGAGCAGCTGGGCGGGACGTCCTAGATCTAACAAAAGACACTGACAACAATCGCGGATCTCTATCTCACATTTCACCTCGTCGACTACCCCCTGGTCCAGGACAACTTGGTCTTGGAATTACTGCATCGCCACCGAAAGGTGCTGGAGCAATTTCAACGAGCGGACCAGGAGCTGTGAGTGATAATAACAGCACCTCCAAAACGCACCTGTCGACCACCACTCCACTTCCCTGTCCTAGAAACCAGACCCAAACAGACCGCCGAAGTTCTCTCTTAGAGCCTGAGGGAACGGCGCTCGTTGATCCAAGTACACCCATCCAGTCGGCACTACGTTCTGCCCAAAAGTCATCACCAAGAGCAATGTCTACGCGGCAGTCTGTTTCATTCTCAGACGGCCCGAAAGTTGAAAACGCGCCCACTCCTGCGTCTGCCCCTCTAGTAAGGTACGGAAGCAGCGTTTTCCCCGCCCATGTGACGGATGAATATGTTGCACGGGTGCAACTAGGTGCAAACCTCAAGAAGAAAATTGAGAACGGAAAACGTCAAGGGAAGAGTGAAGAGTATCTCCGGTGTTTGAACAACGCTCTCGATCTGTCAAATAATATTCACGCTGCCATAAATTTTGGGAAAGCCCATGACACTTCCAAGTACCAGTTGAAGCTCAAGAAAGTCCAGAAAAGAATTGAGGAACATCCTGAAGATTGCTCTGAGGAGGGTCGCCCCGAAGAGGAAAATCAGTACGGGAAATTGAATAAAAGCGATGAAGATGCGGCTACTACAATTGATATGGGTCAAAACAAGTCACGGCCCCCCACTGAGTTGGATGCTACATCTGGTGAAGGCTCTCCAATCTCTAGAAGGTCCTCCAGAATTAGCAACTCATCTAAAGCGCCAACGGATACTTCAGCCATTGGACCTGCTCAGCAATCGCGTTCATCTCACGACATTCCTTTTGAAGGCGGCTTTGAAATAGCACCAAATTCTCCATCTGAGTCTGAGGATGAACCATTCGGCAAAAATGGCGAACAGGCAAAAGTCGCTGGTGAGAAAAATGAGTTGAAACGAAAGAGATCCAAATCGGAATTTATAGGTAATCCTAGTGGATCTGAGCATCAACCACCCCACTCCGAGCTGCAGTCCTCCAAAAAGGACCCGGAGCCAGACCCGAAGAAAAAGAAATCAGATACGTTAGAGAAGGGCATTTTGAAAAAGCCGGAAATGCACAATAAAATGGTTTATGAGGAAAGTGTAGGCGGCCAGTCATCGTCCTCTGACTCTGACTCTGACTCTGACAGCGATTCCGATTCCGATTCAGGCTCGAGTCCAATTATTCCCAAAGCCCGGGCTCCTAAAGGCCTTCCCCTACCCGCCCGTGTAGGGGTAGCGAGAAAGTTCATTACTCCGTTTTCCAAGGTCAAGCAAAAGTGGCCTCCCGGACCCGGCTGGCTTCCTGACGAACCGTCTGGTGGGGAGAACGAGCGAACCGCCGGGGCTACCAAATCTGGAACGCCACCATGTTTTCAGCCTGTGTTTAAGGCCAGCCAGAAAGCCTCCGAAACCAACGGTGAGCTTGGTGTTAATCGCCAGCGCGAAACGCTGAAGTCGCTTATACAGCGCCATAAAGGAAGTGAAGATGAAAGCAGTGCCAAAAATGCGTCTGAAAATGAGAGTTTGCCGAGCGGTAGTAGGTTCAGCCGTCTCAATGGCTTGTTTCGCAGCGCCGGACTATACTAGTCAAACCAACGATCTTCCCTTTTTCTTTTTTTCTTTTTTTTTTTTTTTTTTTTTGTGTGTGTGTGTGTGTAAATCAGGCGATGCCGCGGAAATTGTGTATGTGGTTGCCAGATCTGAATGCCATGTTTATTAGGTGTTCAGTGATTTGTCCGATATTGTCAATGGAGTTAAATGGAGCTGGAGCAAAGTACGACAAGTATTTTAGCAAGCGAATATATTAATGGTTCGGTAGAGATTTTTTTTTTCTATTTCCCTCTGTGTTGTTTCTCTTACTTTCCCATCCTAATATCCGAGACCCTTTTCCCTTCTTTTCTTTGATTATTCTTCGTTAGCTCTTCTTTTCCCATGTTTTCTTTTCTTTCCAACTACCCAGAGCAACGAAAACAAATGAGCCCAGAAGCAAGCCTCAACAATTTTTGACGATGGTGAGAGATAACATTTCGTGATAATTTAAGAAGGAAATCGGAATGAGCAACTGCCAAGTGTCTTTTATCTCTCTGAAATGTTTCAACTGAAAATTGTTGTCAACTGCATAGCAACTATTTCCTTCAGCCCAACCAGCTAAGTAAGGTAGACCTTTTTGTTTTTACTTTTCTTATACCAGACTCAGACCAAATGTACGATAGGACTTCAGGGTGATTTCATCAGGCTGATAATCTAAGTTAGGTTGAATAAACCGCGGGTGTAGTCAGTGGCGAGGTGGAGAGAGAGAATGTAGTAATTTCGTATGTCGGTTAGGCTCAATGGCAATTTAATTCAAATTTCAGTTCTCAAGAAATAAACAACACGCGGTGTTATGCAATGTAACTTTTGTAAGCCACCTTAATTATTCCAAGAGAAGGGTGGAAAAACACAAGACACGAGAAATTTTAAAGGAGATCAACCGTACTGGAGGGTTTAGGGAAAATTCGCTTCATTACGAGGTATATCTTTGCCCCCAGCGCCGTCCATCCATCCCTTGGGAATAGGTTCTATATCAACCAACCAGCCAAACTCGTCCAAAATATCACCGGTTTGGATTCCCTTGAGTGTTTTGAGGAGTTTCTTACAGACATCGCCACCTTCGGCAGCCTTGCCAGCGTCGAAGGTAAACTTGTCATTCTTGGACTTCATCGTGATGCTCTTAATGGGCACCAGCGCAGCAGCAGTACCAGCCGCCATAACCTCACTGAATTCCGAAAGCTCTTCGTATCCCACCCTCCGGCGCTCGACCTTGTAGCCAAACATTTTCACGCCAATTTCGCACACGGAGGTTGCCGTCACCGAATCAATCACGTTCTTGCTGTCTGGCACCACAAGGGTAATGGCTCCAGAATCTTTGTCCTTCCTCACGCCAATAAAGGCAGAGGTCGAGAACTCATCAATCTCGGAGCGCGTCTTGCTATCCAGATGTAGGGTAATTCCATAGCCTTCAGCACGCGCGCTATCGCTATGGCGGAGGACGGGTGCATAGTTGCCACCGACCTTTGCGGAACCTGTGCCGTCGGGGGCAGAGCGGTCGAAATCCTCCAGGATCAAGGCATCCACGGCATGAATGCCGTGGTACACACCCGTTGGCATGACGAAAACGACGAAGGTATATTCATCGGGCGGGGAGAGACCCAGTTGGGGGGAGGAGCCGAAAATCAGAGGGCGGATATACATAGCAGCACCAGTTGAATGCGGGGGAACGAATTCTGCATTGGCGGAGACGGCGAGTCGAACGCATTCGAGGAAGAGCGATTGGGGGACGGGGGGGATGGAGATGAACTCAGCGGAGTGCTGCATACGGGCAGCGTTCTTCTGGGGCCGGAAGATGGTTATGCGGCCGTGGGCCGAAGGAGACGAGGCGGAGGGAGCATGACGGAAGGCTTTCATCCCTTCATAGGCTTGCTGGCCGTAGTTAAGGCCTGGGGCCATGCCATGGATGGGAATATATGGGGAAGCAACAAAGCGAGGGGCACTCCACTGGGGGTTGGCTGAGTGAGAGAAGTGAGATTCCACATGGCCGTTGACTGCGATAAGGGGTGGTTGTTGATATTAGCAAGGCTTGGATGGTTCCAGATATTTGTAATGTTATGAGAAGGTTGTTTGGGCGACTGTGACTGAGCTGTGTGCAGTTTTACAACAAGAAGAAGAATACATAAACAACAATATTTATTACGAGGGCAGGACAAAGGACATACCTTCACGAACTTTAAACCCGACATTATCCCAGTCTATACAGAAATGGATGCGCCTTGTCAGCTGTGGTCTGGTCCTTTCTCTGATGCAATGAATTGTCCCACCGCTGGACGAAGAGTGAATCGAAGAAACTATCTAACGAACCTATCGAGTCAACTGGCGGCGGAGGAAAAGACGAAGTCATGACGAACAGGTCCACCGGTATGAACCAGATATCTGGGCAACCCGAGAAGCCAGGTTATATACGGGTTGAATGTTTGATGAATTGCTGTGGGAGAAAACTAGAGGACGCGAGGGGGCGTTCGAAGAAGCACAAGTAAATACGCATATATTTATGATTTATAAAAATATTGCAACCCAAGGTGGGGCAGGATGGGAATCCAGCAGCGCAGGCAAGTCAGGAGGAATAGATAAACATGCAGCCTCGGGTCTCCGTGGACGTAAGAACCAACCTGCGGGTATCTGCAGGCTCTGGTTAGCTGGCCATCACAGAAATGGAATTTGGACGGATTGCGTCTTCGTCTTACGAGACACCTGTATGACGACTGTTCCTCTCTTTGACCCACCAGCAGCACACGGGCGGGCATGAAAGGACAGTGTTGTGTGTGTGTGTGTGTGTGTGTGTGTGTGTGTGTGTGTGTGTGTTGCATGGAAACTCTCCAAACCCCGGGTGACGTAGTAGTTAAAATAGTTTGTTAGCCACCGACCTTGCGGAGTACAAAGGACAGGAGCCTGGCAGCGGGCATTTCCAGGCGCTGTAGATATCAAGTAATGATAGAAATAATACAAATGCCTGTGCCCGACAGTCAGTTAAACACCAGTCGCTGAACAACTGAAGTCGTCCCTCAAACCAACTGAATATTTTCGATCTGTTGGATCTAGTTTTGTTTTGTGTTTTGTTATTATTTTTCTTTTTTTTCTTTTTATTTTTCTTTATTTTTATTTTTCTTTTTCTGCCTCGTTTTAGGGCATGCCTCGTCACCTGACCTGGCTGAGTTCCTCATTATCCAACGATAATATTATATTATATAGAGAGTAACTAAACATTGATCCCGTCACCGTCGCCATGCAGCAGTTCTGCACAAGGCTACTAACTAACTAACGACTGCCTGCTCAATAAGTTAACTGCCCGTCCACGGTTATTAACTAACTAATCAATATAGTTGGCCCCTTTGGCTTAGTGGTGGAATGCTTGCAGGCTGGAGCCTCGTTGAAGCACTTCGCCAGTTTGTCGTTCAGCCACGCCCCATCCTCCTTGCTCCCAGTGGGTGCTCCAGCCCAGTCTATCATTGTTATTCAATGCCCCGATCAGCATTCACCTTACATCCTTGACAGGCAGGACTACCCTGGCCCTTGTGGCCATTTTTTTTTTTTTTTTTGGGGGGGAGGGGGGGGGGAGGAAGAAGGGGGTGTGGGTGAAAACTTACGGCCCCAGACAGTTGGGAAGGCATCAAGTTCGCCAATTCCCGGCTGCAGATTTGCGAGCTCATACTCCGAATCTTCAGGTCTGCTTCGTGTTAAATCGTTGACAGATCGTCATGGCAATACAAGCGTCGGCTTGGATGGTTAGAGCTCGAGGGGAAGTCACTCACGGGAAATACAGGTCGGTTTTACTAGGCAAAATCAAAGTCCTGGCCTTGATCCCCTGCAGTGCAGCCTTGAAGTCGCCATTGTACGGTTCCTGCTTAGAGATGTCGCCGTTTTGCCACGTCTGTAGCATGACAAGCAGGTTCTCCGGATCTACTCCAGATGGTGTCAGCCATTTTTACAGACCTCCCCGCTTAACAGCCAATTCAGCTGTGATTCTATGCCATTCCGAGCTATCGATCATCTGCCACCCCCGCCCGAATTTATATACCTTTGGCTAGGAAGAACGATTCCCAGAAATTCACCATAAAGTCTTCGAGATCTTTGAATCCGAGAACCGTCTCATAGAGCTTCTGTCGGTAAAAAGTTTGGCTAAATCCCCTTTAACAGTGGAAACGATCGAATTCACATGTCAGATACCGCCAGACACTTTCGGCTCCCTGCAGATTCGACTTACCAGCCAGCATACACTCGGCCAAACGCTTTCAGGCCAGTTTCTTTCTCGACCCGAGTCCATGTCCTATACACGCTGTCATGTCTCGTGGACCCAACCTCCCCCACCCCAGCCGAACAAATCCCCTTGGCGGACAATAAGGCGCTCTTGACGCCTTCTAGGAAGACTTGGTTGTGTACGGATGTTTTAGCTGAGCCGCAGAACGGAACAATGATGTCCATAAAGTCTGGATACTGCGTCGCCCACTGGAATGACTGCGCCGCCCCCATAGACCACCCTATGACGGCGCGTAGATGGCTGATGTTAAAATGCTTGGTGACGAGCTCATGCTGCGCCCTCACATTGTCGTAGAATGTGATGCGAGGGAATTCTCCAATCCCAGGGGCGTTGGAAGGTGATGACGATTGGCCGTTCCCAAACAGAGCTGGGATAATGATGAAGTATTTATTTGGGCTGAGTGCCCTATCATCACCAACCAGCCACAGATTATCGGCAATAACTACGAAGGAAATGACAAGAGGGTAAGTGTTGGTATAGCCCAATTCGATCCCCTTTCCACAGGCAAAGCGCGGTTCTATTGGGCATGGCAGGTACGGTGTATGGATTAAAAATCATTTGTGGCAGGGAATACATCGCATGGATGTATTTATGAGTGTGGGGATATGGGAGAATATGGAAAAATGTACTTCACATACGTCCGGAATACCAAGTTGGATAGACAATTGTGGGAAAGCCCAGTTCGCCAAACGTCTTGAACGCAATATGAGCATTTGGGATGATCTGCCCGCTCTGGAGTTTCCAGTCGCCCAGAGGGAACGTTTCAAAATCGCCTGGTGATGAAGTCATCCTGTCCCGTGTCCTTCCTTTGGTATTGTGCTGCGCTGTGCTGGATTGTGTCGGATTGAAAAGTGAACCCCGATTGTACCTACCCTGGATATCCTCGGCCGGGAGATATCGTCATGCTTGGTTGCTGACATGTAATTAGTGGGGAAGAATGGATGGCGTCCGGTGCCGTAGACGCTTCATCCGGCTGAACACGCTAATTGCGGGGCTTAGGACCAAGAACGGAGCAAGTTCTTGTTCAGCTTCAGCTGCTGCGAAGAACAGCTTTCCACCTCCCACTCCTCTTGATAGCTAAATTCCATTTTACTATGTCTGGAACAAGGAACGATTCTTGGTGGATAGGTGGCGGAATTCCCCCGGGCTTAACACCAGGTTTCTCATTAAAAAATGGATATATACAAATACCCCCCTACCCGCGGCGAATCTAGTAGCCAGCTGTCTTAAAAAGCACTACCGTGCAGCAGAGACGTAAATAAGCCACGAATGCTGAACAATGATTAGTGAAACCAGATTCATCAACAGTTAAATACAAAATGTTTATGGCCCAGTAAGAGTTGTGAAGACAGTTATTCCGTCCATGAGGGAGCGGAGGTCTGGCACCATCGTAAATGTTGGCCGCACGGCGGAAGCAAAAGTTTGCCTTGGAAATGGATAGCTACCTAGGTATTCACTCATTTTGAGGATCGACTTTGTTTCCCTACCGCCGCAGAATACAAAGGTCTGCCAACACGCAAAACCCACAGGGATATTCGGAAGCTCTCGCTCATGACCTCTCTCCCTTCAACGTTCGTATTCTCGTCGTAGAGCCCGGACAGTTCCGCGCGCGAGATTCGCAACACGCAGCGGGAACTACGAAACCATACGAGGGTTCTCCCCCCAAGTAATGCTCAGAGATGATTTTTCGTAGCCTCGACGGCAGGCAGCCAGGGGATCCAGTGAAGAAGTTACTAGACTTTATAGAAGTTGTCACTGGGACTGGGGTGGGAGAGGGCAAGACTGGCTTCCCACGACTGAAAACACGGGCCAAGGTGGAGGAGTCTTTAGTTAAAAGCTTACTTAGATGCCTTTTCGAGAGATTGTCAAGAGTTAGTATGAATTTTGATCAATCCATGACATGACCGCAATGATGTTAGAGTTAAGATTTTGTTTATCACTAGTTAGTCTAGTTATATTATGTTTAAACACACAGAATACAAAGTTATCATTTCTAAATTTATTTAGATCTCGTTTCTATCATAAACCATGCAACAATCAATGGAATCAATAGCGACGAAGCCGCAGAAATGAGCAACCACCCGTGGAGTTGAACACCATTCGTGAAACATTCGACTAGCATTTGAGAGATATTGCCAGCTAGGTAGGGATTGCAGTTGACGCACGTCAGATAGTTATCTACACCCACCAGCTATGGAAATGCATTCGTTCCAAACGAGGTAGGGTAGCCTCAGCCCCAATCCCAGAGGTCCACTGCGTTGGCAGTTTGCTGGGTAGAGGCCCACTCCCACGACGCTGGATAGATTCTGCTGAAATAGCTACAATAGTTCTCTAGTATTCTAACAGCTAGATAGTTAGCTAGTTGACTAGTTAACTAGTTACAAGCTCCCTCCCATGTGCGCTAACTATTCATCTACGCTACATACTGACATGCCCCAAACATGAGGGACATGTCTACGAAACAGCAAGCGTAACTCCCCAGAGCGCTGATTGAGCGAATTCCATCATCTCGCAGCGATGGAGGACTGTGTATATATGATACAAGCTGCCCCTCCTGGATTGGAGACGGCAACACCACTGGTTCTCATCCACGACGGCGGGGGAACTACCGTTTCGTATTGCTCTCTGAATTCCCTGGACCGAGTCGTATATGGAATACAGAACCCGCAGCTTTATTCCGGCGAACCCTGGGAACATGGCCTTCCGGAAATGGCCAGGGTATATGCTGATTTGATCCTCTCGGTTGTGCCATCGGGACGGCTTTTGCTTGGTGGTGAGTAATGGAGCCTTTTAGCGAGGGGACATACAATGGCGTGCTGATAAGGTTCTCTTTCTCTCAGGCTGGTCGCTAGGTGGGATCTTGTCCCTCGAGGTGGCCAATATCCTGCTGAGGACTTCATCCTTAAGCATTGTCGGGATGGTCATGGTTGACTCCATTTATCCACTCGCGGTTTTTGAAGAGAAAGCCAACATAGTTGGGTCCCAGCCAGTGTTTAGCAATGACACCCAGCCCGAAACCCGCAAACTTGTTTCGCAGTGCATGAAGTTGGCTCAACCTATGGCTTACAACTGGATTCCACCAATCTGGAGGGGATGCACCGATTCTGGATTGGCCCTCCGAAGGACTGAGCTCGAGCAGAAACTCCTCTTGATCGAACCGACGCTGTCGCGCAACGCTGGGAATCACAAACATAACCTTCCATCTATCCCCCAGACCATTCTTCTCCGCTGCGATGACTACGTGCCGGTTTCAAGACCAGACATGCCGGATGCCGTTTCTAGGGTTGATGTTGTGCGTGAATTTCCGGCGCTGGGCTGGGAGAAGTATCCCAATGACTTTACGCCCGTTATTTTGAGTATACCGGGTCATCACTTCAACATATTCACCGACGATCATGTAAGTTGTTCCTTTATGATTCGCCCATGCGATATGAAACTGGGTTAAGCTAGGAGCTTACGGAGCACGCTGAGATGAATTAGATTGATACCGTTTCAAGTCGAATCAAACAGGCATGCAAAATGCTCGAACGCTGGAGCGTGTGATGGATCAGGGCGGACTCCGTCATGGCCCGACTCTCCTAGAGCGAATCGGCCGGCTGTCTGTGTAGAACCCCGTAAAGAGTCTCGTCATCTGCCTCTCCATTTTGCTACAACTCCACTTCCTTCTCGGAAGAATAAGAAAAGGAGGAAAAAAGGGGGAAAAAAAGTTGAAATTCTTGGATCCTCCTTGTTGATTGGAGTTTACCAACACATGATTAGAGAATTGTATCTTCTATTCCTTCCTTTAACCCGCTTTGAATAGTGAGCTATATCCCAGCCACCCTTTAAAAATAAATGCATCTCATTATCGCTGTGACTGGCGATTATATTTAATCCATCATCATCATCATCATCATCATCATCATCATCATCATCATCATCATCATAATATCATCACCATCACACCACTACCCCGGATAAAAGTCTATTCGTGGGAGCCTTGTAGCAAGTAGGTCTCTGAGGAATCAATTTTACTGAAATACATGCATGAAACAAATGCTAAAATTGCGCAGGGCGAACTATATAAATAAATAACATCCCAGCAAAGGCTGCTGACATATCCGCCGAAATTGGGTTTTCTGCTAGGGGCGAATTTCCTAGGAAACTCTGCGGTTGAGCATTCCAACAAGGAAGTTTCCGCCTATTTCCCCACGGGTTGGCGTTTGCATCTCGCTAACTACCAGTTAAGTTAATTGTCAATCAACGTTTCAAAGAGTCTCTCCCTGTTGAGAGATCCTGTAGAAACTGTGTGTGCGCGCAACCGCCTGAAGACCTTGAATAGGCGCAATCCGACATGATCCGACACCCCCCTCGGCGGATATTGTCGCAACCTGGAGACCAAAAGAACTCGCAGTGGATCCCTACGGCTGCCATAGTCACGTGCTTCCCCGTGTGTGGGTAAGTCAGCCAGGCATTGATTGGGGGTCCAGTTGGTTGCAGTTGGGTAATTCAGCCAGCCAACTCCCCCCCCCATCAGTGTGGGTTTCCTGGGGGATTCGGTTCCTTGCGGGAATCAACACGCGGGGTTGTTCCCATGGATCACAATGTCCGATGGATTGAAAAGCCGCCCGGACTGAAATAGAAAAAAAGAGAGACACTGAAAGAAAGTTGTAAAAGAGGAGCTTCTGCGCCGTATGCTGCTAAAGTTAGTTACAACCTCTTTACTAATTAGTTAAGTTAACTAGTTAGTTACCTAGTTTTAACTAACTACGCGCCCGCACCCGGGTGGTTCGAGAATATAGTTATTAAGCTCTGCAGGGTATGGTTCCCCAACCCACCCCCCCCCCCCCGCAAAAAAGGCCCCCGCAACCTAAGGTTGCAAAACCGCTCCGAAACTCAGCCCTTGGTCTGGAGACTCCGCGGAGAGAGGAACTTGTTAGCCAAAAAAAAGTGGGGAGGGAGCCTTGGAAAACAAGCTCTCTTAGCCCTTGGCGCAATAATAGCTTATTTTTATGTAACAGCGAAAAAGGGCGTTTGAAGACATCCATGGGAAATGGAGGGACTGAACCTGCGAAATGGGAACTCCCTGGGGTCTCGCTGCTCCCCAAAACAAGCTCCCCCTTCCCCCCCCAATACCCCGAAATCAGATGTCAAGGTATTGGTCAATCGCTGATTTTGCCACTATCCCCGCCGGCCGCCGGACATTGCGCCATGTTCTAGCAACTCCCCTTCCTCCCAGTGCACGACACCGGTCTCCTACCCTCCAAAATAGAAAGACAAACCAAAAAAAAAAAAAAGAAAAGAAAAGAAAAGAAAAGAAAAGAAAAAAGAAAAGAAAGAAGAAGAGGAAGAAGGGAAAAAAAGAACCAAAAAAAAAAAAAAAGGGTCAATTGTTGGCCCAGAACTCCGGGATCCAGATTAATAAGGGTTGCCTCCGACTGACAGCGGTTGATTCATCGCCAAAAGCCCACCAAGCCTCGAGGTTTGTCTGGGAATCTCGGTATCGTCATCTCGGGAACCATGGCATTCCCGATACCTGTGCTGTGATAATGACTAATTGAATTCATTGGAATCCCCACCCATTTCTGTGGCTAGATGCTGGACACTTAAATACCTACTTCTTCACCTGCTGTTTCGAAATACTTATTTTGTCGGTGTTAAGTTGAAACCTCTCTAGTTTTAAACTATTTGAGGCTGGATTTTGAATAACCACCAAGGACAATTCAAAACAAGTCACAATTTGCGGCGGCGGGAAATCAACTGTTCTTCTGCCAGATAGCTCTTTGTGCATCCGGATACACGCATTCACCCGACTCATTATCACCTCAGTGGAGAGAATCCATCACTCCACGGAGCGCGGAGAGGGAGAGAGGTGGTTGTTACTTCGTTGTTACGAGCATTCTTCGAGAGCCTGCGGAGAAACTCAAAAAAAAAGCGTGCGAATAAGGTGTGAGGTCCCCATCATTACAGAGGTTTTCCAGGACCATAAAAACAGATGTAAGTTCTCCCATCGAGTTGAGCCTTTTTTTTTTTTTTTTGGCATTCATTCCTTGATCAGAGAGTCTAGATCTTAATATATACTAACTATTTAACAAAAGAGCAGTGCCATCGCTGTCTGGTCTCGCCTCCTATTGTATCCTCCATCGTATCCTTGCGTGTGTAACATCCTAGTGTAGAGCTTCGGTTCTTCTCTCGGAGGCAATTGTCTTTCTCATCTTTTCTTTTCTCTTCTCTTCTTCTCTTCTCTTTATTTCTATTGATATATTTATTTATATATTCTTAATTTTTCGCATTTGTGCATTTGTGCATCGATTTTTTTTTTTTTCCATTTGTCCATAAGGCCCCTTTCCCAGTCGCAATGGATACTAAAGACCAGGAAGTCAGAGATCCAAGCACGAACAGCAAGGGAGCATGGTCCGAGGAGAATGTTGGGGCCAAAGATTCCGGATACGTTGTCGGAGCGGAGATCGACGACCCGGACGCTGGCCTCAGCGAGGAGGAGAGGGCAGAAAACGTATGTGCTCCTTGATCTGTGACAAACGGTAGAATTGCGGGTTTTTCTCTTTGGGCTCTTTATGTCTCACACTGATATGGGCGTATAGGACAGGAAATTGCTCCGAAAGATTGATATGAAGCTCATTCCCTGGCTCTGTCTGCTTTATCTCGTCAGGTATGGTACTATGCAATGCTATCGCGCAATGCACACCATCGTGGTTGAGCGTCTTGACTAACGGAAATTGTCACAACCAGCTTTTTGGATCGAACAAATATCGGAAATGCGAAAATAGATGGATTGCAGGATGACCTCCGCTTGACAGACGGTCAATACAATGCCACGCTGACTATTTTCTTTGTATCCTACTCCGTGCTAGAGCCTGTCACCAACGTTTTGCTCAAGAAGATGCGACCAAGCTTCTTCATCCCCCTAATTATGTTCTTTTGGGTAAGCTAATCCTACTGCTCTTCTTTTAGTATCCATGTGCTCTCTTTCTGACATGTGGCTGGGACATCTAGGGTACGTGTTTGACCTGTATGGGACTGGTTACCAACTTCGCCGGTCTCATGACAGCTCGATGGTTTCTGGGAGTTACTGAAGCTGGGCTATTCCCGGGCGTTGGATACTTCCTCTCCTGTTGGTATAGGCGATGCGAATTTGGTATCCGCATGGCCATTTTCTTCTCCGCAGCAGCGTTTGCTGGGTCATTCGGCGGCCTCCTTGCCGCCGCTATAGCCAAGATGGGTGGTGTTGGTGGAAGACCTGGCTGGGCATGGATTTTTATCTTGGAAGGACTGGCCACTATCCTTATCGGAATTGCTTCGTTTTGGATGGTGCAAGACTTCCCAGATGAAGCAACCTTCCTGTCCGTGGACGATCGCAAGCGGGTGATTCGTCGCCTAGCTGCAGACAAACAGTCCAGCGCTGAGCACGAGGATTTCAAGATGGATTATTTTTGGGCAAGCGTGAAGGACTGGAAGACATACACCTCTGCCATTATCTATATGGGCTGCGACGGGGCTCTCTATGCGTTCTCTCTGTTTGTCCCAACTATTATCAATGAGCTAGTAAGTGCTGACACGATTTGCGGCCGCATATTTCTCTATACAGCTCCCTGCTAACATCAATCACAGGGTAATTATACGACTTCTTATCGTTTCCTTTCCTGCTTGAATCAACACTTTTTCCCGGGACTGGTTTGTAATTAACGTGTTCCTCGGTCTAGGGTACTCCGCCTCCAGAGCTCAACTTCTGAGCGTCCCACCATACGCAGTTGCCGCTGTCCTAACGATTACCGTGGGTTACATTGCCGATCGTACTCGCCAGCGTGGACTGTGCAATATAGCCGTTTCGGTGCTTGGCGTTGTAGGTTTCTCCATGCTCCTAGGCTCTCAAAACCCGACTGTTAAGTATGCTGGTACATTCCTTGGAGCTATGGGCATCTACCCTGCCATCTCAAATACGATTTCCTGGGCAAGTAATAACACTGAAGGTAAGGGATTTCTTGTCCTTTTCACCCTAACTTATCGCCCCCATATGTGCACATCCGTTTTTGTTCTGTATCTTAAAAGGAATATTATTTTTAACACTGAATATAGGTGTGTACAAACGTGGGGTCACGCTTGGTTTCGTTATTGGATGGGGGAATCTCCAGGGATGCGTAACGTCGAACATCTATCGAGGGCAAGATAGGCCGGAATTTTACCCAGGGCACAGCACTGTCCTTGGATATCTACTTCTATTCCAGCTGGGAGGGAGCGTTGTACAGTACCTCCTCCTCCGCAGGGAGAACAGGAAGCGGCGGTGTGGAGAGAGGGATCATTGGATTCAAGGGCTTGATGCAAAGCAAGTGGAGATGAGAGGAGATATGCGGCCGGACTTCATATATACACTCTAAACTCCAACGTGTGGTAGGAAGGGGTGGGGAAGGGACTCCAACGAAATATCTCTGTGTGCGTGATGATGCGTGGTATGTATCTCCCGTACATGGAGAGCACTGTGCATGACATGACTTGGAAATGGCTTTTCATCCTCATCGCATGTAGCTGATCTGCCAGTGGGGCTTTGCTTTCAACATCAATACACCAGCGCGGGTTAATGAGTCGACTACAGAATATCTAAGTTACTGATAAGCTGCGGGGAAATTTAACCCTCCAGCTGCTATCAGTTATTTGAGAATTCTTCTAGATTTGATATCGTTTTCTTTTGTTTTTGTTGGACTTCAGCACTGAGCTGAAGTGCCTCATGTACTCTTCTGTCATGATACTTGCAAGTCTCGTGTTCTGCTAATCCTATGGACATGTCCTGGAATGACAAAATGTTGTGTTGCCCTTTTTCATCCCTTTTTGAATAAACTAAACTGCATCTTTCTGCATAATGCATACATCATCTTCTCTTGCCCCATCATCTCGTTTTCATTTTAAAGAAGAAAAAAAAAAAAAGTCTTCTCTGAGATAAAATAGAATTTCTTTTCTTTTCTTGATCAATTTTCTCAAATATTTGATGTAAAGTAGTCACCTCTTCCTTCATACAATGCACTTGTTACTGTGCTTCATCTCAACTTCTTCATCTTTAATTTAAAGATAATTACTTTTCATTCGCTTCTTCTACATCTTCCTAACTTATCCATCTATGTGTTCTCCATTTTCATGACACACCATATCAGTCAATCTTCACTCTTCCTCCCAGACACATAATAATGCCCTCTCACCCATCTTTTGGGTTCCTAGTCTTATATAACAACTTCTGCCAACGCACGTCGAGACCCACCTGTTTAAGTTGGGCCTTTCGGCTTCCCAGTTCCCATTTTTGTGCATTTGCCGCTTTGCTTTCTTTCCTTCTCTCTTATCAGATAGATGTGAATGGAGTCAGATACCTCTATTCTGGAAGGATAACCTCGCCAGATTGTGACACGATATCAATGATGGTAGAGAGAGGCCCCACGGAGAACAAAGGGATGGAAGAGGACGAAGAAAAAAAAAGAGATAGTGATGGACAAAAGTCACAAAGGAAACTTCTTGATTGAAGAGATTGTACACAGAGAAGACCTAGGAAGGATAACAATGATTTATCAATTGACAACGGCGGAAGAATAAGAGTAAAGTGTACCATAATAGAATATGAAAAAAAGGGGGGAAATCCATCCTGTGTGATACACTCTATTGAAAAGAAAGGGGGAAAAAAGGAACAATACTAGACGGCAAAGTACATGTAAAATCTGCTTGACCATGGTAATGACTGGACAACGAGAACAGCAACATTGCATTTCCAGCTAAATGAAGACAACATGATGCTGCTTTTGTACTTTTCCCCCCTCTGTTTATTTCGTTCAAATGAAGCTCCGTCTCTTCCGATTAAACGCTCGCTGGTCTTTGAGCCATTGACGGTATCCCTGGATGCTGCCAATCTTCTCGCCATAGTAGTCGGGGACTGGGTTGGAATACGAATTGGCAGATGGATCCACGCGGAAGCGCTTTATCCGGCTGTAAAATTCCTTTTCTTTCTGTTATAATAAAAGTGTAGAAGAAGAAAGGGATTAGTCAGTAACTGGAAACTCATAAAATAAACAGGAAAAAAAGTGACGGGAATGGAGAAATAGAGACAAGCAAAAAGAGTCCCAGAATCCAAAGAGCAAATGAGAGATGCACACATCAACATACCACTGCAACAGCGGCCTTGTTTTTCCTATGTACAAGACCCCAAAGCGAATTGCCTAGTACCGGACCAAGCAACCAACCTAACGCCGCACATGAGGCAGTTGCCAGTCCCAAGACAATAAACGGATCAAGACCCAACGCCTGTGCACCCGTTGTATCTATGTTGTTCGCCACCAGTACCTGGACACCGCCGGCGGTGCTGCAAACGGAGGCAATGATTGAGGATATTAGCGAGTATTTGCGACGGGAGGCCCGGAGGCGGAAGAATGAGTTCCAATCCAGCGGCATGCTTTCAGGTGATGTGTAGCCCCGGGTGGATGGGATGTCTGGGGATCTCACTGGCGAGGGGCTTGCTTGCGTAGAGACTTTGCGGGCAGAGCGTAGAGGTGTGGTGTTTGGGATGATAGAAGGGGGAGGAGTGGAGGAGGCAGGTTGGTCCAGGTTCCGCGAGACTTGGCTTTGTTGGAACTTGAGGAGAGATTGATCGCTGGGTCGAGTGCTCATCCGGCGCTTCTGGTGGTATTGCAGTTGGGCACTGGGGAATGAAGAGGTGCTATATTTGCACTGCTGGTGCCGCACCGGAAAGTGCAAACTGCTGCCGGGAGCGGCGCTGGCGGCGTTGGACAGAATGAGGGGGCTGAAAGTGCATGGGATTCTGCTGGCCAGGACCGCGGTTCGTAAGGAACCGTTCATCACAGTGAGACTCATCCTGAAGCTGTATTCAATGGTTCTTCCGCTATGTCTTGTCTTGGGTTTCTTGAATTTTGCTGGTGGCACATGTAGGAGTCGGCGCTCTCACAGCAGCAAGAACTTGGAGTTGAACGTTCAACGGGCTTGATAAAGCTATTATGTAAGCATACTGCCAACCCCCCTTTGACGTAGTTAAGCGATCAACCTACCGAACAGATCATGAATCCACAAAATCATTCGATATGCCCACTAAATCAAAGGATCAAGCTTCTAATCAAGAAGGAAGGCTTCTATTAGCCATTAGAGCTTATGAAACTAGGCAATTTTCAAGCATTCGAGCAGCTGTCAAGGCGAATGATGTTGCTCTCTCAAGCTCTCCTGCCGACTACACGGTCAAATCTCACACATGAATTCTCTCAAATATCTCTAGTTCAATGAATAAATTCATGAATGAGAGAGACCTGTCTCTCTGAATCATAACCATATGCGATAAGGTCATTCAACTGCTGAAGACATGTGGTACAGAATCTGATTTGTCATCTATAATTGAAAAATACTATGTTTGAAAATTCATTTAACATTATGATGTGATAAAAATCAGACTTATACAGATATTGTAACGGGCTAGTTGCTGAAATCAGCTGATAACTAACGCGTATGAAAACAAGAAGAAATCATTAAGGAAAAAGCAAGACAGATCATGTAGGAACCAGGCTTCCTTTATAAAGGGCGGAGCTTCAGTAGTAAGGCCTCAATAGCGCTGCTTTCATAGTACGAAGGCGGAGCCTGAGTATTATGAGGGTTAGAGCATAGCCTTTTATAGGATGTGATCATAAGTTCTATCTTCAATGATTATTTTTAAGAGCAAAATATATCAGACTTACGAATCTACCTGCAGATTAAATGATTGAAATTAATAAGAATAATTGAATTAGTTACTGAGCAGCGAGATTTAACGTGATTGGAAAAGATATTCAATAAGTATATACAAATTTATACAATTGACAGATATTAATTTTTTATTTTAAATGATATAAAGCCATACCACAGCTAATAATTATTGTAAATGAAAAATACTTTTATTTCTTTGTATATATTAATGTATTTATTTCATCTTCTATAGTTATTATAAGGCTATTTTACTTCTTTAAATAAGGCATAAAATAAGCAAATTGAAGTAAATATAACACTTGACATTTATTATGTAAATAAGAATAAGTTCTTAAGTCTGTATACTATAGCTGAAAAGAAAATTTAAAGGATATAATTATTAGAAATAGCTCTAAATCAGACTTAATGTTATATAATCCAGAAAAGATTTTTATATATTTACATTCTCATCTATAAACTCAGTCCCTCTGACATAGTTATCTATCTTATATATTTTAATCTTTTTTAAATTTCAAAGACTCTGTGCAATGTAGGTCAATTAGAACATCAGTTCAACAAGATCAAGCAGTATATCAAGTGCTGTACACAGAGCCCTTCTAGTTCAATCAATCAAGCTATAAATCAACTGGTTTGAAAGTGTCAGTTAGCTAGGACTCAAAGCTGCTCAACAAGCTGTGAAGAGAGCAGTGAAGAATTCAAATTAGTCTACTTAAAAGTAAGCATCAGCACGCTGTAGTAAATGTTGAAGTACAGAACATAGAGCCTCTGCATGCTCATTAGTTGAGAAATAAAGTATATAATTTTTCTATATGTAATTCCATGTAATTGTTGCTTAATTTTAATTTTATTTTATTTTTTATCAATATAGGTGGTGTCGCTGTTCTTCTGGTAGGTGATCACTTACGTTAGTTATTACTGAATAACAATTTCCCAATTGATGCCTGAGGCAAAAAATCCAGACGTCGTTGGGACATTTATTTGAGATCTATTAAAGGATAAAAGAATACTAGTATTTCGCTGTAAAACCTATCTCCTGTAACTCCATTCTATCCAGAGGCTATCCATTCGCTACGCTAGCTGCCAAGGACCTTCGTAGTTATTTAACAAATCCACCTTATTAAACCACGAAAGGATGTAGTTCTTGATCTAGATAAGGGAGAGGGGAATATTGCGCGCAAATCATTGTTTAACCAATCACTAAAGAGGCTATCCTCCATATATCTCATCGTAATGCCGAACCAAAGGGCGAAGATCATTCGGATGCTGGGCTCCTGCTGGACCATATTTTGAGTAAAGGGCAAGGTGTTAACTCCATTTCACAGTGCGCTAGGCCGAGTGGCCGCACTAGGATGGACGAACCCATTCAGCCGGCTGTACAAATGCTTTAGCAAAACAGTGTTCATGGCCATCAGCGCGGCACTGAACAGAAAAAGGGTTATCCTCCCGCCAGTGGTGAGCTTTTCAAAAAGAGGATAAGGATACCTGGGCAGTGTAATAGTCAGTCTAACCGGACGGAACGTTCCACATATCCCAATTCCATATATATATATATATATATATATATGTGCATGGGTGGTAGTGTTGGAGCGAGGAGTGAGTACCATCCGTTATACTGGAAGCATTTCTCCACCCAAAACCAGTATCCAAATGCAATGGCGCACGCCAATCCCATGGACGGCAATGCGCCGATAGACCAAGGCGGCGATAAGAAAAGAAGATCCATTGTTAACACCAGGGCCGGAATGGCATGGAATCCAATATCTGTGGCCATGAAACACTTGTCTCAGTATTCTGACTCAAAAGGAACATACCCCTGGGATTTCCACGGAACGAAAGAGAGAAATTGTAACCCCAACACTCACCCGCCGCTGTCGACAATTCCACCCATTCAGGCTTCACAAGCCGTGTATCAATCTGTACGAAATACCTTGTTAGGTGGGTTTGATACGGCGGCTGGGGATATCGCGAGTGGAGCTTACAATTCTCAAGCCCCAGTAGAGGATACTGATCAACACCTCCATCGGTGCGCTACATACCAGAAGCATGTTCTTGAGGGCAAAGAGACGCGACGACAGCAGGAGGTCCGCGGCGAGGCCTACCAGACTTGTCAAGGTAGCCATGGAGAGACCAATAATGGTCAGGTACTGGAAATGCCATCCGTAGGCCTCGTTTCTTAGGTGCTATTAGCCAAGAAGAGCAGGACTCGTTTTCGTTCTCCTGCTTTTCTGGGGGGAAATACGCACGCTAAGTTCGGATGCTCTATGATGCTTCCAAAGGGTAAGGCCAACGACTGCGCATGCAGATGGAAACGGGGGAATATCATATCATATTTTATTTTATATTTTCTTTTTCTTTTTCTTTTTTCTCTCTTTTGTTTATGTACATCCACAGAGAGACGTAAAACACTTACTAATTGAAGGACAATGCGAAACTTGACAGCGCAGTTATCTGGAAACACACAACACAATCAGTCGGTCAATATATTTTGACCATCCGTCGGTTTTCGGCATGTGTTGTCATGGAAAAGGCTTTCACTAACATGAATAACAGCAGAAAAACCACGCGAGGGAGAGGGAAGACTCTGAAGAGGATGTTTGGCAATAAGGAGAGACTCAAGAGGAAGCGAGGCGGTTCTCATCGTGCCCGAGCTCATATATAGAATCGTGCTGAAGAAGTTTGATGTAGCTAGATAGTCAACAACGACGAGTTGGAAGGTTTAGTTATCTACTTTTCGGTAGCTCTTGGGTAGTTATTCCTTTTACTTTTATATCTTTTTTCCCTTCTCTTGGTTTTTCCAAAACAGTGGGTATCTGCCAAAGTTGCAATAATACGGGGGGGTTGATGCGTAGAGACGGTACAGCTGTATTAGAGCGCGGGAGACGCGGGGGGGGGGGTTGGGGGGAGAAGCAGCTTCTGAGAGACATCTGATGAGCTGGGTTGTCGTCGTTTTCATGGAGTGGACTTACAGCAAAAGATCCGTCCATAAATCTGACTAAAAGGTTAGTTGATAACTAACTAACTAAACTAACTAGTTAGATAGTTAGTTGGTTCTCGCCTTGGCCAAGGCACAAGCCACAGAGTCGAATCAGAGCAGCTAAGCAAACCAGTTATTAGTGTAGATTTTGATTCTTTCGCTTCCAATCTGTGACGTAGTTAGCTTGTTAAAGTGGTTGGAGTTTGAGTGGCTGCATGGGTTAACTAAGCTGTTAGGCTTTTAGTTTACTTGTTAGGGTTTGGAACTTTGATTCGACGTATTTAATTGTGAGATTTCTCTCGGCTCACCCGGCAGTCCTCAAAGCTCTCTCTCTAGATAACTTGCTCCGTACAAGAAGTCTGATGTACCTCTAGATGTCATGGTGGTTTTGCACACACCCACACAACTACAGATCGCGAGTAAGTAAAATATCTCAGTTCACATTTGATGTACTTAGTTAATTAACAAGATAACTATAACTTAGTTATTTAACTAAATATTTCCTTTGGTGCCAGTCAAAAAAGTCTCTGGTAACTAGGCCAAAATGATTTCCTGCCCTCGTCCACTTGCCCAGCAACTCGGCACATCCTACCCATCTACATACATACGTACATATATATGGGCTGCAGGTTACAAATTACCCCCGTACCCAGTTAGATTTTGCTGGCTATTCTCAAATCAGGTCCTCGGGATCATCCTGAAGTCATCGCTGAAGTCGTGGATCTCCTTGTATATATATATATATATATATTCCCAAGCGGTAATAGTTATACATAGGACACGCCTATGGACCTCTCTGCCCTGTTGTTTCACGTTCCTCATTTACATCTGGCTAAACAAATTAAACAATCATGATTGATTGATTACTTAGTTAACTAGCGATAGAATCGGACCAAAGATTATCTCTGGGCTCTTGATATCAAGCCGGTTTTTAATATAAACATTTCTTCCCCTCCTAATTCTCCACTTCACCTGCGGTGTTCGATCAGATCGGATCAGATCGGATCAGATCATCTGTTGGCCTCTCCTGTTTGGCCTCAACGAAGAAATCATCATTCAAAAAAAAAAAAAAAAAAAAAAAAAAAAAAAAAAAAAAAAACCTCACCACTCAAACTTTCATTATTCCCCGACTCTTATATGAGGTCCGGTTGATTAGCGATCTTCCGGCTGCCTCCTCCCGTCTCCAGACCTTATATACTGGTGGAACCTTCCGTTAAGGCGCTTCTGAAAGCCACATATTTGACTGGCAAATGTTCTCATCCAGAGAGACCCTGTGTCTCCTTGCCACAACAGAGAAGCCGAAATGGTTGTTGGTATGTATCTCGCGTCTAGGCGATTGTGTATGTTTTCTCTCCATGTATCTGCCACCCACAGATATTCCCCCCCAGATCACGCATATCTCGAAAAATGAAATAGTAAAGATGAATTCAATTTATATTTCCGTCCAACAACTCAGCCGACTGCACTGACCCCAAATTAGCGGCGGCGAGGAAGAGCCGGTTTGCATGACTGTCACCCCCAGAGGGCTGTGTGAGATTTTAGCATCCACCGTAAAGTCGGAGGACGGGCTAAGTGGCAAGGCACAAATTTTTGTTGCAGCAGCTCACTGAGCACATCCCGCCTTGTATCTCAGGGCATTCAAAATGATTTTCTTGTGTCCAAATCTGCCTCCTTGACACTTTGGCTTGTGCGGGAACTCATTCCACGCAGACAGTGATGGATCTAATGAATATACCCTCACCGGTTGATTTTCCACGATGACGGAATTCCAGCTGGCACACAGCACCCAAGAAGTCCAACAAGGATCATCTATTGAGTTTGTGCAAGCATCAAGAGTTCTCTCCGCCCCTTGCTTTGGAATCGGATGCAACTCCACATGGCATTCCACTTCGATTTTCAATGCCTAGGAAGAGAGTGTGTATGTCCCGACACTGGGAACCAGTTCCTACAAGCATCTGCCTCTTAAATCCAAGCGCTTTTCCTACCCATCACTCTCCGATCCGTCCTTGACCACCCCAGGAAAGCTGCCACTCCCACAAGTTTCAACTGTAGCTGGAATCTTCAACCCCATTCCTAGTCTGCGACGAACCAGTATCTCAACCCGTTTTTCTCCCATTAGCGAGAACAATGGCCACTTGATAACGACGACAGACGGTTTCCAGACGGAAAATATGGAAGAGGATATAGTTAGAGCCCTCTCCATTGTGCGGCAGGATCCTGCTACTTTGTTCCCCCCCCCATCCAGTCACAAGTGGAATAGCTTATAGTTAGTAAACCAACTACTTATGACTAACCTAGAACGATTCGACCAAACCATGGCATTGACGCAGTTTCGAGACGGAGAATTCCTGGGCTGATTCTCCCGACAACTCGTTCTTGGTAGTATTTCCCCAGAACGCATATGTAAGTCTAACCATTCCATCCCACATGCCACCAATATGTAGGTATTGCTGTCTCTGGAAATGTCAGCACATGATCAACATTTATTCTTGATTATCCGCAGAACACCATTCAGACTCATGCAGAGTGTCAATAAGTTGGTGTCGTATTTTCGTTGCGAGCATCTGCACCGATTTTCCCAGGACGCTCATTATCTCAAGTAGACGCAACTGAGGAGGCCCATCTGTAATGATTCATGTGAAATGTTTTGCACAGGTAGAGCGGGAGAGAGACAGCTGCCTGAGAGTATCCAGCAAATTATGGACCAAGGTTAATATGGATATTGGAATCAAAAAAAAGGGGGGGGAGGGGAGGGGGCAAACTTGCCTCTCTGACGGTCAGTCTCATGTGTGAACAACAAAAGGCCCCAGGTTGAGATAATCACCGTTCAGAGCATTTTGATCAAAACAATGTTAACAACACTGAACTATGGCCAGTAATTAATTCATTAGCTGGGGCTCATGGAATTGCATATTGGAAAGTAAACACAACGTACCCTACCGTAATAGCCTATCTAGCTCCAACCCCAGCTCCTGCAAAACATTACAGGGAAGAAACATAACTGGAAGCAGATTCCATTAAAGTTTCGCATTTTAAGGAAGTAAAAGGAAGGTAAAGAGAGAACCAAAAAAAAGGCGATTTAGAGTAGGTATGTTTGTAGTCTATACCCACGCCCAGAAGAGTCACTAGCTAGAAATGCATAATATGCTCGTCCCAGATATAAGGTCATATAGAATAGAAGGGCATCTATCCCAACACCGACCTGGTTTGGTGTCTCAGCTATACATCTCTGCGTCTGGCTTGTTTGATTGTTTCTCATTTTCAAGGGTGTTCCCCTCGAAGTAACCCCCTCCTATCAGCGAAAAGATCATTTTTCGAAAAAAGAAAGACACCATTTTCATCATCTGCTAACCCACAAGACCACGGGAATATAAGAGAGAATTGCTAAAAAGGCCCAAACTCAAAGATTCCCCAACAAATAAAAGAGAAAAAGAACACGAAAAAGGCAAACAGAAAAGGAAAACAAAAACAAAAGAAAACATGCCACGACAATGCGCGGATTCACAAGGACACACACACACAAATACACACTCTTTTTCTCACTCATTCACTCACTCACTCTCACTCTCATACACAGACACACACACACACACACACTCTCTCTCTCACTAACCCCCCCACACCCTCCCCCCTCCCTCTCTCTCTCGCCCTCTCTCTTTCTCTCACTCACTCACACACATACACACACACACACACACACACACACACACACACACACACACACACACACACACACACACACACACACACACACACACATATATACAACACCAACACCGAAACAAAATACCCAACCAACCCAAGTCTTAAGACGAGATAACCAAGCAAAAATTGCGTAAGAAAGAAGGGCACATAAAAAGATGCTGAATTTAACCAAAAGGGGTAATTGCGTTGACCACTCTGAAACGCCGTTTCCGCAAACAGAAATCTCTCCCATCGTTGTTGTCGCAGCTGAAAAGAAAGAAGAAATTGGAGTAAAAGATAGAAAAGCAAGCGGGGAAAACGGTCATGCCTCATTTTCCCAGTCTTCACCTTCAGCGTCCTGTCCCTTGGCTCCGTGCACTTGTGAGCCACGGGGGCCCTTGACTCCATCCTTGCGAATGGGAATTTTGATACCCTGGAACGCGAAGCACTTGCTCAGAGGGGTGCTCTCGATGACGCCGGGGAACTTCTTGGCGGAGTACACTTGGAAAACATCAGAGAACACCGAGGCCAGAACTGGTGCGGATCCAACATTGATCACGGGGCTCGAAGGCGTCCCCCCGGGCGATTGCTCTTGGGACTGAGTTTGAGTGCCAACATTGACGAAGTTCATCTTTAATCTATGACGTTACGATGAATTGTTAGCGGAGTTGGTACAAGTAATGCGACAATCAATATATATGTATATATATGTGTTGTTCTCATGCATAGTGTACACAATTGGGGAAACATACCGGAATGAACCTTCTGTGCGGACACTGAGATCCTGTAGGACAAACCAGACTCCGATTTTGTCATCTGGGTCTGTGAGGCGAAACGCGCTGGCGCTCAGGCTGCCGATGAGGTTGCGGGTAAACATGCCTGTGGAGGCAGTTGAGATATGTGGCAGTGCGGATTGGGGAGCAAGAGCCTGAGTGGGAGTTCCAGGAGCATAGTATGCGCCAGTGGGGGGAAGAGCCTGGTAGTAAGTATCAGGGCCCCCTTGCTGATATTGATAGCCAGCATGAGGATTGTAACCTTGCTGTGCAGCGTAGTAGGGCGGGTACGCGGGATAGCCATGGGCCTGTGCATACGGGGGGTAGGGCATGATGTTGGCCGGAGGGGGATATGCGGAGGAGGTAGCGGTAGAGATCGAGGGGGATGTCGCGGAGTGGCGGACGAGGTTGACCTCGTTGGTGCCCTCTGCGTTCCACAGGTCGACGGTCAGGACGTAGAAAGAAGTGTCCATTTCACTATGCAACAACAGGCAACGTATTAGTAGAAAGTCATATAAATGTATAAACAAAAACTACAATAATGATATATGCAACCCACGAACGACATCGAGGTTCGCGACAGAAAGGAAATCGGGAACACACTTGATATCGATCTCCTTCTGGGTAGCAGCGTCGCGGACAATCAGTCTGATGCAGGGAGGAGGTGTAATCGGTCGCCGATCCTGTGATGGGAGATGAGTGTTAATGGAAATAGACGGAGAGATAGATAAGCTAGAGGGGGAAGATGGATGGATAATAGATTTTGGAACGGGACCGGGGGTGAGGGGTTGGGGGGGGAGGGATGTGTGGTATGTAGGTAGGTTAGAACAGACCTTGTCACCAAACCCACACATTCGAGCGCGGATGGGTTGCTGGACGACATCGAGGGAGTAGATGCGACCCTCAAAGACCGTGGAAACGGCTCGATGGGTCTCTGGAATGCCGGGCAGGGTGGCGGGGTTTGAGGAGGAATAACCATGTTGGAGGTGATCCATGGCGAGCGGTGCTGGCGGCGGTGATGGAGGATGAGGGAGGTCTTGATTCAAAGTGTACATGCTCTGAAAGCTGGTGCCTTGGCCAGATCAAGGAGGAGGAGCAGGAGGGCTTGTCCGTGGTCCTGTCCTCCAAGCGTTGGGATGTGGGATGAGGTTGAGAAGGGGATGAAGTTGTTGGAGGATGAAAGGAAGAGAAAAAATGTGAGGGCGGGTGGTTGAGCATGAGGTTTGTTACTAAGACGCCTGTTCAAACGTTAGTTAATCATTCAATAGTTAAAATGCCCATCAGAAAGGACATAGTAGTGAGTCAACTTAAAGATGTGGCAGTGCAGGCAGAAGAGAACAACAACTAACAGAGTAACAGAGTAACAGAGTAACAGAGTAACAGAGTAACCAGAGTGGCAGAGTAACAGAGTGATAGAGTGATAGAAGTATTTAGACTGGTAATTATTTTTCTTTTGGACCCAACAATAGCATTTTATTATTGTGGTCAACAAGTCAGCACAGCGTTGAGCATGCCCAGTAACCTGCTAAACAACTGAAGAACGGAGGTTGTTCAGGCGGTTGATTAGGCAGATTCGAACAAGGGAGAAATTGATTGATAAAAGAAAGAAGAAAAGAAAAGAGAACTTTGAAGATTAAAGCATGAGTGGCCTATTTTTAATCTTGATCTTGACCTTGAGCGCTCAATCTCTGGCTACATGTACAAAGTAACTCGGTGGTTTAGTGACCTGTTATGTCCACATAAACTAATCTCCGACAGATTTTGCCCCCTCAATCAACATTATTCCAAAGCCTGCTCCTATTGTTCTATTTAGGAGGAAACCCTTCCTCCCTGTTCGTTAACTCGTAATGTTTCTATTAGCCATTTAATTAGCATTTGCTGTGACATGCCAGCCCTGTGTTTCTCTACCAATCACCGCCGCCACGACCCAACCTGTCGGGTCCGCTATTCACGTATGCATGCACTTTTTTTTGCGCTTATCCTGCCAAGGGAGCTTTTTAATCCAATCGAGAAATTTTTACGCTTGTCATCTCATTATCTCTTTCTTTCCTTCTATTATTACTCCGTATCTTTATAAAATTTCTACGGATTAGTTTCAATTAGAGTTACTATAGTACATACAAAATACAGTGCTCATCGGCTCAATGTGCGCATACACAGGTGTGTTCTCTCAAAATGAATCATGAATCAGATAGAAGAGAAACATCTCTACTCCCTACCTATATCATAATTCTGATGCCACGTATATCCACCTCGAGGAGCAGCCTCCCTCACTAGCTCCTCGATATACTCCATCCCATCTCGCGGTGGGCGCCCTAGAAGCTCCCCCATCAGCGGATCCACTGTCGCCGCCTCCCCTTGCCCCACCGCATCCAGCAAACTAGCCCACACCTCCCAGAATCGGGCAGATTTCCCGCCACGGCCCTCCTTGGCGTCGTTTCGCGCCACAACAGCCGCATACTTATCCCGCGGGACTTGCTGCACCGCAATCTTCGTGCCTGTCGCACGGGTTAGTGTCGTGGCGAGGTCAGCAAAAGTGTACGCACGGGGACCAGTCAGGAGGGCGATGTTATCGTCATTTCTGATGAGGGAGGAGAGGGTGGACGGGTCGCGCAGCATGAGTTTGGCGGTTGCCTCGCCAAGCTCGGTGCGGGGGGTCCAGGTGATGAGCCCGTCAGTGGGGATGTAGATGATGGTTGTGTCCGGGTACCAGGCCGAGAAAATGGGGAAGGCATCTGCGTAGATGCCTTCGCGCACAGAGGTATAGGGGACGCCAGATCTAAAAGGGGAAAGCGGAGGATCAATATCAAAGTGAAACGGTTGAACGCAGCGAATGGGCGGAATAAACCTTTTCAGTTGCTCCTCCGTGATAAGATGTGCAGCCTGCACAATAGCCTTTGAATCCGATTTGTACCCGCCGAATGCCAGGCTGGAGTAATATACCTGCAACAGGTAGAAGCATAGGAAGTAAGTACTCATCTTAACACTTTTCCGACAACAACAACAACAATAATAATATAAAAATATATTTAATTAATTAAAAGGAAGATAAAGGGGGGAAAAAATTAATCAGTCAACTCATACATGGCCAACCGTAGCTTTCTTGGCTGCCTCAATAACATTTGAGTGTTGCTGAGCCCTCCTGGTTACATCTACGGTGGGAGTGGACACGAAGAACAACCGCTCGACACCTTTGAAGGCTTTCTCCAACCCTGACAGGTCGTCGTAGTCAGTGATGCGGAATTGGGTACCGGGATAGTCTTTCTGGAGCTCGTCTGCGGCTTCAGCACGGGACGAGGAAGCTATGATCTGAGCAGGGTCGTTGACGGATTTGTAGAGGGTCGCAAGGACAGAGGCTCCAAGGCCGCTAGTTGAGCCAGTAACTAGGTAATTGGCAGTTGTCATGATATGCGATTGAGACAGGATATGTATGTATTATTCTGTATGTTGGGACGTCTTCATGTATGGAGTAATATGGAGAACCCAGGCGAGGACGCTGGATTATATCACCGATTTATATATCACATAAAAAGAGTAACATCAAAACAGACCACACATCTGGGGAAGAGGCTTAAAAGCCAGTGCATGGATTCAACCCATTCTGCACCCCCAGTCAAACCTTCCCCTTGAAAATGGCTGATAATAGTTCTTTCTTCTTCTCCGGCATTTTCCCAATTGCTAATTTCTGCTTAATCCTTGCCATGGCCTCCTCCAATGCGTAAATCGGGGTAGGATCAAAGGGCTCTGCAGAAATCGTAATAGACGGCGGCGCGCCTGTTGCCAGGTAGTTATCAGGGCAACAAACTATGTTAATTGACGTGAAAATATTAGTCACCGTCAAGCTTCAACGTGCTGCTCGCAAGGTCGCAAGATTGCAAGGTTACGATTGCAGGCAAATCATTGACTCTTGGTATAATAGTTGCTTGCGGATATTTGTTAGTTGTGTTCATTATGTACCGCGGCTGGCGGGAATGCACATAGCTAGAACTGCCAGTGGATACCTCGCTTCACAGTTAGTTAAAATAGTTAGTTACTTCGGAAAGTTTGTAACCCAGGAACTTGAAACTGGGACCTTGCGCCGGGGACAGACATCGATGATTATTAATAGTAGAATCTGAATTAATCAGCTTTTTTAGAGAACGCTGGAAACTGAACTTCCAAGATTCATGAAATGGACGGATGAATGCAGCCCTTAATTAACCAGAACTATAGGAAATTTGAGACAATCTGCTGCAATCGAATCTGACCTGGATCTTGACCCAAACAAAGCCATGGAGGGGCAGCTTGGTTCAGAGCTTGCAGATAGATGATGATTGGTTTCTTTTGTCCATTTCCAGGCTTTTCATAAAATACTAGTGGAATAAGGGTTTTTTGTGGCCATCCTTTCCAAGGTTCAACTGCGTAAGCTTTCTTCCTTTCATCTTGAGTTTCCGGATAAGAAAAAGAAAGGTTTTCATAAGCTTGTCTCGCTGAAAGCAAATCACATCAGAATGTCCATGCCCATTCCTTTGCGAGATATAATATCATCGTCCCATTCGTTAGTTATTCTGCGGGGAGAAAGTTTTGAGAGGTTTGAAAGGGTTTGAGAGAATTGAGAGATTTTTCCATTGAACGGATTAACGGTGCGTTGCTTCCGGGATGTTATTGTTCCATTTCCGAACATGTCACATGGCCAACATAATCCGGCTTAGTAATCAGGCGGGGTCAGCTGCCACAAAAAGGCGGGGGAAAAGGAGAAACCAACCAGAGCCCGGAAGAATTCCCAGGTTGAAGCCGGAACATCTGCACCCTAAAATGCCTGAGAAATAATATTACAGGAGTTGTTCTCCCCCTAAAAGAAGGGGAGAGGAAAGAGAGAGAGAGAGAGAGAGAGAGAGAGAGAGAGAGAGAGAGAGAGAGAGAGATCCGCAAGCTGAAAACGAATCCTTTAGCGGCGCAGCTGGAAAGAAATTTATCAGCTCATAGGTGAAGAGGATGAGGCGCATTTGGATTGCGAATCCAATTAGCAGCGTTCCGGCGCCGAGGATAACATACCTAGGCACTTCAACTCTGGGCCGCGGAGAGAATAATGCAGAGATATCAATACTCGCTATTATCGTGCTCCCTTGTACGGCATAACCACACTAGTTGTTAGCTAATTAATGGGGAATACGGATTGAATTTAGCTGAGCGGGGTTGCCCGGATACACGTAGACATAGAAAGGGATGCAATTTAAAGCCTCGCATTCCATCTTCCCACATCCCTCCCCTTTTCACCCACTCCGTACTTCATGCCCTCTTTCACGGTCTCACCTAGATAATTTAAACTCCGCAAGCACAAGCAATGGCATCTCATCCCCCCAGCTCATGCTGCGCTAGCGGCTTCAAGCACGAAGGCACAGCCTCAGGCGTGGTCAAAAAAATCAGCGACTGTATATATAGATACATCCCCGAACTCTTGAACCGTACATACCAATACCGATTGACCAACTGACTAACTATGCCAATCATAAACATGTTCCAGTCGACGCATACTTCTCCTATCCCAGCACCGCCAACCCAGATAAAGCCATCATCATCTTCACCGATGTCCTAGGCCTGTACGACAACGCCAAATTTCTCGCCGACGACTATGCTTCCCGCGGCTACTTGGTCGTCATGCCGGACCTGTTCGGCGGCAAACCCCTCACAATCAACCAGTTCGAGGGCGGCCAAGTCGACATCATGGCCTGGCTGAAAGATTACACCCCAGAAACCGTCGATCCGATTGCTGCTGCAACGATACAGCACGTGCGGGAGACACTGGGGATTAAAAAAGTTGGAGCAGCGGGATATTGCTTTGGTGCTAAGGTTTGTTCTGATCCCATGTGGAGGTGAGGTGGGAGGGCTTCGGTTAAGGGAAACGGAGACCGCAAATTGAGATACAGGAAACATGAGAGAGAGAGAGAGAGAGAGAGAGAGAGAGAGCTAATTCGATGCTTTGTAAATACAGTATGTGACACGATTCATGAAGGGGTCTGGAACCGTTGACGTGGGATATGTCGCCCATCCATCCTTCGTCACCTCGGAGGAACTGGCAGCCATTCAAGGACCCTACGCTATTTCAGCTGCCGGTGAGTAGTTAAGTGCATGCCTGCACTCTCCATCGATCGTTACATATACAGTACCATCACCCCCTACACTACTCCTCTCCAACTAACAAATATGTCGCAAATTAGAAACCGATTCCATTTTCCCCTCGAGCCTTCGTCACCAATCCGAAGAAATCCTCGCCAAAGTCAGCCAGCCCTGGCAGATCAACCTATTCTCCGGCGTCGTGCACGGCTTTGCTGTCCGTGGCGACCTAAGCAATAAGGTTGTTAAGTTCGCGAAGGAACAGGCATTCCTGCAGGCTGTCGCTTGGTTTGAGGAGCATCTCTAAATGCCCACAAAATGGGGCTGGACACTATTGGATATTCCCGCGTCGTTTGCCGCTTGTTCTAATGGTACCTCTACCTTGGACGAACTGTCTGTGATATAACACCAATGGAGATAAAAAGATAAAATCCATGCTATGACAACTTTGTAGAACCTTCTTAAATGGAGCTAAGTAGTGTCATTATTTTTCAATTGGTTGCTGTTGATCCAGCACTTCTAAACCAACATGACATGGATTCATAGTTTCGGTATTTCAGGAACATTTGACAGATACCATAGTTATATAAACTATGTGAGCAAAAGCATCGGCACTGAACCTTTTACTTTTCTTTTCTTTTCTTTTCTTTTCTTTTTTCTTTTCTTTTCTTTTCTTTTTTTCTTTGTCTTTTTTCTTTTTTTTCTTTTTTTCTTTTTCTTTTTTTTTTTTTTCGCTTGCGTAGTAATCAACCAGCCAGAAATCTACTCTGCCCAAGAATTCACCTTGAGTCAAGGTTCCTCCGAAAGTTTCCAATCCCAGACACAGCTTGTACCCTCTACACGAGAGTGATTTTCGTACATACCCCTCCTGCACTCTAATGGCTACTGAAGGAATATGTGTTGAATTGGGATATGCGAAAGCGAACAACTCTCTTACCGGGAAGTCGCGCATGCGTTATTTTCCCCACATTTAGCCGCCTAGTTACATACAACCTCTACGTAAATGTCTAACGAGGACCTTAAAGGTGAAAAAAAGCAAAGGAACAACAGCAAAAAATGCTAACTGGTAAATGTCCGAGCCTCCTCCGCGAACAAGCAGCCGAGCGGTCCGAAAACGAAACGAATCTAATTTATTATCCATATATCTAGATTGGAAAAAATATATATATAAATAAAAAATATATAAATAAAAAAGAATAAAAAACTGGGATGGAAGCGACAAATCCCAGCTCCCTTGACCCCACATGTGTAATTGAGTGCCAGTAATTCCCATGAGCTCTTACTCCGAACAACAGTATTCATTGATTATCGTCCAGTAATAAACCCTATCCTTGGGCGGGAAAGATCGGACCAATTCCAGTCGAGAGAAAGTAGATAAGCTTTGTCCACGCAGCAACTAAGCCTCTTTGAGTTTAGCCCCCAGAGTTAGGTTTGAACCCTATCTTCGCGTTACTTCAAGCATGGAATTGAGCACTGCTATTGGTGGAAGGTTTTTTTTTTTTTTTTTATGCGCCCCAAGTTATCTGAAGGTTCAACGTACAAACGAACGTCTTTTGAAACTTTTATCATGGTTCCATCCATACCTAGGCAAATGAAGTGACTCCTACCATGGGACAAAAAGGAAGCAACAAAAAGTCTCAGCCATAATCTGGCGGAAGGGAATATTGACATGGCAGGCATGACCCCATGCATTAGAACATCATGAGAACAAGGACGACATCCTGTTAACATACTCGACGAACAGATGCCAGCAAGTCCCAAGAAAAAGAGCTAACACAGCTTCATCCAATAACTTCTTCCGTTTCATCAATGATCTCCTCCATAATCTCCTCAACAACTGTGCCCTCCGTCTCTACCTCTTTCTTGGCGGCCGCAGCAACATCCTCCTCCCTCTCTAGACCCAGCACATCAATCTCCTCATCCAGCATTTCCTTCTCCCGACGCACCCAAGCGGTCCATTCGTTGAGGACTCTCTTACGCATCTCGACGATGGCCGTGTTGGCAATATCGACAGCGTATTTGTCTTCTTCGTCGAACTCGCGGGAGTATTCGCGTAGGTTCTTGCGGGTTTGCTTTTGCTCCTCCTTGCTGAGGAATGTTGGAGGCCGTGGGCGCCAGAGGAATTGTTTGAACTTCTCTGTAGGATGTTCGGCCAGGGTGGTGCCGGAGAATGTATGGATGTTGTAACCGTTTTCCAACTGTTTGTGATAGGAATTGGTTTGTTCAGTGAGCTTTTGAAGTTCCCTTTTACGTAGAAGAAAGAGGAACAAGGAGAATCAAAAGTGAAAAAGATCAAACTTACAGTGTGAGTCCAGGCGCTGGCACTGCTGACAACATAGCGGCCAGTGGGGTCCCAATCAATATCGGTGACGCCGTAATGATCGGTAGTTTTCATTAGCTGGAGATTGGCAGAAAGGTCCTTCTCGTTCTCTTGCTTCTCGCCCTCAAAATCTAGGTCCCAGAAGTCGAGATCGAAATTTTGTTGTGAGTGGACAGTGGCAACAACAACGAACCGGCCTTTGGGAGACCAATATATGCCGTTGCTCGTCTTCTTCTCGATGGTGCGGATGAGTTTGAAGTTGCCGATGCCGGAAACCTTGACCTTCTCAGGGCAAAAGAATGAAACTGCGGTTTTGGGCGCGATTGCAGCACCTGGAGTAGCTTCACCTGTTGTGATCAGAACGAATCGATCACCATTGGGTTCCCAGGCGAAGTTGATCACGGGATCTTTGATTGAATCCACAACCTCAACAGGCACTCCCTTCTCCTTGACACGGAAGATTTCGAGGTTTGTGGCGAGGGACTTCTTAGATTTGGAATGTCGGTCAACTTTGACACAGAGGTAGGCACCCTGCGATTGCCAGTGCAGTTTAACGTCGGTAACATGAAAGAGATTTCTTGTTCGAACAATTTGCTTCGAAGGAATGCTCATCAAACCAACTTTGGCTGGGTTACTGTCCATCTCGGGAGTCCAGAAGGATAATAGCTGTTCGTACTCCTTGATGCCTTCACGTTGAGGGGTGGCGGGGGCCCACTCGAAATCCTTAACTTTTTCAATTTTAATAGAGGCCTTGTCGAGGAGACTCATGCGTGGCAGTTCATAAACAGATATAGATTGACCTGGAAGCATCCGGGCCACGTATTTCTCGTCTGCAGACCACTTAAACGCAGGCCATTGGATCTTCTTCTTCACAGCCTCTCCCTCCGGGCCTGAAGCGGCCGGAACGTCATGATTGACAAAAGATCGTAATGGCTTGCCCGTAGTGATGTCCCAAATAATAAAATGCTTGCCGTCTTCTTCGTAAGATAGGATCGGGTGCGGTCCTTCGATCTGAATGGGGCGTGCTGACCAGGTAGTCAAGTAACTTTCACCGGGGGAGAACTCGATGAGCTGAACGAAGGGGTGGGGGAATTGCTTTTCTTTAGTGAATTGCGGGCCTCCCCAGAGCTGTACGCCTTGAGGATGAACCGATGCGAGGTAGGTCCCCTGCGGAGACCACTGTACGAAAAGCTGTGTCCAATGATCCCTATCTACGATATTCTCTGGTGGGTCCTTTTTCATGTTCCAGAACACCCCAACTTTGTCCCCTCGGTACATGGTAAATTGGTCGCGGGCATTGGGGTCACCTAGCCATGATCTGAGATGATCTTTTTCGCGAAATGGTTCGATGGTGGGTGGTTTATATTCCTCATCAACACGGCCTTCACGTCCATACCGATCGATATCCGTCAGCTTATTAACAGCCAATGTATGTTTCTTATCAAGAGGGGTGCCGTGAAGATGTTTAGTGGCCTCGAGGGCCTGTTCGGGAGATTCGTATTCAACAAATGCGAATCTAAAAAATACATGGAGTAAAAGTCAGCAGCCCGTCAACAGATTTGATGATATTGGTTTTTATTTTTTTTTTATTATTTTTATAATAATAGTTCATTTTTTTTTCCCTTTGGTAACACACCCTTCGGTCATCTGCTCCTCGTTCATGGGCATAAAAATGGCATCTTCGCTCGTCCGGCCAACGGTATTCAATTTTTTCAACATGAATTTGATAAGTCGTGGTTTGCTCTCCTCCGGCACAATTGGCAGGCCATCAATAACAACGAAGGCATCCAAGCTTTCTTCCAGTCGTACTTCATATTGCGCTTTGAGGTCTATTGACAAAAATAATAGAAAAATTCATTCCATTAGCGATTGGGGGATCTCAAAAATGACCACCACCGTGGACTGATTGTTTGGGCAAGATAAGAGAGCACACCCACCTGAAAAGTCGATCTCTAACTCCTCCTCGTGGAGATCCTGCTCTGAAAGGGTGTCAAAGCTCGGTGCCATGGTGACAGGAGACAGGAAGCGCTAGATGGCTGATGTACAAGAGGAGAGGACTTATCTGCACAGGAGGCAGACGAGGGGGTGAAGGCGACGAGTCCGACGTTCTTTCAATTTCTCCAGAGTTTCTTCGTTTTTCGTTCGCCTTGAAGTTCTGATGTTCAGGCTAATATGTGTTGTTGTGTTGTGTGTGTGGAAGCACGCCATTCCAAATACGGAATAGTTGCTATAATTTCAGCTGATTAATCCATTTTATATCACGTGATTGTTAGCTGACTTAATCCTGACTCATCCCATCTTCAAGCTTCAAAACAATCACAATGAAACCCATGGAGATATCTATACAGACTACACATAAACATCATTCACAGCTTAATCACCACCAGTATTTCACCACCAGTATTTCTCTAATCTAAACCCCCTCTCCAAGGCCAGCTACCATCTATATCCTGCATTTTCCTTCTACCCGGGGGGGATGCGTTGGTTGTGGTCGGTGCTGGACTGCTCGCCTGTTCGTAGGTTGCTGGCGGTTCCCTACAGGGTCATCGGGTCATAGGGCCATCAATTATTACCAGCCCTGAAGAACCGGCAGACAACCAACTCATCATCATCCACTTCGATTTCTCTCTTTGTTATCCCACCTCTCTTCTGTTTAGACTCTTACTTTGCTCCTGTATACCCCATAAACAATCTACTTTGTTTCACCTCTCTATTTTTATTGTTGTGTCTATCAATTCATTCACTTTTTGTTTCAGAACTTGCGTCTCCTGCTGCTGCTCCTGCTGCTGCTGCTGCTGCTATCTGCTAGCTGCTGCTGTTCTGCTTCCTTATATCATAATAATTTCTCTTTTCCTTTTCTTGGGCACCAAATAAGTTAATCACACTGGCTCTGCTCTGCTCTGCTCTGTCCTGCCACATAGTCTATATAGGTCCACACTAACCTTAAACCACCAGCAGCCGCCAGCAAATCGTTCTAACGCTTTCTGGTGCAACGTCGGGACCCAATTCCCAGCTTTTGCCGCGAAAGACAGGCACTTGACCACCAAAATATACCCAAACAGCAGTAGCCCTCCTCTTCCCTATTCATATATTCTTATACTTACCACTCAGCCCGTCCTCCAGCGGAAGCTCTTTATAAACTTACTCCCCCCGGTTCTCCTGAATTCGGAAACATGGCTTGTGAGAGCATCCCGAGCTGTCTCTTCCCTCTTCCCGGCCTCAAAACGGATTACAATTAGCGATGCAGGTGTCATCAAAAGCTGACTCTCCCGCCAATGCAGTGCCCCACGACGTCCAGGCGTCGTATATCAAAATTATTGATTCTATCCTGGCATCCAGTGACCTGAATACTATCTCCGAGAAGCGGATACGTAAAGGTCTGCAGGATGCCGTAAACTACGATATCACCCCGCAAAAGGTTTTTCCCGAGCTCCTTTCTCCCCTGACCAAACCATTCCCCCCAACCCCCCCCCCAAAAAAAAAAAAAAAAAAAAAAAAATTTCCCCAGACTAGTTACTGTTCTGTTTTTTCTAACGCGCCACTGTGTACGGAGTGTAGGCCGCAATCAAAGAGCTGATTATGCAGCGATTTGATATCTTCGCGGAACAGAGCGAGAAACAAGCAAATATCACCACCGTTGTCAACGGTCATTCGTCCAACAACCATGTCCCAGTATCCACAGTCGAGCCCATTTCCCCCGCCCTTTCAGCTTCGCCTCAGAAGCGCAGTGCAGAGCCAGAAAACGTCTCCGACTCAGGGGACAAACCACCGAAAAAGAAAAGAAAGTCCGATATGGTGGATGCCGATGCGATCTTTGCGGCCAAGTTACAAGCTGAGGAAAACCTGCGTGCGCGACCAACAAGAGGTGCAAATACGAGAAAGGTTGCGCTGATCAAGAAAAAGAAGTTGCCTGTGAAATCCAAAACAGCAAAGAAAGTGAAGGCGGATGATGATTCTGGCTTAGATGAACCTGACTTAGAATCAAAGAAGGAGGTTACTCGAACAGGTGGATTTCATGTGAGTGGAAAGCTCCTATTGACGAGTAAACTTGCATATGTTAATGTTATCTTAGAAACCTCTCACTCTGTCTCCTACACTCTCTGCTCTGTTGGGAGGTGAAATTACCGTGAGTATCTATCTCATCTTCATTTCGTATTTAACTTCGTCTCATTGCACTCCTATTTAAACAAGTGAATTTCTCTAACAAGACCAAGCTTTCCCGACCACAAACCGTCAAGAAGGTGTGGCAGTATATCCGCGAAAAGGACCTCCAGGACCCGGCTGATCGACGCCAAATTCGATGCGATGGTCTTATGCGAGCCGTCTTCAAACAGGATCGGATACACATGTTCACCATGACCAAAATTCTGAACCAGAACCTTTATAATCCTGACGAGTGAATTATGCAGTTCCATGACACAAAAAGAATTTCCTTTCGCCTATCTCATCACGATCCGGCGTTTAATATGGGGGAACAGGAGTATTTGCACCTGTCCAATTATCCCTTCCTTGTTTTATTACTCTGGTCATCACTATTACGCGTTATTTTCGAAATGCCATGAAGATAATACTGTTCATCACCCTCTCCTTCTTCCCCATCTTTCCCTCTGTGAGACACACACGTGCAAACATGCACGTGTTGCTCCACACATATTTTTCCTTGGTGTCTTTCCCACTGGAAACCCAACTTGCGTCTTACAGGCATTCTGCCAACCTGATCCGACCGTATCCCAGAACAGGATATTATCTCCTATATTATTGTTTGTCATTTACCATTTTACAAGCTCTTCCGCCATCTAAGCCCCTTCTTGTTTCATTATCTATTCTCCCAATATACCACCACAGGGTAAGCGGGCGTATCCGTTCTGTTTATTGCCTATTAGCATAATAGTTGGTTCCTTCAAAACCTACATCATTTATTCCCCCTCAGGATCATATGTGTCAAAATTTTCTTTTTTCTATTTTTCGTTCTTTTTTTAATTTTTTTTTATTATCAATTATTATTCTCTCTCCAGCGGACGGAGTTGGCGGGATCCCTTATATCATTTAATGAACCATTATTATTTTTTATCTCTTCTATATCTTGATTAATTTTGAAGTTATTTTCCCTTTCATTTTTCTCAGTAATTTTTTTAATCTTTTTCTTTGTTATATTCCTCACATTAGAGCTTGTGATACTTTGTCCTCACTATTCCTGAAAAATCCATCACTCTGTATTGCTTTACCTTATTTGCTAATTTTGATACGTTAGTTAGCCATTAAGCCAAAGAATCTAGTCTCCTTACTGCTTTTGCTGCTCAGCTTTTATAAACATCCATTGTTGTGTTTCATTTGGTACCTTGTCTTTTCTGCTTCCGCCTTAAGCATGCTATTCATCTACTTCTAAAACGCTAAAGTGGTTGCCCCTTTTCCATCATATGAGAAAATGAGGAAATGGTGAATGTGCATAAAAAGACACATGTCAATTATCTAAATTGCTGATCTGAGATATTCCCTTCCACATCCCACATATCTCTTTGTCAATGTCGGCTCTAATCACATGTCCCCCCGTTGATTAAATAATGCCCTTGTCTCAAAATCACTTTTATCTTTCCCATTCACACTACAACAACATCAGACTATCACCTAGGTTGATGTCAGTCAAGGGCTGCAACATTGGGCATCTCAATGCCTCACTCTAGCTACATTTTCTTCTAACTTATTCTGTGGAGAATGGACTCTGGCAGTAGATAGTATCACGATACACGCTGTCACTGATATTTGAGACGAACAAACAATGCCATGTTGGAGACTATATTACCAATATCACTGTCAATAAATGGTATAATTTTCCATGTTTGATGTTTTGTTAGGTAGGATAGAGGGAGTGAGTCGCCTTCTATCTAGCCCGCCCATGAAGGGTCGAGTAAATTTCTTGAGAACTTCTTTCATTTACTCACTGAAAATTTAAACTATTTATGTTGTCAATTCTCAAGATTTCCAACCATACTCTGTGCATACAATCTTTTTATCAAAGAAAAGAAGTTATACTGCGACTTCACTATTTCAAGACCGCTCTTTTGGGTGACCAATGTTTGAAATGCTCAAAACTTCTCTGCAACAAATAGATATTTGAATGCAGCAATCCTAGATGACATTATTTACTAATATCTTCATTTTATCTCAGCATATAAAGCGATGCCGCCGACCTCTGTTGAAGATTTTCCTCTCCCTCGTAACAATAAATATATGAACACTCCACAATACTTCTTCTACATTACATTTTCCCAGCTCAAATATCCCGTATACTCCTTCTCCAACTACTGGACATTTTTGATTTGAAATCTCTGTGTTTCTCTCTGCTTGTTCTCACGTCAGTCAGCAATTTTCGCTTGATACTGCGAGCTGTGCGGTGCCTGGGCACTGTCAGTAAGGTCTCTACACCTAGTTGGAGGATCTGAGTTTAATGGAAGTTTTGCCATTGACATCTTTATAGTTAGAAATAGTAGTTAACTAAAGATGTGTTACGACGCTAGACTCATATATGATGGATAAAAGCATTTGGATCAAAACACCAGGCCCAGCGGGTTCCTGACACGGAGTGGGATACCGACATAGCTTGAATATTCTCAATAACTATACAAAGGGCCAAGTAATATGTGTCACTCTAGCCTTTCATCTGTCGCTTGTACAGTCTTAGCACACGGGTACTCTAACTCCCTCATGGGTCATTTTCGCGTCTGGATTCTGCAAGCGCCGCTTGTATGGCTTGTTCAGATAACGTTACCAGCACCACCAGTGCTACGGGTATTGTTGGCGGCAATGCCACTATGAGGCAAACGAGGAGAGCAGTAGTATTATCCATCCAGAACTCTACGTCATTGTGCTCCACAGATGATGTGATTGCTGCTGCTGCTGTTTTTGTTGTTGCGAGGCAACGGGGATTTTCTCCTGGTTCCTCCCCTTGAAATCACCAGACGCCTTTTTGGTGAACTCTTTTCGTCAAGTCAAAAACAACCAAGGGCTCCATATAGGAGCGATCAGTTTGTCGCTGTCCCGCAATTGGCAGAAGAACCCTGACGGATTATCCATTTGGGTTCAATTCATCCAACCCAACATTTAGCAGATATTGACGATAACAGTACGGAGTAAGCTTGATAGAGGTATTCATTCTGCAGCACTTGAGAAAATAGAAAATAAATTGGAGAGGTATAAGCTTCTGATACATTATCCCAGCACAATTGACAGAGAAGGACCCTGCGATTAACGGTCACTTCAACATCTTCCCTTCACTCTTCAACTAGTGTGGGATAAATTTCAGCGCTATCAAACAATCAGTATTTGGAGCGGGCCTGCACATCCTGCAGATCTTTATGCAGAATGTGTCGACTTAAATAAATCCTTTCCTCTTACCGAGGTTGTTGATTTGATACCTGAAGAGTGAACTTTAGGCATTTGCTTCTCTTTCCTACAAATCACACAACTCGAGCATCCGTTGTTGCACTGCATTAAAACCTTTTGTTCGGTACAGAACATACCTAGGTCCACAGATGGTCTAGGTTGGATTCCCGGCGCAACACGGTCCAGCTGGCATATGGAAAGCCAGGAGCGTTGACGACATTCAACATATCAAATGCAGGTTTCTTCACTGAAAGCAGCTAACTCACTGAGGACGAAGACTCACAGCTTATTTGACGTTTTTATCGGTCGCCAGATATGCCCATCACATTTGTTACGCCACTCTCGCCATGAGTTGTAACCACACGATAACAGAACTGGACCATACCATAATTCAGAAACAAGAGAGATAAATGAGAAGTAGCTACGATAACAATCACACGAGAACAGGAAACAGGGGTTTTCCTCTTATTAACCTGCTTTCCTGTCAATGTTCATGCGATGGCCTTGATGGAAATGGCTTTTCTATATCATTGCTTTTTCTTTCTTTTCTTTCTTTCTTTCTTTTTTTTTCTTTTTTTTTTTTTAAATTTTTTCTTCTCTACCGTCCAACCAGTCTGTGACTGGTGTGTATTGATCATTCACAGCGGCATTATTTCCAACGGGTTTATGCTTGTAATTTTGCTCCTGGGAGAGTGGTTAAACGGCCCCCCAAGGCTGCAATCAGCCTGGAACCTTTACCCCATATATTCAGAGAACAATACGCTATCACTGGTTTGTCCCTTGAGATACGGTGGATTCCAGACCAAAAGATTCCCATCAGTCACTGCCCAGTGAACTTCTCTGCAGTTCATGCAGGGGATCGTCAGATCGACAACTACTGTCCAGCACAATTCACAATTCTGGGGGTATCTTCTGGGTATGAAAGTAAATTAGCCTTATTACCCTGAACGGGGTAATTTATTTGATAACAAATTAACAATCAGGACCATATCTTATTATTTAGCTATGTCTTCGTGACAGATTATCATATAGATTTCGTGAAGCCCAGACGTTCGCTTCATGAATTCATGGTTGATTCAACTCCACGCAGTATAGAGTTGAGAATACAGGGTACTTAGACTATGCTCCATTCTGAGAAATCATCGGGGATGCATGGCCACTGTGTAAGAATCGAGCTTTGGGAGCATGCTGTGATGATCATATCCATGGCTGTATGCATTACTCTGTTGTGCCAACACGTATTCCAGGGGCTATAATTCCACATGGGCATGAAATGGAATGGGCTCGCTGCAACCAACACGCGGCGAGTAACTAGGTGTATGTAACTTAGTTATATCTTCATGGTCAGCTGCAAAGTGGACCCTGATAGTCATCCATAATAATAATGCTATCCTTCAGATTCACCCCCCCCCCCTTCCTTAAGTTCTCCGGAGTCCCCATGGATAGAAGAATGAATGGAGAGTTGTTTCATTTCAATCGTCCAGCCTTCAAGGGTCCCTAGAGTCAAGACACCTCCGACCTAAGCCCGCTAACCCCTAGCATCCCCCAATAGTGCCCACTAGTTACTAAAGTTAGTAAGCCCAGAAGTTGGGTTTGTTTAGTTAATCGTTAACTGGAATCCGGGCTCCAGGTGGCCGCTGTTTGAACTTCTCCCAGGTTTATTATGCACGGCGCACCCTCAAAAGGTCCTTCAAACTTAGCTTCCAGCTTGTTCATTCGCCAGCGGTAACAACCAGTGGTCCGTGATTCCTGAGTGTTGATAATGGATCTGCTGAGATTACAACCTCAAGCCCCCCACCGCAGAACTATCTGCTGGGACAGGTTCTCTGCAACCAACCACTGGTTTCTCCCTGAAGACCACAAGGGCAAAGCTTCTTCTTCATGCTGACCTCTTGGAAAAAAGCCACAACGGCCCACCTCAGGTCCACCCCCAAAAACCAAAAAAAGAAAAAAGAAAGAAAAAAAGAAAGAAAAAGAAAAAGAGGGCAATTATCGGCTCCTTATTTTCATTTGTCGCCTCCTGAGCTCCGCTTGGACTATCCAAAATGACGAAAATTACGGGTCATGGGCGGGGCAAGCCTCGACCACCGGTTCCTTTTGAACAACAGATTGGTTCTCATGAGGGGGTGTGTGGCATACACACAGAAGTTGCCCTGAACTTCTCGCATCACTTTCAGTATCATAAAATCTGCGGTTTCCGGGCTCTTGACTTTTGCCTGGCGTTTTGTGGCCGGCATGATAGTGGGCTCTTCATCCAAAACCAGCCCCTTTCTCATTCCTAAGCCGAGCTGTATAGTCCTTATACTCCCACTGGAACTGGGTAATCAGAACACCAGAAGAATGGCGAGCTTTTTGGTCAGTTTTACCATGTGGTTTCCAGAGAGAAGACTCTGAACAGTGTTAGGTAAAGTCAGGCTGATAAATCCCTCCAGGATCCAAGTAAAGATCCAAACATCGGGTCTTCCCGTGGTAGTAACCAGACATCCACTGTTGATTCTACGCTCAACTCCCTCGGGGTAGAGACATCTACCTCTGCTGCAGCCCTTCTTACAACTTTTGCTCCGTCCTTTATCCTTTTTACCTTATGGACTGCATTGTTCATTATCTGCCGGCGGAGTCAGCGACGATTCTATGCTCCCAGGTCCTATTTAGGAAATATACATGAACAGTACAATATCCCTAACCTTCGCCCTCCTCTTTCTTCCATTCTTATTGAGACCATTCTCACAATTTGCCCTCTTCCAGTGAGCGAAGTCCAGAGTTACCTTCGGGTTGGTTGAATTGGGTCGGTGCATTCTTCAACCTGTCAGACACCTATGTACTTCAACATTCATCCTTGGATGGATACTTTTTTCTACGGTTTCTCCGCCTCATGTCGGTGACATGTTTCGTTGGGTGTCTTATAGTATGGCCAATCTTGCTCCCTATTCATGCTACAGGAGGGGCTGGCAATACCCAGCTCGACGCTCTGAGCTTCAGTAATGTGAAGGAACCACGTCGATATTTTGCACATGTCCTTGTCTCTTGGACGTTTTTCGGTGAGACGTAAAAATACGTTCGCACAATGGATGTAAAAGATGTGGAAAGAAGCTAAGATTGGTGATAGGTTTTGTTTTCTATATCATAACACGGGAAAGTATGTTCTACGCCACACTCCGACAAGCCTATCTTTTATCGCCTCTGTATGCCAGTCGTATATCGTCCAGGACTGTCCTCTTCATGGCTGTTCCTCAAGCCTTCCTCACTAAGCGGAAGCTGAAAAACGTCTTTGGGAAGTCTGTCAGACGAATATGGATTACCACAGACTGCAAAAAGCTGGACGATCTAGTCAGCAGAAGAGACAAATTAGCGCTACGACTCGAGGAGATGGAAACACGCCTGATCAAATCGGCTAATTCTGCGAGATCTAAAGCTATTAAATTGCAGAAAAGGGATGAGGAATCTGCCATCCCAGATGGAGCGGATCATGACCTCGATTCTGTTGCATGGGAAGGCAAAGTGAAACGACCCACACACCGACTTCATTTCTTCATGGGCAAGAAGGTTGACACCATAGAATGGCTTCGGTCTGAACTTGAAAGAGTCCTTCCAGAAGTCAAAAAGCTGCAGAAGAAACACCGGGAAGGCGATGCAAAGTCCATCCCAGCAGTGTTTATTGAATTCGATACGCAATCAGCTGCGCAGACGGCTTTTCAAACGCTTTCTCACCACCAACCTTTTCAAATGACTCCCCGTTTTATTGGAGTTACACCTCATCAAATCGTTTGGCCTGCTTTACAATACAGCTGGTGGGCCCGAATTGTTCGGAAGTTCCTGATTCAAGGGGCGATCACTGCATTAATTATCTTCTGGTCCATCCCTTCTGCCTTCGTTGGAATGATCTCGAACGTTGCTTATCTGAGCAAACTCCTCCCTTTCCTCAGTTTTATTAACAAACTGCCAGATGTAATTAAGGGGGTCATCAGCGGATTGCTTCCCGCTGTTGGCCTTGCTTTGCTGATGGCATTGGTACCGGTTATTCTGAGATGTGAGACTTGTTTTTTGTTTTGATTTTCATCGTAGACTTCTTCCCGTTTGCTGCCAAAATATAACTAATTCCTCCTATTTATAGTTTTCGCGAGGCAAACAGGTCTTCCGACCACTGTTGCCGTGGAGCTATTCACACAAAACACCCACTTTTGCTTCCAGGTCGTTCAGGTATTCCTCGTCACAACTTTGACATCCGCGGCGTCGGCGGCAACTAGCCAAATCATCAAAGATCCCATGTCAGCAAAGGACTTGCTGGCGAAGAACCTTCCAAAGGCGTCAAATTTCTATATTTCCTACTTCCTCCTTCAGGGCCTAGTCTTGAGCGCTGGCGCCGTGGTGCAAGTGGTGGGATATGTAGTTTTTAAAATATTTGTTGCATTTTTTGATGCAACCCCGCGCAAGCTGTATGCGCGATGGACGTCGATGAGCGGATTACAATGGGCTACGGTCTTGCCAGTTTTCACAAATATGGTCGTGATTGGTAAGTACGACAAATAGAGCTGTACCCCTATAACGGCTAAATCATTCTTGGTTTTTCGTTTTTCTCGTCGGCATCTGACCGTATCTAGCAATCACATACTCCTGTGTCGCACCTATTATCCTCGGGTTTGCGTCGTTCGGCTTATACATGGTATATCTGGCCTATCGCTACAATCTTCTTTTTGTCTACGACTCCGACGTGGACACCAAGGGTTTGATATACCCACGTGCCCTGCAACAAGTCATGACTGGTATATATCTCGCATCGGTATGCATGATTGGCCTGTTTGCCATCCGGGGTGCGATAGGGCCAGTCATATTGATGGTCCTCTTCACCATCTTAACAATTCTAGCACATATCTCCCTCAATGATGCACTGGGCCCACTACTTTCTGCTCTCCCACGAACACTGGAACAAGTTGAAAAGATGATTGATGACAACGAGGAAGGTGAAGAACAAGGCTACGCAGAAGAAAGGGATAATGCAAGCAGCTCCCGAGCGTACGCAACAAGCGAAAAATCTCCAATAAGCCCGGCAACGGCAAGCAACGAGATCAGCCTCCCGAGCCCATCATCTGTCCCCTCCAGATTCAAACGCAAAGCCCAAACGACCATAACTGTGACCGAAAGAGCGGGGACGGGCATGTCCACTGAGATCTTCCCCTCGTCCCCACCAACGCCCGGCACTTTCCACACTCTCACCTACAAATTCTCCTATTTCATGCACTCGCTCGTAGAACCAAACATGTACATGGACTATGAGACGCTGCGCAAGAGAGTCCGGCAAGGTGCCCCGATAGAATACACAGATGAAGTGGCGGATAACGCCTATTATCCGCAGTCAGTGTGGAGTCCGACTCCGCTGCTCTGGGTGCCACGCGATGCGGGCGGGGTTAGTCGCCGTGAGGTAGAGTTGACCAGCCGTGTGACGCCAATTACAGATGAGGAGGCGCATCTGGATGAGAAGAACAAGGTCAAGTGGGATAAAGTAAAGAGCCAGCCTCCGATCTGGCAGGAAAAGATATTTTATTGAAAGAAGGGAAGGGAAATGAGTGAAAGAAACTGGGAAATGTTGGGTTCTGGACCGAGGGTTGGGGATATTGGATGCTTAATTTACGTCGCCGGAAGGGAACGCACTTTTTGATTGTTCAATACCCTGTAGGAGTTATAGGATCGAAATTCGGGTTTCAGATTTTGTTAGAGAGATCGAGTGGCTTTTTGGAAAGCTGATAATTGTACATAGATATATCGAATATATTTTCACAATCGCACCAAGAATGCTTTTGTCTTCTTTGCACCGCTCAAGTCTGTTTCTTGGATTCAAGAATAGAAAATAAAATATAGTAACTACGTGTTCAGAAAGTATCTCATCGATATCAACGCAACACTACTTGCAATATACTGTTTCTCTAGACTGAGAAGGCGGAGAGTGCTTGATCTGATCAATATCAATGAGATGGAGAGGGGGGATCGAAGCGGGAAAAATGAGACTAGGGGATGATCTGAAGGATGAGATGGGTGTATTGCATGACAATGCATGAACCAGCCCACCATGACTCAGTTAAAGAGGACACAAGAAACAAACAATAACTGGCTGAATGACAAGCCATCTTGGTGACTCAGAATGAATGATATTATATCTATATAGCTGCATTTATATACTTCTGATTAATAAATTCTCGATTAACTAGTTAACTAGATAGTTTTTAGTTAACTAACTGGTTAGTTAATTAAATATTAACTTGGTGAGCAATGAGTTGGATGAGTAATACTGTATCTATGGTAATTTACACGACATCGTATTTCTCCCCAAAATAAAAAGGACATTTTCAACGTCCTCTGTAAAGAAGCTCACAAAATTCACCGCATTTAACCCATGGAATTCGGGTCTTCTATTACTATATTATATATATTCCTCCTCCTTTCGATTTACTATTTTCTTGTTATATAGCACCCACATCTCCTTTTCAAGCCCGTTTTGAGGATCCAGGCACGAGCAGGAACGATCTGAAATCTCCTCACCTTGTATTCGCGGAGATTATCTCTTCCCTGTCGAAGAAGATTTTCAAGCGAATTGATCGAGACTCGTAGCTCTCTAAGTCAGCATGGTTGAGGTATCCTCCAAAACTTCTCCAACTGCTGCTCCGCAACGACACCGAAGTCCCAACCGAGGCAATCGAAGACGTGGTCGTGGCGGTGGGACGCCGGTCATGCAGACGGACAACCAACAGCGACGCGGGAGAGGGGGCAGCGGTGGAGCCAGGGGAGGTAGAGGAGGAGAACGGGGTGGAGGAATACAAACAAGACCACAGGGCTCTGGCTCCAACTCTAACGCAATCAGACCTGGTCAACCCGTTGACGGTGGTGATAGCAGGGGTGAACCTCCAGACCCAGTTCACCGTAATCTAGGCACCTCTGGTGACCGCCTCACTGGAGATGCCAAACATTCTGAAGGCGAAGGGATGACCACCGCGGCGGCCACTGCAGAAGAGCAGGCAGATGACGGCGAAGTCTGCTTTATCTGTGCGTCTAAGATCGATCATACCGCCGTTGCGCCCTGTAACCACCGGACATGTCATATCTGTGCTTTGCGACTGAGAGCGTTGTATAAAACTAGGGCTTGCGCGCACTGTCGGGTATGTTTTAGCAGCCATTCTGGTAATTTGAGATTTGGGTTGACACAGTTTAAGAATGTTGAAAGCTAATTTGAAGTTCGTTCTTGTTAAATGTCGAATAGACGGAATGGCCCTTCGTAATTTTCACTGATGATCCAGGAAAGAAATTTGAAGATTTCACGAATAAGGATTTCATCCGCACAGATGACAATTTGGGAATTAAGTACGAATCGTACGATATTTTTGAAGATACTGTGCTATTGCTGCGTTATAATTGTCCTGATAAAGAGTGCGATGTCGCCTGTCAGGGATGGCCGGATCTACACCGCCATGTGAGGAGCCGACATCAAAAGGTTATGTGGTATGTACGAGCTTGTTTCAGTTAAAAGCATAAAATTTCTCAACTGTCCCTGCTAACAAGTTTGAAGTGACCTTTGTACTCGAAATAAAAAGGTATTTACTCATGAACATGAGTTATTCTCCCAAACGCAGCTCCGGAAACATGAAAAATATGGAGATGACAATCCTGGCGCTGTTGATCAGAGTGGGTTCAGAGGCCATCCTGAATGTGGGTTTTGCCGTCAGAGATTCTATGGCGATGATGAACTTTATACGCATTGCCGAGATAAACACGAACGTTGCCATATCTGTGACAGGCGGAATGCATCCCGCCAGCAACAGTACTTCGTCAACTACAACGCTCTGGAGGAGCATTTCAGCAAAGACCATTTCCCTTGTCTGGATAAAGAATGTCTAGAGAAGAAATTTGTGGTGTTTGAGTCGCAGCTGGATTTGAAAGCCCATCAGCTGGAGTCTCATCCCGCCGGACTTTCTAAAGATGCAAGAAGAGATGCAAGGGTAGTTGATATTTCCAGTTTTGAGTACCGAACACCTTACCAACCTCAGCGGGGCGGAAGAGATGGGCGGGGAGCTGGAAGAGGTCGTGATCCTAACTCGGAGCCTCTTCCGCCATCCAGCGCTCAGCCATTAAAGCGGGACGAGCTGGCTTATCAAAGACAAATTGCCATTCAGAGCGCTCAGTCAGTTTCCAGCAGAACATTTGGTGGCCAGCTCACATCGAGCAGCGCCCAATCAGTTCGCATGCCTTCACAATCGACCACAGCACATCCCACACCGACGCCCGCCGCTCTTCAACCGGCGATGGAGTCCTTGAATATAGGACGCCCTAGTGCCACGCCTTCTACCCCACAAGAACAAGCTCGCCAAATAGCACATGGTGCCGTAATGAACCGCGCATACTCCCTGCTACGCAACGACCCGCTCAAAGTCACGGACTTCCGCAACAAAGTATCCGCGTATCGTGGCGGCACGATCAACGCCCCCTATCTCATAGAATCCTTCTTCTCGCTCTTCGACACCTCCTCCAGTGAATTAGGGAAACTTATAAAGGAACTTGCCGAGCTCTACGACGACGAGGCCAAACGCACTGCCCTTCTCAAAGCGTGGAACGACTGGCGCGCCATAAACGAAGACTACCCAGCTCTACCCGGGTCAAACAGCGTCCTATCGAACGCCAGCACATCCACCAGCGGCGGTGGAAAACGCGTATTACTCCTTAAGTCATCGACTGCACAATCATCACGATCAGCTGTCGGGCGTAGTGGCAGTCTAGTAGGACTTTCAAATGGTACAAGCAGCAGCAATCCATTTCCACCACTAGGCGCCTCCTCAAATACCAGGAAATCACGTGCATCGGCAACTCCATGGTCAACTGTGACCCCCCCGTCACGCTCGGTCGGGACCTCACCGGCGCCTTCTCGCCCTTCTCCTTCAAATGGTGCTAGGATAGCAATGACTACAGCTTCCCGCACCGGTGGTGCCAATTCAGATGCTTTTCCCGCCCTCCCGGCGGCGCCAAAGCCTAACACTCTCATGGCAGGTGTTACCCGCGGCACCGTGCGGTGGGATAGTGGATCCTCAGGCAACACCGGACCGTCGCCTTGGGGGAGGGGATGTATTAATCCTACACCGGCAGAGGCGGGTGGGGATGGGGATCTTGGAGAGGGAGGGGGAAAGAAGGGAAAGGGAAAGAAAGGGAAGCAGGTATTGTATCATTTTGGATAGTGGAGTGGGTGGCATAGCCTGAGGTCTATATGAAAATTGTTCATATGTATTTTGCCCTCGTTGGATCGGTAGTGAAATGAGGTTTTGCACCGACGATGAGTAAAGAGGGTTTAGCTATTAATGTAGGACTGCAAACAAAATTGCTGGTCATGAGACGATGGCTAAAGTTATCACGTTTGCGATGTAACATGTAGAAATGGAGTGACCTCAAAAAATGTGGACTAAGGAAAAACATTACAAGAGCGAGCCACTGCTGTCAACATCTTTGAAATTAATATAATAAGCACGTATTTCAAAAATGTAAGATTTGGAAGAGTCGTGAATATTAGGCAGCAGAAACGGAAGATAAGGGGTATGATTCATAAATTTCGTAGATCATACATGCATAAAGCTAGAAGTCAGCTTTTTGGCAGGAATCGCTAGGGACAACAAAACATATTAGAGGGGGGGATTGCGGGGAAATTTCATTGCATATTAATATATATCTTCGGCAACCAGAAAGTTGCTGTAAGAAAATGGACAGAACTTCGTAACTCAGAAGATTCATAAAATATAAAATGAATAATGTTATATTCGATGAATCACAACAGAACACATTTTTCACGAGTAGAGCTCTAGAACAGACGAGGAGTGCTGCTCGGTTATCGACCATGGAATGGAACCTCCTGCGGAGGAGGTGGTTTTGTTAGTAATGGGACTGGAAATGATTTCCGGATTAAAGTCAAGAGATCCTGACGGCTGAGTGTCTAGACTTTCATCTATATCCATGATGTCGTCTTCTGCCATGTTGACTTCTTCATCAAGTGCCACCATTCGTAGCGTAAACTCCTGCTGGAGTTTCTTCAGCCAGGCTTGAAGGCTCTTACCTTCTAAGACGCCTTCCTTCGCTTGGAGGAGTTGTTCTTTGAGGTCTAAAATAAGTTTTCTCCTTTTCGCAATTGCCAAGGTTTTGGAGCGCTTTCTCTGATTCTCGATCTTCAAGCTCAGCGCCTTGGAAACTTCTTGCGCCTTGTCCAATAGGGATTGTGGAAAGGGGAGGAGCCGGGCAAGGAAAAGACCGTAGTGTTTGTCCTTCACGAAACCATCCGCTATTTTGTACAGCATTGTCATTTTTGAAGTCGAGGGCGACATTTCAACTGCAAGGTGTAGATTGACAACGCCATTCCGGTCCGCCATAATCTTGGAGAGGTCATGGAAATGCGTTGTGAACCAAACTAGAGCGTGGCTTTCGACAAGAGCTTCGGCAATGGCAATGGCAATGGCAAGTCCGTCAGTAGTGCTGGTGCCGCGACCTAGCTCATCGATGATTACCATACTTTTAGGCTCGATGTTCCGAAGAATGAAAGACATTTCACGCATTTCAGCAGAAAATGTAGAGACGTTGGCTACGACATTATCATCCGTCGATACTCGAGCAAAGAGTTGGTGCACAACTGGAAATGAAGCATACTGCGCAGGGACAAAGCAGCCGATTTGAGCCATAACAGTCATCAAGGCGAGAGATCTAATATATGTGCTTTTCCCACTCATATTACACCCAGTGATAATCTGGAATCGTGATTGCTGGGTAGCATACGCATCATTAGGCACATACTTTTCAGCGTGAATCTTTTCTCGGATAGGGTGCTTTCCAGCCTTGATCGCAAGCGTATCTGTGAGTTCCGGTCGCACATAGTCCTGCATGGTTACAAGATGCGCGAAGGAAGCCAACATATCTAACATTGCAATGCTTTCGCTAACCCGGAATAAGCCTGCTATTTCTGATCGAATATCCTCGATCAATTCATGGATACTCCGGTCGCTCATGTTGATCACCTCATTATGGGCGTCGGTGATTTTTTGGTTCAGCTTTACAAGATCTAGAGTTTGGAATTCGATGTAGGTCTTCTTTCTAAAGATATTAATAAAAATATCTGGCAGTTCGCTATTATCTAAACAGGATACCGGTAATCGGAGATAATAGTGTCGTCCGGTTTCAAACCTCAGGTCAAGGGCGAGATCATATTCATCTAAATAGAGTGATTATCATTAGCGTCCTCCAGGACTTATATTGCTGTTTGAAAAATACCTCCTAGTCGAGAAGCTAGCTCCACCACATCATTGTTTGCCTCTTGATATGTCTGTCTTGCAACATCGAGGAGGCTGTTGATTCCAGCCTACACATGTTAGAAAGCGTTTCTTAAAATGCTTCAAGGGATCCTCACTTTGACAGCATATGTTCGTTGATTTCGTAGGTCTAAAGGCCGAGACTGGTATGTAACGTCTTCGTTCAGCGTGGAGTTAATCATATCTGCTATAGCAGCATACTCTTGGGGCCCACATAGCTAACTCTTGTTAGTCTTCTACGGTGAGAAAGGGGGAAGAATGGTGACAACGAACGTTGCGAATTGCCAGAAGAAGACTGCTCTGTGCACCAGACAAAGCTTGATAGATGGGTTTAATCGCGTTGACATAGGTTTTGAGCATAATAATGTTATTTATCGATTGCTCTGCATGCTGCAAAGTCACCCTTGTTGGTATCACTATGAGCTAAATTATAGATTAGTTTCGACAAATTCCAGTTCCTAAATCACGACAACCTACAGAAGTGAGGACTTTGTCCGAATCAACAAAAGTCTTAAGAGCTGAGAGCGGGACATTAGCGCGGTATATGTATGAGATACTTTGAGCACAAACCCTGCCTAACGGAGTAAAACATCTCTTCCTTTGTGCTCAATTCCTCAACCGCCTCATATCTAGCCAAAAGCTTGGCTTGTTCCGTGGATGGCTGGAGTAAATTACTGCGGAGAAGCCTAGATCCCATTGTGGTAAGCGTTTCATTGAGAACCCCGAAAAGACAGTCGCGAGATTTGGAGTTTTGACGGTTTTGAATCAACTCCAGGGAAACAATTGTAGATAGATCAATCAACATGGAACCTTCAGATGGTTCATATTTAATGCGAAGAGAATGGTGAGAAAATTGCTTTGACAACTCGGTTTTAATGTAAGTGAGTGCCTTGAAGGAGGCCATGTTAGTTCAAGCAAAGGCGGTCCGCCAAGTTAAACAATCTGAACATACCGCAGCGAGACAGCATGTAGCAAAATAGCTGCCGTCAAGGGACATCTTGATTGACTCTAGGTCTTCTCTAAATGCAAGCTGCTCGACATATTCATGACCCGCCCTTTCAGCCCATAGTCGTCGGTCAATAAACGTTACAGTTAGAAGAGGTAGGTTCTCTTCCACGATCGAATAGAGCTTCGAACGAGGTTCCCTTGCAGTTTTCATAAAAAGGATTTCTGTCGGATCAAACACAGCTAGTTTGTGAATAGTTCGGGCATAGGTTTGACTGTCACATATCTGACAAAGCACGGCCTCTGACGTGGAAAGATTGACAAAAGCCAGGCCAACAGTAGGCGATATCCCACGAGACTCGCTGATGGCACAAATAATTTCCTGGAAGGCGATACTTGTCCCCGCATTTGTTGGCCTCGTTGTCCTAGGGTATTCAGAGCTTGACAGAGCTGTGGTAGGCCGTCCATTATTGCTGTAAGAGAAGTACGAAGCATTCGTCGAGAAGCACGTCGAAGGCATCCTCGACAAATGAATTACGCTAGACGGTGTTACTTGAATATGTGCATCCACTGGATCATAGCCGAATGCAGCAGAATTTGCTGCCCGGACACCACAAGTCAATGCCTGCTGATATACGAAGAAACCATCCCGACGTTGTTGAGTTGATGTTCTTTTTAAAGTTGATGCCGTCGATGTCGCTGTAAATATGTGCGCTAAGCCGCTTACCGTTAGTTAGCCTCAGATGTCGCCAACGGCATGGAAGCACTTAGTCATCTGTAAAAATAAAATAAAATAATGTACCTGAGATTCATTTTTGGGTACGAAAAATATTTTGCCGGGCTGCTTGATGTGCACGAGTCTCAACTACGGAATAATAGTGACAGGAGCAGTGATTCTGGAAATCCAGCACCATGGCAACAGTGCTGCCTCCTCCTAGCAAGCGCCAGAAACGAGACATTGCAGAGAAGACGCGATTGCAGCAGGAAGTCCAAACCATTCCAACTGACTTGGGCAGCGTCCGGGTCCAATTCTTCGACCAGACCACGGGGAAGCCCACTGGCCCGCCAGTATCTGTTCCTATTGCAGATGCGACTGTCAAAAACCTTGAGACGCTTGTAAATACTCTACAGGGTAATGTAGGTACGCTCATAATCTAAATCCGCCAGATTTTGCGATTGGATATTCAAGCATAGAGGTTGCGACATGAAAAGACGAGCTAATGAAAAGTCAAAAATATAGGATGACAATGAAAAAGTACCCTACCGGTTTGCATATCAACCGGAGGAAGGACATGTAGATGTCGTTGATATCCTATCAGATCTGTATCATTCACTCCTCAAACCGGGACTGAAAACGTCGGAAGACACTGTCCACCTCCAATACACCCCACAAGCAGTCTTCCGTGTAAAAGCTGTATCGCGATGCTCAGCATCGATATCAGGGCATGGGGAGGCTATCCTTGCGACTGCGTTTTCGCCGGCTTCCTCGTCGCGCATGGTTACGGGAAGCGGAGATTCAACAGCGCGGATATGGGACTGTGATACCGGAACTCCTTTGCACACCTTGAAAGGTCACACCAGTTGGGTTCTTGCTGTCAGCTGGTCACCGAATGCACAGATGATAGCGACGGGGAGCATGGATAATACCGTACGTCTATGGAGTCCAAAAACAGGCGAAGCACTGGGCGGGCCACTCAAGGGCCATACGAAATGGATTATGAGTCTCGCATGGGAACCATACCATTTGCAAAAATCCGGGGTTCCCCGGCTGGCATCTGCGTCAAAGGACAGCACTGTACGGATATGGGATGTGATTTCAAAACGCATTGACGCTGTGCTCACAGGTCACAAAGGCTCCGTTTCTTGTGTCAGATGGGGCGGGACGGGGCGCATATACACCTCTTCGCATGACAAGACGATCAAGATTTGGAATCCAGAAGATGGCAGTTTGCTACAGACTCTCTCGTCACATTCACACCGCGTAAACTACCTTGCATTATCAACCGACTTTGTTCTCCGAACCTCCTTCTACGAACACAATCAAAAGGAACCCGAGACGGACGAGGCGAAATTTGCAACCGCAAAGCGCCGGTTCGAAGAAGCGGCAACTATCAACAATAAAATCACCGAACGACTTGTCTCTGCCAGTGACGATTTCACCATGTTTCTCTGGGACCCCGTGTCATCGAATAAGCCCGTGGCACGTATGCTGGGGCATCAAAAAGAAGTAAATCATGTCACATTTTCTCCAGATGGAGCGTACATTGCATCTGCAAGTTTTGACAACCACGTCAAATTGTGGAATGCTCGGGATGGAAAGTAGGTCAAAATTTTTTAATTTCAATATTTGCCAACAGTCCCTCCTGTAACCAAATCTAATACTAGAGGTATATATATATGTCTAACCAAATTTAACTAGATTTATATCTTCACTCCGCGGCCATGTGGGTGCTGTATATCAATGCTGCTTTTCAGCAGACTCAAGACTCCTCGTTTCATCATCCAAGGATACCACGCTGAAAGTCTGGGACGTTCGGACGGGGAAGCTGTTGATGGATTTACCGGGACATTTAGATGAGGTTTATGCGGTTGACTGGAGTCCGGATGGAGAAAAGGTAGGTAGCGGGGGAAGGGATAAGGCAGTTCGCATCTGGAGACATTGATTTGAATTGATATTTGATGATAGGGAGGGGAATTAAATTTCAGGAAGATGGGAATTCAGAATTGACACTTTCATTTGATTTTAACGGGAAAAAGGGATATCTATATAGAGGGAAATGAACAGGATGGTTCGAGACATTCACGTCATTTTAACATGAACACATATTTGACAAGACGAACAGTTCCGCTGCGAAGGCGCAACTCACAACATCCTTAGCCATAACACACCCCTTCAATTCCCACAAGCACGCCAGCCAAAACAATGGCCAGCGCCCACCACTCAAACACCCCTGACTTCAATCTGGGGACACCACCACTAACTCGAGGCTGAACATTCTCCTCAAAAGACCGCACACCAACGACATTTCCCGGTGGGAAATACTGGCAAACAACATACCAACCATGCGCAGCATCATCGTCCCGGTCACGAGGATTAGCTTTCCCACAATCAAACCTCGCACACCCCATCGTCTTCGTCCCCTTCCATACAAGCTGTGAGAAATGGCCCGTCTCATGCGTGAAGCGCGGCTTATTAAAGTTGAAAATCCTCCGCTCGTCGCCCCACGCCTGGACGGTGGCTGTGACGTTGGCGTAGCCCATGGCGAGATTTTCACCCGAGGTCTATGCGTAGTTGGTTTAGTTGAGGGAGGTTTGGTATTGAGATGGAGTCGATAACTGGAAATTCAAAAAGGGTTGAAAGGTAAATTATCGTATACATACGGAATGTTCCCAGCGGCATTTTCGAGCCCAGTTTTGGGAGCTGACTTCTAGAGTCCTGTTCCATTTAAGGGCTGTGGCATTGTGTTCGCATCTGAATTTATTGGTGACGGCAACGATAGTGTTTCGGAATTGCGAATCGGAGGTGTAGCAAGGGGGTGTTTTAGAGGATTGCGCTACTGTTGGACGAGGGGGAAGAGTAACCGTAGCTGTTAATGTGAGATGGGCAGAGATTGTAAGGAAGTGAAAGCAGAGAAAGAGTATGCAAAGTAACGTTGTCATCATTTCATATAGCGGTTTTCAGAAGCATGCGGTTGGAAGGGGTATCGAAGCTGTTTATATCACGTAAATGCTGGATATGACGAAACAAGTGTCTACATGCAACGTAAGGCAATTTGAAACATAACGGGATTTCAAATTTGGATGGACATATAGAGTCTCGTAGACGACTATAATGAAAGAATTAGAATTGAACAATAAAGATGTTTCATACCCCGTTTATTCACTTGGAAATTGATGAATGGGGGGATCAGTAACAAAACAAAGTACAACACAATCCATATCCGCCTCTATATGTAAGAAAAATGCTTTAAATAAAGGCATCGCGAAAAGCATAAATAAAGCCTTGTGGTTAATAGCAAGAAGCCAACGTCTTTTCATCAGGATAATGACGCCCTGCAGCGGCTCTGGCCGCAAGGGCGATCATCCATCCAACAGAGCAAAAGGCTTGGCGGCTGCATGATTCAAGAAATGAGACGTCTTCAGAACTGCTACGTCAGGACCGGCCTCTTAAAGCTGTTGTTGACAGGTCAGGATAAATTCCTGTTTCTCTGGCCTGAAACATGAAGCTTCTACCAGCGCTTCCAACGAAAAGTTAGGTTTTGACATTGTGCCTTACATAAGCAGTCGAGGTCATCGCGTAAGAAACCGCATCGGAGAATTGAGGGGAAGAATGATTCGAAAGATACAACACTGTCAACGGAAGAACAGGAGTCATGTTCAACGGAGTCATCTCCACTGTCTTGCACATCCATGGATAGGTTGGATTAGCAGCTTCGCCTAGTTAAACAATTCAATCCTTGCGTGGCGACAACGCGACCTGAGTTCTAAGCGGCTAAAATGTAGCTTGCCATTGATGGGAACAGACGTTGAACAATCGTATTAACTTGTCGATATTTGCGAGTAGCGTAGAGATCGTTCCTTCAGTTCACAGTGCTCTATCATAGAGATAGGAAGATGAGATGATGGAGATATCCAACATTACATTAATGCAAGCTTTCGGAGAACTTCTGCTTTTCACATGACCAAACATCCAATGCCAAACATTGCCCTTTCCACGCCTTTCTTGACCTGATACCAATCAGCCCGCCTTGTAGCAAATTCATACACCTCCTCAGCGCAAAAGATGCCATGGAAGCGGTCGCCATCGGCAATGATCGAAGCCATCTCCTTGGAATCAGAGGGATCGATAAGGTACACCTGCGAAAGTTCCCTGAGGGCAACGAAGTATTGAAGAAGCTGATCGTTCTTCATGGTTTTGATGAAGTCGAAGTAGTGATTCATATCACTGTGTGCCAAAGTTAGGATAAATATGTTAAGAGCAAACCTTTGCGGGGAATATTTGATCGAGTTCTGACTCCTTTTCCTTTCTTTTTTTGAAATATTTATTTGTTTGAGACTTACCTTATAAGTTTAACTGCACCCTCTACATTTATACGTTGCATTTTCAGATGCTTGCACAGTGAGGCGAAAAGTCGCAGGCCGATTTCTTGATTAAACACGTCTAGGGTACTCTTATCCGTGCTCCCCACAAGCATCCGTGTGTGCGATGAGACAACATCCACAATAGCTTTTGCTGCCTCGCTCGGTCCGACATCGACAGCATTCTGCCCGGACAGATCTACACTCGGGTTAAAATCAGCCGCGTTTTGCTTCGCCGCCAGAAGGTAGTCGACCTCCTCCATAAGGACATCGATTCCCTTGCTGAGACCCCCAGCAACCCGTTCATCTAGCATCTGCTCAAATTTCTTCTTCTCTTTCACAGCAGAATCGAGGAAATCTCCTCGATCGGTTAATTTAGTCGCGATCAACTCCTGCTCGTAGAATACGTCCATCATCTGCAGGATAAGGTCGCCGACATTGACTAGCTCAAGAAAAGTAACCAGTGGCTCAACTCCCTGGCTATCATGTTCATTTTTGTGTCGTGGTCGATACTCGGAAAGGTGGTACACGGCTTTGTCAAAACCTGCAATGACATGACGGTGACCGAGATTTTGCAAGAGCGAAACGAAAATTGCCTGGCACTGCAGTTTTGCATTCTGTCCGGCTTTACCACCTAGTTTCACGAACTGTCCCGCGCGCTCCAGACTTGATTTGGCAGTGTGCACCAAATCCAGCGCTACCTCGATACTAAATAGGGAGCGGATACCTTCGAGTCTCGAATTCATGATCGCAACTTTGGCAGCAAGTTCGGTTGTGGGCAGATCATCTGATGGAGTCGGTGGGCGGAATGGAATAGACACGGGAGTCGAAAACTTGGGGTTTGGAATATGATCTGGGTCATGTTTGTGCACATCCCTTTCGCTATCCTCCGCCTTTGGCCCGTTGGACATCATGGAGGAGATATTGGGTAGAATATTCACGGGTGCCATAAGGACTTTTTTAAATGAGGTCAAGAAATCTTTCTTATCAGCTTGCCTGTTGACGTTGGACATGTAGAAAGATTCTGTAGAGGCCGCTTGCTCTGAGAGTTGTCTATCCCATTCAGACACGACGACATCACAGTGTTTGCGGAAGTAATTAAGTTCGTCTGTTAGATACTGATCGACACAAGGTTCAAATACCTTTCCTACAATCTGGCCAGCAGCCTCGAAAAATTCGTCACTGGATTTTTGAATCGGTTGTAACTCCCGAACAAAATGGGATGTCTGTGCGAACGTTCCGGAGACAGCTTTAAGATATGACTCAGTGTTCTTGGAACGAAGATCGATGAAAAGAGTGGTAAAATAAGGAGATAACACATCCTTCACGATCCTCTCAAAAAATAGCGTGGAGATGTTCCCAGGCTTTGAGAAGCACATATCTATAATAGACACTTCCTCGTTGTATGCCACATTGAGACGAGTGAGGAATGCTTGCGAGTGCTCCAACTTAACAGCACCGTTGCCACGGTCGACACAGTCTGAAGGACTTCCAAAGTCCGATTTCCGAGCGAACAGATGATTATTTCGAATGAAGTAGTCAATGGCTGCGCCGCCACCATTCAACGTGGTTAGGGCATGACCATATCTCCGCATCAGGCCGTCGATATCTCCATTTTCGTAGCCACTTTTAAATTCCTGCAACGCTGCCGTTTCAAAGAGAGAAATGGCACGGAGAAGTTGTCCCTGCCTCTCCTCGCCACCCAGGGATCTATCACACTTTGCAAACGCGTTCAACTCGGACAGCATTTGGGCTTGGTCTTCAGGGCTTTCGTAAACCTTGAAAACCATGCTATTCATCGATCCTCCCGTTATACTGATATCCTTGTAGAAAGGGTAAAGAGTCGCGTGGATTTTCCCATACTCCTCCCTTGCTTTTCCCCGTATAGATCGGACACGGGAAAAGACAGATAAAGCCGCGAGGGCATCTGGACGTAGAGATTTATTATTGATTCCCATCCCGGTAGAGAATTCAACATCCTTCAAGAAATTAGAAGGATCCGATTTGCCACTGATAGTTCTGTCTCCATTTTTGTCCGCAGCAAGGGATTCACCGGACTGGGGAGCTTGGAGGTGTATAGCCGGCACACTCATATGGTTACGGAGATAGGGATTAGACTGTTCCGCCTGCTTCCTTGCCTCCAGATCATTCCAGCAGCCAATCTGCTTGAGTCTCTGTACCCATCTCGAGTCCTCGTAGACCATTTCTCGCAGGAGTTTGGATGCCCTAGCGACTCTGATAAGATCGGACGGAGCTAGGTAATCTAGGATTGTAGATAGTATTTCTGTACACAGTCAGCAAGAGCTCCAACCTTGCAAGGCAATACATGTATATTGCCTGTACTCACCAGCAGGAAGGGCTGGTTTTGATATCTCCATCTGGGCCAATTTGAGAGACGCAAGAACATCTCTCCGCGGTCTCCCACCCGAGACCTGGGCCTTGGAAAAGCCCGACATCCTGGACACCATAAGTAGTTACAGCCTCAGGCCCACGCCAAAGAACTGAACCGGGGGTCTCGAGGTTAAAGTAACTGGTTGAGGAGAGGAATTCATTCCCGACTTGCTTTGTTTTTTGGGTCCGTGGGTAACTAAGAATTCCTCCTCTCTATTAACTAGTTACCGAATGTTTGCAGATGGGACCAGAAGACAATGCGGTGGCGAAGACCCCATAGTAAATATCAGCCCAGCCCCCGAGCGATTGCCCTTGAGCCAGAGATAAATATATATATGGAAAACGAAGGGGGTTCGATCAGTTGGTTTATATTTTTTCGATCTCGATGCAAGCAATTAAACTATTCTCCAGTCGGAAACCAGCGCGCTGTTAAGCTCTCAGCTGCGGTGCTATCCACTCCAAGATCCACAAGCAAGAATCAAGGAAGGTTTTAACGAGTTTCATAAATCAGCCCCTGATTGAACCAGAGGTCTGTTTTGCGAGTAAATTATAAATCGGTAAATCGTTTTCTACATAACTCCCTAGATAATTAATAACCAGGAGCAGTATTTATTTCTCTTGAAATTATGTCTACCTGCTGAGCAATAGACATCGCGGTCGAGCAACTAATTCAATAGAATAATATCCTTTTCAAATTAGTTCCTACATGTAGGATTTACTATATCATACATACATACATACATACATACATACATACATACATACATACATACATACATACATACATACATACATACATACATACATACATACATACATACATACATATATATATACACATACTATGACATTCTCAAATGGGCTTCGCTGCAGATGTACTGTTTTCTTTCTGTTTCGCCGGTGGGTACAAATGTTGTCAAGGTACCTTTTAGGTATTCGTTCGCACGTTGGGACATCTTCGCCCCTTTTTAAACTCCTCGCCCTCTCGAACCACTTCTCAGTCAAGGAGAACACTCTCGACACAATAGCTGCAAAATCACTTTCTCCAACTCTGTCAATTTGCTTTGCCATTGTTTGTTCATCTGCTTCCACCCTCCAGCAGATCTACCTAGCATGCAGCCTCATGCCAACGGGACAGAGATGGTCACCAGGCCTACCTTACACATCGAGGCCCGAGTCAAGAATGACGAAGACATCATCGTCCGAACAGACATCGTGCGTTTGAATACTTCTGTGGACTGCATCTTGTCCTCCGAATTGTTTCTCGACCGTGTAGTCAACTAAAAAATAAACCTCATAGATCCGCGATGAAGTGACGAAATGGCTCTTGGAGACGTTCGCCGTGCTAAGCTTGGGACAGGAAATAACCTCCTTCGGTAAGATATTGAAGCCGGTGGAATCTGATTAAAGCATTTCATTTTTGCAGCAACCAGACTAACGGAATATACACGGAATCAAACAAATAGCCGACATGGATGTCGGTCAAGCACACTACCTGGACGTGATCAAGGTGATGGAATGTGTGGGTCAGCAGCAGGAGAGCGGCGCATATCGGCTAGAAGAAGTTGAGCTGAACGTGCAGGCATACCAGCTCCGGGGATCTGATGTTGCCGACGACAACTCTCAGCAGACATATGCTGCTGCAAATGGGAAAAGTGATGAAGACGGGCCCCAAGCGCGGATTATCAGCCTCCCCAGTAAGGAGCTGGATGGAATGTGGGAGTCGTATGCTACCCCTGGTTATTTTTATTTGTTATTTTTATTTTACTTTTACTTTCTCTCCACAACCTGGTGTTAAAGAGATTGTTTAGGCTCCTATTTGATGAGCTGATACCGTCAACTCTGCTGCGAGCGGTGAGCAGGATGCGTATGTGGTTTTTCTCATGGACATGATGATGCTTGCCCCTTGCTAATAGAGGAGCAGTTGTGTTCTCTTGGACTAAACTGAACACCTGGACGATCAATTGGAACAGACTTATCCTGCTCTATGGCCCGCCGGGGACCGGCAAGACCAGTCTTTGGTATGTATATCATGCATCAAATACCATATAACAACAACAAATATTAACAACAGATCAGCCGTGGGCTAGCACAGAAACTGTCAATCCGGTTGGGCAAACAGTTTGCGCAGAGTAAGATGGTAGAAATCAATGCACACTCATTAGGGAGTAAATACTTCAGTGAAAGTGGGAAGCTCGTGGCCAGAATGTTTGACAACATCGAAAATATGCTGGAGGAGGAACCAGATACATTTACATGTGTGTTCATCGACGAGGTGGAAACATTGACGGCCAAACGAGAGAAGAGCATACAGGGCAACGAGCCCTTTGACGCAATGAGAGCAGTAAATGCTATTCTGACAGCACTGGATAGGCTCCGACACCGACCCAATGTGGTTGTTCTTTGTACGAGCAACCTTACAACTGCTTTGGTATGTATATACCGTCTCCCCTCAATAAAAAAAAAGGGAAACGGAAACGAAGAGAGAAAGAAAAGAAAAATAGAAACAGAACAGATGGTATCTGACAATAGGGAGAAAATTCCGTCCATGGCAGGATTCTGCATTTCTTGACCGGGTTGACATCAAGCAGTTCATCCCTTACCCAACCAGCCGGGTCATATACGAGATTTACAGGAGCTGCCTGGAGAACCTGAGCGAATGCGGGCTGATTCACGGATCAACCTTTGACGTGATCCGTGTCGAGCAGGACAATCCAGCCACGGAGTTGAAGTATGTCTCGTGCCCAGCAGAGACATTGGTGCTCCCCAGCCATACAGAGTTGGTGTTGTGGTACCAGCTTTTTCCGGAGTCCATTCCCAAGCAGCTGGCAGATGTAGCTGAGGCGAGTGTGGTAAGTGGGAATTTCCCAACAGGATGGATAGAAATACTAATTAAACGGATGAAACAGGGGTTGAGTGGTCGTAGCCTGCGCAGACTGCCAGTACTATCACTGGTTCTGCATACAGACCACGCGAGTTGCAGTATTGAGCAAGCCGTGCGGGCGCTGGCTCGGGGGGTGGAAGAGGAGAAAAGGGCCACTGCGGAGGCAGGCGAAAGTTCCTGTAATAAAACTTGAGTGGTGAATTGATGGTATTTCATAGGTAGCCAGCAGTTAAGTAACCCGACAATGACAGCGTCTAGATTCTATCTCTTCTATATATCGCAGCAATCCAGGGGTTAAATAATAATAAGGCTGGCTAACTATTGGTTCCCCAATCCCGTGATTATCACGTTATCAATCTTCAGCCAATCAAGTGTCAGCGTTTGTCACTCATTTGTCACCCACTGCCAAGCACCAATCAGCGCGCGTCCAACCAAATTTCTCTTCCCTTGCAGCTTGCTCGAGTTTCTATACACAACTCCCTCCGCCGCCGCTCTAATCCATCCGAGACAACCCCCCTCTCCCCCGCTTCTCTCATCCGCAGCCAACTCCCTGCCACTGTCCCTCCACTGCGGCGGGAATTCCACTCTCTGGAAACATGTTCGCCAGATCCATTGCGCGCAATGTGCCCGCCAAAGCCATCTCCCGTCAGACTTTCCGACAAACAATGGTATGCCCGGTCATCCTCCACAATCCTTCCAAAACACGTCATTGACCGCCATTGACTGCCCTGCTGTCCCCGGACGGCTATCTATCTCCACTTCGAGTCCTCTTCTCATGTTCCTGATCCCTTCTGCTGACATCTATTTACCCGCTGTAGCGAGACTCTTCCACAACCTCGGGTTCCCGCGTTGAGTCGCCCTTCTACCTGACCCTCTCCGCCTCCGCAGCCACTGTCACCGCTGTCGGCGCGGTTGCATGGTACTACCATTTATATGGCGAGGAGGCGTTTGCTATGACACCTGCTGAAGAAGGGTAAGCTGTGTTTTGGGGTAGTCAATGGATCATCCTTTTTGCATTTTGTTTTATTTTTCGCCCTCGATTCTAACGCAATGTTGATATTGATGCTAACTGGACTTCCCCCACAGGTTACATCCAGCGAAATACCCATGGGAACATACAAAATGGACCAAGACATTTGACCACCAGGCGTAAGTGGCTCCCAAGCTGTCCACGACATCTCAATGTATTATCACTCTATTACCGGCAGCAACTGATGCGGATGCCTCCATGTAGCCTCCGCCGCGGTTTCCAGGTATATCGCGAGGTATGCATGGCCTGTCACTCACTCACCCGTGTTCCGTGGCGCGCATTCGTGGGTACTATACACACTGTAGATGAGATGAAAGCCATGGCCGAAGAATACGAGTACGACACCGAACCTAACGACCAGGGTGAGATCGAGAAACGTCCCGGCAAGCTGTCCGACTACATCCCTCCCCCATACAAGAACGAAGAGGCTGCTCGTGCCGCGAACAACAGCGCTCTTCCCCCAGATTTGAGTTTGATGGTCAAAGCTCGCCATGGCGGCTGTGACTATATCTTTAGCTTGTTGACTGGGTATCCCGATGAGCCTCCAGCCGGGGCCACCGTTCAGGAGGGATTGAGCTTTAACCCTTACTTCCCCGGAACTGGTAGGAGATTCAATGTCTACATGTAAATATAGACGTACCTATATACCAACTAACCAAAACCAGGCATCGCCATGGCCCGCGTCCTCTTCGATGGCCTCGTCGAATACGAAGATGGCACCCCCGCCACCACGTCACAGATGGCCAAGGATGTAACTGAGTTCCTCAACTGGACCGCTGAGCCGGAGATGGACGAGCGCAAGAAGATGGGCCTGAAAACCCTCGCCATTACCGCTATGCTGACCGCCATCAGCATTTGGATCAAACGTTACAAGTGGGCACCCATCAAGTCGCGGAAGATTGTCTATACTCCACCCGTTGGCAGGCCTCCTATCGCCAAACGTTGAGATTGCTAGGAAATACGTTGTTCTTTATATACAGTGTAATGTAAGGAAAGGAAGCAGTAGATGGGATGTGAATGTGGTGGATGGATATGCTGATGGAACCCTTTGTACCAAAACAGAATCTCCCCCCCCCCCCCTGGATGCATATAGAACAGGAAAGAAAAGAAACAATCAGACAACATACAAAACCACACCAAAAAAAAATAACTGGAGTAATGTTCTCGTTGTGTTTTTCTCTTTGCTATTATAATTTTTGTCGGATTGTTTTAACTACCTCACCTATCTCTAAAAGAAATTTCTCGCATTGTTTTTATTTCTCTCGTCTCCATACATATTTTGGCATTATTCCCTCTCATCTCTATTTCGATGCGCCACTCCGCTTTTCTCAATAGATCGCACATTTCCTTGCTTTTCCTCAGATGATAGACAATGAGAATACTGTCAAAGAGGAGGGCCTCATGCAGTGGGGATGAAGCAAGCATAATAAGCGGAGTGCGGGGAGCCGGAATTACATGACTGTAAATATATTACCGCATCCATATATATATATATATATATCCGCTGTTATGATTCCTACATTTCCTTTGTCTGTATTTCTATATCCAGGTTTACTGTTCGGTTTGAAACAGGGAAACGGTGATAATTCGGAGCTTGGAGAGATAGCATAGGATCTTTAAGATTTCGGACCATGGGGCAAGTAAAACATACAGCACACAATGGAGAATGTAGTTATCATAAAAGGGAATATATGTGATAGAAAATCAGCCTTATGTCCAGAATCTAACTGTATCAATGGGGTATATCTATATTGCACATCAGCAAGGAAAGGGAAGGATATAGCATTCAAAACCCCCTTCAAATCACGCGGATACAAAATCTACGCACAATCCCTCCCCAGCCCCGCACTGCCCCGCACAGCATGGAGCTCCTCCGTTCCAATTACAACTTCAACGCCGTCCTCCTCCCCTCCCCAAACACCGGTCTCGCCAGAAAATCATACCACCACCACATCGCCACAAATAGCCACCTCTGCAACACTGAAGCCCACCAGGGCATCCTCCCACGCTTATCCTCCACAACAGTTGTTATCATAAACGACAGCAAAAGCGGCGGTCCCCACATCATCATCGTGACGTACTTGCCGATACGCTGGCGGGTGGTTGTGATTCTATACGCGGTTATGGAGGAGAGATACGCGCGGTATTCGATGGGGAGATTGTGTTCACGCGCGCCGGTGACAAGGAGGTTTTTGTAGCGCGGGGAGGGTTGGGCGGGGTTGCCCGGGGGGTGTGAGCGCGTGAAACGGGAAGGGGCTTGGGATATCCGTTTGGTGACGGATGTAGCCGTGGATAATTTTGCGGCTATCTCATCTTTGGCGGAAGGGGAGAGAAGGGTGTGTGCCTTGAAAGGCTTTGAGAGCTTATCAGGATAGCTAGGGACTGGGTCAGTGGGCTTGTAAGATTTGGGAAACGCATAGCAGTCGACGGCGATGTCGATGTAGGAGGAGCCTCCGCCCTCTGTGGCGATGATGTGCGCGTAGTCGGATAGAGTAACCTCGTAGACAATACCGACGAGGGGTTTGTGCCATGCTTGGGTTTGATGCGTTTCTGAGGGCTGGGGAAGGTCTGATTCCAGTATGGAGGGTTTGGGACTGCGAAATTTTGTTGCTGCCATACAAGGCTCTATGTAAGGCAATCCTAACAGGTCGAAAGTGAGGCTGAGGTCTGGGACGTATACGTTTAGTTGGGAGATGGGCACGATGCCACGCGATTTGCGGAAGGTTTGGATGCTCATGTTCGAGCCGTAGGCAAGATATAGTACGGTCTCTTCAGGCTTGTCTGTACCCTTATAACCATTCTGAGGTTTCTCAGTATGTCGCAGTTTTGATTTTGTGCCATGTTCTTTGAAGAGGATGTCAATGTCCAATGCGTGGTCATGCGCAGCTTCTCGCAACCGTTCATCCGAGGTTTGCGGGATGCTGAGGGATGGATCAAACGTCTTTCGGCTTCGTCGGATGAAGAGCGATACAAATGGACTTTTATTTTCAGTTTCCAGGTTGGGGTCAGCATCTGGCTTTTGGAGAAGCTCTACCTGCTCGCTACTTATCTCAGTGACATTCATCATGTTGATGTGCTTGATCTGTTAACGGGAAGCGGAAAATGTCCGGACGAGTGTAAATGAAACTTTGCCCTTTTCCAAGTTGTTAGCTTCTTATATATATATCTATGTGAGCCCTATAGGCACAATTGGTCAATAACTAGTGGATGCGATGCCTCTAAATATGGATGCAACCAACTTTCCGGGTTCGGTTCATCCGGAGTCGGACATTAGCCCGGAACTCCGAAGCCGATAACCTTCCAACGTGGAGAGGTGAAGGATACGAGAAAAAGGAGGTAGAGCCAACACGTTGACTGAAAACACTTTAATGCTTGAGAGATAATGCGTGAGTTTTACTTTTGTGAAGGAGTTTTGACATTTTAACTTCCGAGAAAGTTTCATCTGCGGTGCCATGCTCTAGGCAGAGTCAGCCATTCTAATGGCGAAAACACCAACGAGAAAAATCTCAAAGGAATGCAGACGGATATCCGGCGTCCTCACTTGGATAAAGCTCTGTCATCGCGGCTCGGTTGCATGCATGCAGTCCTTCCAGTTCTCTCATTGGCTCATGCAGGCTAAATAAGGCCGGGTTTGCACAGCAGGTAGCCTCTGGAGTCATATCTATTTGCAAGCTCCTTGATGATCAACGGCTGAGCATGAGGAATCTATCTCATGGGGCAAGGCAAGATCGCAGGTGTTGAGGCACCTCTCTTTTCTTTTCATTCTTTTAACAGCCTGAATGGCACTGTTATTCCGGGCTTGTGGTGGCGAACTCCTTTACAGCGGGCGGGTCGGGTTTTGCCCCAGCTTGAGTTCGTGTCATATAGATATTGTCGTCGACGGCGTGACGACGGCAATGCAATATAATAGCTTGTTCCTGCAATGTTAGCATCCTGCCACTCACAAGCAATAAGTGCTTGGGGATGGAGATAAGCAAGCATCTGCTGCTCTGAGAGGACCGTTTAGATAACACTTACATCTCCATTCGGTGTCGAGGTTATTGTCTTAAAGAATACCGCAGAGAATTCCAGTACTTCCCCGAGAAATTGGACGATAAAATGTTGTTAGCATGGGTTGCCTTTTTGAAGCGATTTCAGTGAAGATTCGTCGAGCCTGAAGGGGCTTACATGGTGAGCTGCATATAGGGATTTGCATCTAGGACAGCTAGCTGAGCTGTATGTACCTGTCATTATTGCTGTTATTGCCATTATCTTTTTGCATCTGTTATTCCATCATGGAAATGCTGTGATGAAATGAGTGGTGTTGAGACTACAATTTTCTGTCTCCTCTCCCAGCTGGAGAGATCACCTGTTTTTATTTCTTCTTCTTCTTCTTCTACAAACCTCATCCGCTTATTTTCCTGCTCAGACCAACTTTCAGAGACAAGGGCTCTCTCTTATCTCTTGTTTGATCTTTTCTATTTCATTTCTCCAGACTGGAATCTAGCTTCATATTAGTATCTAGTTACATCAGAAACATTCTCTTGCCTTGCTGTTTGACGTTTATCTTCTCTGCCATTTGCTTGCAGCTAGCTCATCCATACCTGCGCCTATCAGAATGGCTGTCTCTGACGAGACAGCTAGCTCTAGACGGAAATCTTCCCTGGAAGAATTGGTAGCATATCTGCGGAGAGCTATTGGAAGACTCGCAGAAAACAATCTTTTGATGTCAGTCCCGCCTCACTCGACTTGTGGGAATTGATGGTATCAACTGCGAAACAATGTTGATGGTCACTGCTAATAGAAAATTTGTCCACAGAATTCCACTAGATATAGTCAAAGTCTTCCTAGGATCACTTGATAGTCTCGAGGGAGCTGGTTTTTCAGATTTAGTTGCGCTATTTGATGGGGAAAACAAGGGGAATTGCTCGAGGCTTGACCTCGTTTCTTTACACTGCATGCTTCATATTCTTCTGCGAGCCCCTCCATGCCTTGCTCGAGAGAGGGGCTTTTACCTCTTCCTGGTTTGCATTCCTCGTGTGCTCGATAATGTATATCGATGTGTGTCTAATATGCTATCTAGAAATCTATGAGGGACCTCACGGACAGCATCCAAAAGTCTCCGCACTATACCGTAGTGGTTGCCTCTCGTCAGCGCAAATCGCTTATTGGACAAAAGACTTTCCATCATCTGTTGGGCACGTTTGTGGGAGGGAACAACACCAGACCACGAAAATGGGTAAGTTGGTCTTTTCCAAACCATCATCATATGTTAAAAAAAAAGCTAACTAGCACATATAGAGTGGTCAGCTCATACTCGAACTGATCCGTAGGTCTAACGACAGCAGAGGATTGTTAGGTTTGGGAACAGAAAATAATATGTTAGATATCTTGCATTGCATCAAACACCGATAAAATGAATGACAACATCTAACCTGTGTTTAGCCGGAAACTCGGGGAAATGGTTCTGGACGAAACGGACTACATCCTACGACTGCTGGCCGCAGTACTGATCCAGGAGATGGTTGCTTCTCAGCTCGACCCTCGTATCTTCTGGCCTCAAGACACACCACAAGCCACCATTGATCTATTCTCCATCCGGTCCACGGTCGATAGGACCTGGATTCAGAAATTTAATAATTTTGTCGCTCATCACGAATTGAAGCAAAACAGAAAGGCAGCAAGGTTTGTTGAATAAATAAACTTTCTATCTTTAACTTACAGGCTGTCTAACAACGACTAACAGAATGCAAATCGCCCGAGAAATCAATGTTGGAGAATCAAAATTTGGCCCTAGCAACTGTTTGATAGGGGTATTGGTTTCCAATATCCTCACCATTATGATTTCCGAGGATAACCGCTTCCGGCTTATGGATATCCGCTTAGGTCTAATTGACAAGCTCGTATTGTACGAAAAGAATGCGATTCTTGACGTGTATCTACATCCAAATTGTTGTTATATGACAAATGGATTGTTGGAAAAGGCAGACATCGTCTCAGTGATATATGAGAGCCAACCCGAAGTGACTGAGATCCGCGATATACTTGAGAAAAAACGTCTTTCCGTCAAAAAGGTAACAGGAGGAGTTAAAGGCACCAAAGATTTCCCCGTGACCGGGGCGTCAGCGAAGAAAGCTCGACAAGCATCTGCAGGCGGACATTTACTCCGAAGGACGGACAATACATGGGGTCCATCCACGTTGGGCTGCAGTGCTGCTACGCGCACAGCTCGAAACTTGGAAAGAAAGCGATCTCACAGAACTATGATATTTCCTTCGGAGGGGGAAGTTATTAGGTGTTCCAGTGCCCATCTTGATTTGAGCTTGTCTGACAGTCATAACTCAAACTCAAACGAAGGCAGCCAAGGTGAGTCAGATAGAGGAGCTGAAGAGCAGGTAGACAAGGATTCTCCATCAGCGCTTAAAAACCACAGCACCATAGAAGGAGAATTTTGGGGGTCATCAAACCTATCAAGGGTGGGTGAGACCCCAACACCTGAACACCCTGCTGCGAGTACCCCCAACAACCAGGAGAAACAAAACCAAAGTCCCCAGATATCTCCTAATGCTGCAATCCCCGTCAAAGCACAACCTATGTCCTGCAATGGGGGGCCTTCATCAAATATTATCGGTGTGGTTCAGCCGCATGGGATTAGTCAGATTGAGGGTGACTGCCCCATTGGGCTGCCAAGCCTAGCACAAGCTCTTCAACTTCAACTTCAACCTCAAGACTCCAACTCATCTCCGGATATGCTCGAACAGGACAGACAGGCTCGGGAAAGTAGTCCGGATTTGGGTGGTTTGGCTTTGGAACAGACATCTTTTGTTGCCGCCAAGCCCATGGCTGGCCCAGAACAACTCCCTGAAGTTGAGGACGAATATCCGGGCTTTCGGGATACCAATAACAGTCCAACCAATTCCACAAGGATGGGCCAACCAGTCCATGTCTCCACCAAAGAAACAGCGAAGATAGCGAGCAGCCAAAATGTAACGGAGATTCCCAATCAAATTGGAAACAACTCTAAACTTAAGCGGCCTCATAACCGAATCAGCGAATCTACGGGTTACAAACTAGTCGTAGATTGGGATCAGGACCTTCGTGTCGACGATACACCCAAGGATGGGCCAGAAAGCTGCTCCAAGAAGCCGAGAAAAACTCCCCCCCAAACCAAGGGACCCGGCAGAGCTGACAAGTCCAAGAGCGCCTCAAGCTCAGCGGGAAAGAAGAGCCAGCAAGTGGCTCTCCAATTGACTCCTTGCATTGAGTCAACCCCACGGAACAAACCTACTTCAGAGAAGAAATGTAAGACGAAGCGATTAGGTCGTCAAGTTACGAAAACTTTGACATCCGCCCGACAACCACGAGCTGCCGCAGAGAGAGCGAACCAAAAATTGGCCTTAGCGAACGAGTATGAAAATGCGACTTACGACTTTGATGATCCTATTGAATCAAGCCTTCCTGAAGAGGCTGTCTTAGTTGGCAGCCGGACAAATAAGCCAGCTGACACCGACATAACACAGCCTGTTCTGACTTGTGAACAGAACCTGGCTCCAGATGATGTTCAGGAAGAGCCGTTGCGCTCCATCGAGTATCTCGTCAACACCAAATGTGGGACTCCAACCTCGGAAGAAGTTTCCGATCTCGTTCTCTCTGAAAATGTTGGATCTGAGCAGACCACTGGCAACATTAAAAACGGGCCACGTTTCCCCCTGACTCGACAGGATGATACCGACGGCCATCTATATTTCCAGAGAAGCGATCCGCTGTCCAGGGAGCAGAGCCACCCAATTCATGCAGAGGGCGTTGAAATCCAACCCAAGACCAATATCCACATGCAGGAGGTTGTTTTCGAGCGCAGGGAAACCAGTTTGGGGAAGAGACTCTCTGAGGCATTGGTTAAAGCCGGCATTCTTTCTTCAAACACTCTGAAAACTGGAAATGGCGTTGGCAATGAAAGCAATAGAAATTCATTGTTGGACCAAGGCGAAATTAATGACATGGAAGCCCATCCGCGAACGGGAATATCTCAAATCTCCAAAAGTGTTTCTCAGTTTATTTCGCGCCAGGCTCTTGCTGGCCAACGCACGTCTGTAGTTGAACAAGGCAAAGAAGGCTGCTCAGGGATACCACTGACGGACAACGAAGAATCAAGTTCCAAGTCCGTCAAGCCAAACGTCGATGCTGAGCAGGGCCCGTCGGAAGAATCTGTGAATGATCACGAGGCTCAGACAATGCAGCCAACCATAAAGCGCCAATCAAAAACTTCAACCGAACTTTATAGTATTCTAAAACCCGCTACAACTAAATTCGACAAGATTGGAGTCGACAGTGGTATCCCTTCACCAAACGAAATGGTGATGAGAACAGTACAAATCGTCTGTTTTAATCCAAACGGACCAAAAAATCATTGTGCTATACCGGGCTCTCAGGCCGGCCAAAATTCGAAGCAAAATGACGCTAATAAGACCGAATCACACAAGATTGGGGACCCTGATCCTGTTAAGAATGGGTTAGACACTCGGCCCGATGCCGAAATTAGTGACGTTGATGATCTGGATGAGATTTCCCTAATTCCAACTTCTGACTGTCTTGGACTGGCAATCGATGGGCACACCAGTGGTTTAATCGCACAAACCCATTCCAGCTCAATCTGTGAGTTGACCGCAACTGAGTTCCTATCGCAAGGCCGGACAGTTCAGATGATCCCAACTCACAATCAGTTGGTCGATGAGAATGGCAGTCCACAACCTTTCCGTAGAGATCTCTGGAGAAATAGGGCAACAACTCTTACATCTAACATTGAACTCCCTAGCGACACTCCAGAAACATCACAGTCGTCGGAACTTTCAGGTGTTTCCTCCAGAGAAGACAGCGGGGTTGATCGTATCGATCCGATATCCTCTGATTCCGACAGTAACGACGGATATCTTGGAGTTCGGGATCTCAACGAGAACAGGGTGAGCCACCTCAACACCCATTCAGAAATTCCGCCCCAGCGCAAGGACACGTCCTCTAAAAGAGCCGGTCGAGATTTCAGAAGTTTGGAGGTGCGGGATCGCCCAGACCCCGACAGCAAGGCCTTTTGGAGACGCAGCGCCCCGAGTACGTTTGCTGAGCGTCTGAGAGGAAAACAGGAACAGACAAGACGGAATAAGAAGTCGAGCAGAAACAGCAAGGTACAGAAGCGCCCGCCAACATTGAGTAAGGCTTACCGAAAATCAAATATCATGTCGCTCGTAGAATCGAGTAGTGACATCAGTGATGATGGTGAGAACTCCGAAGCGGACAAATCTAGAGTGAAGAACGGGGTCTGGTGTAGAGCTCAGGTTTCGGCTGGGTCAAGCTCAAATCTGTCAGATACCCTAGTGGAAGAATATCGAGATGTGGGATCTGAGTGGCAAAATGCCTTGCGAGCTACTCTAAAGACAGGTCTTGATATTCTACTAGATGCCAGTAGCGTAAGTACATCCTCAGGTTCCCCTAAGATCCTGCTAACCAAAATTTCTCTAAAAGCGACTTGTTCGACACTTATTGGACGAGGAAGAAGCCATCGATAGGGTTGTAGACACATATAAAAAGGACGGGGCAAGGTTGATAGATCGACTGGAACAGAGATATGTCCAGGAGCTCCAGGACAGCGAAGTTATACTCCAACCTATAAAGCAAGAGTTAATATGGAATTTGGAAGGGATGCTTGCTGGTCTCGACAACAATAGGCGGAGCCTTTCTAAACAACCCGCATTGAAAGACCTCTCCGCTGCAGTCCATAAACGGAAGAAGTTCAGGGGACAACTTGACGTCGTGATAAAAGAATATGAGATGCGCGGATAGGTTTCATCTCGACTGAAATATTATTATTAAACTGCTATAACTAAATGATTGATTTCGTGGCTGGCTGTGCAGGGGCCGAGACCAGCGAATCGACAAGCAATGTGAGTACGTACTGAGCGCACTGAACGGGAGAACATTTGACCGTCTACTGGAGATGCCTGTTAGCCTGTCGGCGAGTTAATTCTGTTAAGTAGGTATTGGCTGTAATCAGCTAACTATATAGTGAGCAGAACCGGCATTTGCAGCACAAAGGGAGGAAATGGTGATACTGTTATTATTAAGGCGGGATAATGGAACTGCGTTCCAGGAAGTTCAGTAACGTGAGAGTGTGGTATTGTTGAAGCAAGCATGCTGTTTGCAATTGTGAAAACTACCGCGTCAGTCAGTTAGTGAACTTGTTAATTGATAGTTAATTAATTAATAGTTAACTTATTGACGTACTTAATACTGACTGATATCAGCAGATTAAACGTCCCCTTCTTTTTTTCCCCCGCGTCTTGCCAAAAAATTTAACTTTGCTTTGCGCTGACTCAACCGCCGCCGCCGGTTGCGGAGAGTTTAACACCAACCAGTTCCAAACACACAGGGGAAAAAAAAAAAAAAAAAAAAAAAAAAAAAAAAAGGTATAAAAGATGAAGAATTGAATTAAAACCCCCCCCGCAAACTCAATCTCCTGGATATTCTCTTATAGACAAATACATAATACCATCTCTTTGCGTTTAAGTACTTTATTAATAATTAAACCACCCGTGTCAATTAGCCTCTTCTGCGCCAGTTTATCGTCAAACAGCCCCCCGCCATGGGATCGCAGGTGAGCTTTAGTTTTTTATCTATTCGCCGCCTAAGTGACTCAAGTTCAACTAACCCCACCCCAGTGGTATATCGAGAACACAAATGTCGGGAACAAAGAGGTTGCGGAGGACTGGCGAAGTATGTTGTTCCTTTTCATATTGCGAACCGTCTCCCTGCTCGATTCCGCTGTTCACCTTTTGCTGACCTCACGCAGTTCGGGGTTACAACCCTCTCACCCCGCCAAATCTCCTGCAGCACGAAATCCCACAGACGCCAGCATCCAAGCAGGGAGTCATAAGGTCGCGTCAGGAAGCGGCCAACGTTGTCAATGGCACAGACCCCCTCAATCGGCTCATGGTCATCATCGGGCCATGCTCCATCCATGACCCGGAGGCCGCCATGGACTATTGCCACCGCCTCTTGAAAATGAAGGAGAAGTACAAGGGCGAACTTCTCATCATCATGCGCTCGTACCTCGAAAAGCCCCGCACAACTGTCGGCTGGAAAGGTCTTATCAATGACCCAGACATCGATAACTCATTCCAAATCAACAAGGGCCTGCGTGTCTCGCGGCAGCTGTTCGTCGATCTGACTGATAAGGGCATGCCAATCGCCAGCGAAATGCTCGATACCATTTCTCCCCAGTTCCTCGCTGATTTGCTCTCTGTTGGCGCCATTGGGGCGCGCACCACGGAGTCTCAGCTGCACCGTGAGCTGGCTAGCGGGCTTTCCTTCCCTGTTGGCTTCAAAAACGGCACAGAGGGCTCGCTGGACGTTGCTGTTGATGCCATTGGAGCTGTCAGACACCCCCACCACTTCCTCTCAGTGACCAAGCCTGGCGTCGTGGCGATTGTGGGAACCGTGGGCAACGAGGATTGCTTTGTTATCTTGCGAGGTGGGAAGAAAGGGACTAATTACGACGCGGCGAGCATTGCGGAGGCCAAGGCGAAGTTGACAGAGAAGGGGCTGAATGCGCGCTTGATGGTGGATTGCAGCCACGGAAATTCATTGAAGGATCATCGCAACCAGCCCAAGGTGGCAGCCGTGCTGGCAGACCAAATCGCGAGCGGGGAGCAAGCCATTATGGGTGTGATGATCGAGAGTAACATTAACGAAGGTGCGTTTCACACGTGCCATCTTAACTTAGTTTATGTCTTGCGTAGGAATTTTTATTTTCTGGCACTCACTAACTTGTCACCCTTCTTTCTTTTTGTTGAACCTTTACAGGAAACCAAAAGGTCAGTTCCCAAGGCAAGGCTGGCCTAAAATACGGCGTCAGCATCACGGGATGCCTGCATCGGCTGGGAAGATACGGAGAGCGTCTTAGAAATGCTCGCGAACGCAGTCAAAACAACGAAGGGAGCGTGGCCAGGCAGCATGATAACGACGAAGCTCAAAAGTGCAATTTCCCTTCTCTATTCTCTGATATTCCCCTTGTTCCCTTGACGGCGCTTTTACTTAATTTTTTTCTTCTCCGTTTTCACCTTGGGGCAGAGGTGTGTTGTGTTTTAAATGTAATAATGTTGGTCAACGCAGTGGCGTGTTCGTCGTGTTCGTCCTGATTTTAGGAGGGCAAAATAAACCTGGAATATTAAATGGAATTGGCCGTCAAATGAGAAGAAGGCAAATCTTGCCAGTTTCATTTACAATCATCTTCACACGTGAAAATGTGGGGTTGATTACGGAAAATGTCGACGGTCTTTTGGCCAATCCTCGAGCAATGGCACCCAAGGCACTAAACATGCAGGATATTGACGTGTCTGCCTGCTTGTCTTCAGCGGAAATACCTTCAAACAAAACGACTCGTTCGAAATAAAAATCAGACACTTTACGAAGCTGCCTTCTACGTCCAGTGACTAAGGAAAACGAACCAATGAAAATACGGAAAGCTGAATCGAGGGGCCGAAATTCATATATATTATTAGTTGGACTGGTGCATATATGCGTATAACAACAGAGTGGTTGGTATCAGTGGCATCATCATGGCGTCGTGAGACGGGTTTTGCAAGTCAAGCAAAAGTGCGAAGAGTGTGGGAAAACAGCAAACTGAGCAACAGAAAAAGAGGAGTTGCCAATCACTAACGATTTCCATGGCCCTGAAATATGAATAGGATTAAAAAAGAGAAAAAGCCACGTGTGCATAGATAGGTATGTACATATATGGATCGATGGGTGTGTGTGCATACGGAAAAAGTTGTCATTGGAGTGAATGTTGGATTGAGGAAAAGTCAAAGTAAAAATTGGACGACTTCAAATAGAGGGCAGTAATAACATGTCTACAAAACTCTGTCCTTTTGTATTGCCCAGCAGCCATTCCCATTATTGATCCGGATTCCGTGGCTATACACAATAGTATGAGACCAACTAAACAGATTTAAACCGGGACGTATCCCGTGTCCCTCTGATTCCTATTTCCATTCGAGCGGATACTACTACTATTATTCCGAGGTGGGGTATCACCAGCCCGGTCAACACGATCGCTATTTGGTGGTGGGGTGGCTCCACGCCCCGGAATCCATACCTCGTCAAGCGGAACGACTAAATTCGGATTAACATACTTCTGCAATTTCGACGCAAGGTCCCGGCCACGGAAGCGGAGTGGGACAGCATCGCGATCCCAATGTGACCAATGTGACGATGGTGACATGGTCGAAGTGGGTGTGGGCGTCTCGTCCTGGTCAGTAGCAGCACAGGAGCGATCGATTGAGCGCAGAGCGATGAATTTCATAAGCGGATCGTAGGTGCGGGAGAAGAAGTAAGAAAACCAAACGGTCGTCGCTAGTAAAGGAACAACGAGGATTGAGCGAGTGACGGCCGTACGGAGAGCGAGGGTGCCGATGATGGCAAGCTGGAAGACGATAAACCCAAGGATTACACGGGAGCAGATCATCGGCCACGCACGGCCGGTGCTGTGCTGCTGGTGGTCCATGGCGTAGAGGAGTTGGTATTTGTAGATGAAATGGCCGATAGCGAAGTAGATCAGACCAAAGAGACAAACGATATAGGAACTGGGAAAGATGCTGTAGACGACAGTGATGATGAAGATCATGATAGTTTGTGGTAGGGCAAGACCGTAACTGAAGACGGGGGGTTGCCCGAGGTCGGCGAAATCACGGGGAGTGTTTGCGCTAAAACGCTGGAATGGGTAGAGGAATACGCTCCCGAATTCGAGCAGACGGAAAGGAAAGAGGCCAAGTCCTTGAAGGACGATTAGGTTCGTATAGAAAGGGGCTAGAGTTTCGAGGGACCGGGCCAGGGCGAATGCAATGGTTGTGGTGTCTCTGAGGACGTCACGGAGGTTCTCAAACAGGCCATAGAAGTTGGAGGCTGTTGCGAAAACAGTGAAGACTAGGAAGAGGTTGAAAAATGTGAAGAAAAAATTTTTGGAGATGAGAGACAGCTCAGCGTCTCCTTGAGATGTCATGCCTTGAAGGTTGGCCAGCCCTAGATAGTCAAGATGAGAATTGGGGGTTTTTATTTTCCCACGATAAAGGGGTGGGCAAAGAATATCTTACAGTCATAAATAAACGGAACAGCAACCGTCATGAGAGAAAGGATAAGAGTAGGCAAACCAGTTTGAACTAGAGATTTGGCAAGGGGATGTCGAGATAACGCATCCGCAAGGCTGGGAATTACCTTCTCTATGGTTTCCAGGTTGAGCAAGTAGGCGAGTGGGATGAGCAGGACAGACCAAAACACAGTGAGTATCCCGATGAGCAATGTGATCGACCATCCACGCAGCATTCGGCTCTTCCGCGAGAGGTATGTGTATTGCCAAACCACATCTGCGGGAGCTGGTGCTAAGCTTGCCACTAGCTGCATTGGCCAAGGGTCAAGAATTGCCTGAACGGCCATCTGACAAGCAGCGATGGACTCCATAGTTACGAAGGCGAGTGGAGTTGGTGAGAACTCCCTTTGGCGGATCTCTTCGATCTTCTCATCCAATTGGCGTAACTTCTCCTCGTAGAAATCGATGGCATCGATTTTCTTGTATCGCAGCCTGAACAGGCCATACCGGATGCATATAGTCGGCCGCTTACGCTCACAGCTCGACACATGAGCACGTGCAGAGTCTTCAGTCGACAGAAGGTGAGACCGCTCGTTGTCCTCACTCAGGTCAAGGCTTCTTTCCATCGGATCTGTTCTGACGAGGGGCAAAGCGTTGAATCTGCTGTCGGACCGTTTCCAGCGGTAGCCGACATGCTCCGTCCATGCCTCTTCGAGGTGCTGCAGAATGCCCTTTCTTGCTCTTATGAGGCTGTCCAGCTCGCTCCAGTCCCGGCAGAGCATGACCTGCTCCACGTTGCCAATCCCCAACTCTTCAATAAACTCTTTGATTTTATCCTCTGAGCGAAACTCCGGAGGGATTCCCGATAATCGGATTGTCCTGTCTGTTACGGTAGTTTGCCCACCCAGATACCGTTGGCGGATCTGGATGATTTTGTTTGTCTGCTCGACGAGGAAGTACATTCCGACGCCAGTGAACACGTACACAAATACAACATGCATCCACAGGTACGTCGGGTCGGCTTTCGCTTTCTGGGAGCCGTCATTGAGATCATCGGGCTTGTCCCACGGATAACCATATTTGTTCGTATATATATAGTGAATAGGAAGGATAACCGTGAGGGTGAAAAAGAACACCACTGACAGGAACCTGAGGGCGTACTTGTAGAACGACAGAAACTACAAAGAAAAGCGGTGCAATCAGTCAGTCCCGTTGCATTCTAAATCTTTGAGTCCTTTTGGAGAGAAAACATTGCACCTACCACATACGCATCCAGTCCCGCAGATGCCAACACTTCATCCTCAGAAATTCTATGCACGATTGGAATCCAGCCAAACAACGTATTGGGCAACTCAGGCAGTCTAGCAGCAGCCGTCCTCAATCTCCGCCGGGCGGCATACAACTCCCTCCATTTTGGTCGAAGGACCTGCAAAACCATATATTAACGTCTCCATTCAAGACCAAATTAAATAAATAAATAGATAAACATACACAAAACCCCATAAACGCCGCAAGTCCGAAGACAGAGCTGATCGCAATCTGCGTCAACAGATCGCGCTGGCCCTTCGTCTGGTCCTGGTATTTATGGTCATCATTTCCTCCTCCTCCTCCTCCTCCTCCTCCTCCGCCGCCGCCAGTATCATTCCAACCTGTTGGTGGCGATATAATCAAAGAGTTGGTGGCGGCTGCAGTTGCGGATAACAATGAGAATAGCATAACAGTCGGAGAAAAGGGAGAGAGTCGTGTGGTTACGACCGGAGAACTCATGCGTTCTTACGGCTTGTCCGTGGCCGTACCGGTTGTGTAGCGAGTCCACGGCTATGTCTTTGTATATACTGTCTTATCTTCTTACTTCTGTTCTCTTCTCTTCCTCTTTTTCTTATCACGTGGGGATATGCGATTCCGTGTCGGAAGCAGAGTTGACGTCTATCAAAGGAACGAGGTTGATTATATAGTCACATCTAGAAGCTAGAGCAAGAAAGAGAAACAAGTCAAGGTCAGCCGTTTCATATCATCAACAGATAGCGGTAAAATTGAATTATCCTCGACTCCCATCCTGCTGCCCATGTGCTGAAACGGTGGTCGTCGCTGCGAAGGTGATTGGATTCCACGGATGAAAAGAATAAAATAAACCGATGAAATTTGACGTTGAAAAAAGTTCGAACGATGGCTGTGAAATTACTAAGTTAACTGATAAATAACTAACTAATAGTTAACTAACTAACTAACTAACTATAGTTAGACAACTTGACTAGTTAACAACTACTTACCGGTTTGGGCTGCTCGGCTGGACCTTCCCTAATAATTGCTGATAAGGGCAGATCAACAAATGACGTCGCTTGAGAACAAACAAAAAGGAAGATCTACAGAGCAACGGAGTATGCGAGTATCTAGCGGCTACAAGAGCGATTACCATCGTCTACGGAGTAGTTATGCACCATGTCATAGGTATCCGCCCCGTATTATTCGCAGCTCTAAGCCAAGCCGAAAAACGCCCACGTCTCTCCCCCCAGGAATTTTGTATGTAGTTAAGTAGTTAAGGTACCGTTAAATATGGAAAATCCTATGCATTGGAATCCAGTGGAAATCCAAATCCAAGCCTTTATCCCTCATCTCGCATCACTCATCCCTCATCCCCCGGCCTGTCCTCCTGTTGGTGCTGCGCCGCATCGTAATAAACCTCCAGCAAACATGCCGCCGACCACGCCTGCGTCGGGGCCTAGAAGAAGAATGCGAGTGGTCAGTAATCATTAGTTCTTTCCACTGTGGAGAACACAAGAATGCCATCCCGCGGCCAGCATACCCCTCCAAATGCAGGCATTATGAAAAGAAAGAATAGGGGGATTGAACTCACCGAATCCGCACAGAACTCCCCACTCTTGTTCGTCAACTCTGCCAGCCCTTTCCACGGACTCTCCGCAATCATCTTCTTACACCCCTCCAACCTACTTGCCACAAGCTGAAACGCCTCTTCCCTCCCACTCATGTCCCTCTCTCCACCCTCATGCTTGCTCTCTTTCCCCAAGCTCTTCCTTCTAATGATCTCAAACCTCAACAATGCCCTCAGAAAGAAACCAAGGGGCCACACCCACTCGGGTCCTTGGTGATAATTCCTCCCTTTTGACGTAGCAAAATCCTCAGAGTCCTCCGCATTATTATAGTACGGTCGATAGTTTAAATCATCTGGATCCAGCGTGGCCATCCCCACTGGGCCCCGGAGGACTTTATCCGCAACAACAAGCGCATGGATAGCATTCTCCAATTTGAAAAGGTCTGGTGCAACGGTCATGGCGATGGCGAAGTTGGGGCGGAGCTGGTAGTCCTTGTATGGGCTGGAAGATTTATAAAGGTCCTTGTAGATTCCCCGGCGATGGACGATTGTGGGGTCGATGTCATGTTGTGCGTCATGGGAGGAGAGGACCGGGATGTAATACGCGCGATCGAAGTTTGATTGAATACGTTGCGCCCACTCGGAGAACTTGATGGTTTCGTTTGAGTTAGTTGTGACGCCTGCGTACTTATAACGTCCTTCTTCGTGTAGTTTTGATACCCAACGGAGTGCACTATAGAGCAGCCCTGTAATCTCAATTGCCGCTCCATCCCTCGGTGTGCCCGGGTGACCTCTGTTCGCTGCCTTCTCACTCTCGCCCATCTTATCCATCCACGTACCGCAGTTCCACATGTTGCCTCCAAATATAAACCCAGTCTCCCAATCGACATGGATATCGACTTGGAACCCCTCTGGTTTCATCTGCATGTCCAACTGCGGCCCAGCATTATATTCCCTAAAGGACAAACCAGATGCATGTCGCTGGAGCACTTCCTGGATAATCTCCTCTATCGTTGAGGAACGGCTATACGCCCTTTCATCGTCGAAAGAGAACCACGTATCATCATACGGAAGAAAGCGGCGGGGCACCTTCTCCTCCAGCAGCTGGATCCCATCGGGGACCATAGTAACGTAGTTTTGTATTGCCTGGAGGAAGAACCAGACAGAGTCGCGCGAGTTGTAACGGGGCAGTTTACCGCTGCCAAGCAGGTTGGGGATCATGCCGTGCTTAATCACGCTAGCAAAGGAGATAATATGGTCTTTGGCGGCATCAAAGCGGCCGGTGCATAGGAGAAGTCCGCGGAGAGAGATGAAGACATCCCGACCCCAGCAACGGGCCCAGTCGGTGGAGAAATGTGGTAGACCTGCTGCTAGAGAGGGGACTAATTTGTTCGGATAGAGTGAACCAGATTTAACGTATCCAACCATTTGTATGGAGACAGTGGCCAGTGCGTGGACGAAATGCGTACCATGCCTGATACCATTAAACAATTGAATGCCACGTCTCCACGCAGCGTAGTAGGCTGTTTGCACGATCATGGAGAAGTATCTTGGTAGGAGAAAATTAGGGACCTTGCGAATCACATCGAAACGTTCTCGTAGCCATGCAGTTGGAAGCTGTAGACGCTCATATCCATGCAACTCGATCGCTCTCTCCATTCGTCCAACAATGAAGTCTAGTGCCCATTGCCCGGTTCGAAGGTGATCACACAGAGGATGACCCAGATCATCATGTTTGACAATAGTTTCCAACACACTCCACCAGCCCTGCAAACCAGCATAGGCAAGCGGACCGAAATTGGGGACGTTGTAAACGCCATCCTTACCGTCACTAGAATCCCTCTCCTCCGCATTGCATCTGTAAAGGACAAAATTAAGATCGATCAGGTCAAGTTTGTGAAAGGCTTCCACCGCTCCTGACGTAATAAAGGTACTCAACTCCTGCGATAAACCCGCACAAGGAATCCACGTCTCCAGCAACACAATAGAGCCAGGCGGGAATGACTGCGGCATCGAAATCACCGTACTATCTTCTTTTTCCGAAATTAGAACCCCATCCAAACTAATAACCTGACTGGGTAAACCTCTCAGGTACTCCTTATCCCCCAAAACAGCCTCCTTCGCCTTATCCGAATCGTCAACTTCCAACCTCCACGCACCGATGAGCTTTGCCTTCGTCCCCGTAAGACACACGGGGTCAAGTGCCCCACCATTTGCCCCTGGGAACGCCGTGTGGGCAATGAGGAAAACACCCCTTCTCGTATCTGGCTGCACGCGATGGACAGTTATATATTCCCCATCGTGATGAATATGGGTCTCATCATAACCCTCAACAGCCATTTTCGTGTGCAGGTCGTTCAGCAATCTCTTCGCGCCGCCTATACCCTCTTTCCCAATAATACTAGGCTTGTCAGAGGGATCCGCACTTCCCCCCTCAGAGGGTTCCACGGAAGAAGAATACCGCCGCGTCTCTTGCACAAGATCCAGATGCGCCGGGTATATCTCATCATAGCCCATGACACTCCCGGAGGCGGAGGCACACATTGCCACCAGCGAGGCATTAGGAAGGGTATCTCTCGCCTCCCTCTTCTGTGCAGGCATCTCATTATCGTGAGTACAGTCCATAAACAGCGCCTGGACCGGCATTTCGCGGACGTGCTTGATAGTTTCACATCTTGCCCCACAATTCTTCCCATTGCCTTTGCTACCGCCATTGATACCATTCTCCCGCGGGAAATCATCAGTCGGCAAATCAATATCAAAACTGCCTATGGGTCTACCACCATGTCGATGCACCAGCCGACTAAGTTCCGCAGTACTCCAAGACTGCATCGCCTCACGAATCAGCGCGTTAAGCCCAAGCCGTTTCGTAAAGAGATAATCCATTTCCTCTGAGCCCGTGAACAACTCCGCAAACACAGCAAGATTGGGACGAACCCTTCTCGCCTCGTCGAGAAGGTATGCAGCCACAGCAAGCGGGGTGGAGTGACAATTATCAATGCGAAAGGCAGCGAAGTATTTCGCCATCAGTTTTGTATAGCTGGCCATATAGTCCCACAAATACGGGTTGTCGTCCCGACACGAGCCGTAACGGAGCTTGACACAGTCGCCCCAGATAATGACCTGGCGCAGCAGATAGGCTCGGGAGTGCGGCCCAGCGTTGTCACGCATGGCATCCGCATTCCACACCCACCCATTATTAACCAGGGCAAGCGTATTCCGGTTATGTTTCGCCGTCTTCTCGTTCAGTGGCAGGCGCGTGAAGTAGGTTTCTATCAGAGGATTTTCTTTCGTAACTGGCCCCAACTTCGGCCCATTCTCATCGAGCCGTAGATACTTGATGCGGTTGAAGAGCTGGTCGAAGATCTCTAGGACATCTTTATCAAACTCAAGGAAGAGTGGGAGATTAACCTCGTCGAAGATCTTAGAGAGGTCACTGCGAATACGCGGGATGTCGGAAGTCTCTGCGTCGTAACGGCCATAGAGTGCCGTGAGCAGTGCCGCAGCCACAGCAGGTTCAACGACCCGTCCGTACCGCCCCAGAAGCCGATCTTTATTAAGTAAACCCCGATCGCGTAAGAACCCAGCCTTCTCCTTCAAACTCCACCCCTTAATCTCTCCCAAGCCTCCGATAGTATGGTCACCAAATCCGCCCTCTGGAATCCTCACATCACCACTCTGATACGCCCGAATCGTCGCCTCCACATCGCGCTGAACATCAACAGCATAAAACTCCCACAGGCGAATCTTATCAATAACATTGGCCCTCATCTGATTCATGACTGAGAGCAAATCGTTGACATTGTCAAACTGCGTGGGTAGCCCCAGTTGGCCCAGCTGTTCCGAATAGCGCAAGAGTGTATCATCCAGTTCAACCGCCGCCTCCAACCACGGAGCAGTTTCCACGTTATACCCAGCTTCTGGGTGCTCCTGTAGCCATTCTGTATTATTCGCCGTGTGATTCCAGACCACATCCGTTAGCGGTAAGAGGCCATACTGACTCTCCATGCGTGACACCATATTAGCAACGTCGCTCTCGCCATTGGGAAAGCAGCATCTGTCAAACGTCAGATGGTCCGCGATGCTGTATGGCGAGTTCGATTCGCCACGGGCCATGATCGGCGTGAAGTGAACCATGTTGTAGCCGCGACGGGCGATGCTGAGCAGATGCTTGTTCCAATCTGAGGGGTTTGAGCCGACAAATTTGGAGAGGAGTGAGATTACGGAGACGGAGGCTAGAGGAAGTGTTTGGTTGTTAAGAGAGATTGTTGGGGCGACATTTATGTAGTGGGTTGGGGAGCGGAGTTGGACTTGGGCTGGGTCCTGCGCCTGTATCTGTCTTGGGGATGGGAAGGTAGCTACTGGTAGCTCCGGGGGGGGAGAGTAGGTTATGTAAAAGGCAAAGGCACCAGGGGTGGTTATTGGTATGTCGATTTCAATTGCGTGGGTAAAGGAGGGTGTTAGTCTATTTCAACACAATCAGTTTCAAAGCCTTCACACGAAGATCATGTAGACAAATTGAAGACGCAACGGTTATATCTCAATGGATATAAAAGAGATAGATAGCCCTACAGATATTCCCTAAAAAAACCCCTCTCAAACTGCGCCCCAGGATGCGGGATATTAACCCATAACCTTCCCCGTCGGCAGACAGCACTGCTCCCCTCGATGACAAAACGGAGGATATATGGAGGATCTGTAGGATGCGGCAAGGAAACGTATCCGTGGGCCACATCCGGAGCGCCATCGTCGGTGAGAGGGAGGAGGTAGACCCCGTGCTGGCTCCTTTTCGGCGCAGAAGCACAAGGGGGTGACATTTGGATATGTTATGGGTATTGGTATGGATATGGGTATAATCGCTATTTGGCAGAATTGGTGCGGATATTCGTCTGTATATCTGTCCTCTATATACGTCGCGAGATTAGAGGCGGGATGGGTGGGGAGTGGCACAAGGGGAGAGCAATTGGTGTTTTTGTACATATAGTACAACATGTATACATATATATGTCTGTGGGTAAGGCTAGCCGGGCAATGGTAAGTTGCCTAAATGCCATATGCCATGTTAGTTGCCGGTGACAAAATCAAGGTATCAAGCAAGGTATTCCTATCCCAGAGTTGGATGTTGTTGGTAGTTAAAGTAACTAACTAGTTAGGGGTGCTGACATCATCGATCGCCTGTCAGTTAACTATTTACCAAACTAACCAGACTTGAACTTTGATCTATGCCAGGTACAATCTACATGGAAAACCCAAAGGGGATGTATATCTTCTATGAACAGGTGCTGGCCGCCGACATTCTTTGAAAATATTTCAAGCAAAAACATCCCGGTGATAGCGAGTTATTCATGAAAATGATGATTCTAGTCACATTTTGTCGCCCATTTATTGTCTCTGAACTGAAGAAAATACCCCGCCTCGCCTATTACAATTTAATTATCAACGCCTTGTGGATAAAGATCAAGAGCTTCACCTCTTTTTTACAAAACATAAGAGCAATATACAAAGTTAAATATAAATATCAACAACTTTATCAATTTCTGTGGGTATATATATACTCAAACCTCCAAGTGGGGAAGCGGAGTATCACCCAAATTATACGGAAGAAGAAGAAGGGGGGGAAAAAAAAGGGGGAACAGAAGAAATCACATCGCGTCACAGGTCATGAGGATCATATGCATTAAAATGTGGGTATCATGCGAAGAATCCTCAATCTTTCTTCATTCACCGCTCAATAAGGCCGGGCAGATCCTCCACGCGGACCTCGCCTTTAAGAATCCCTATAGACCAAGTTGGACAGTCAGCGACTCCTATTCTAGCCCTGGGAAGAAAAAAGGAAGAGAGAATAAATAAATCCACTCACCATACACAGCCGTGAACAACGGAAACTCGTTTTCCAAACCTCTATTCTTCAAAAACATATTAACCTCCTTCGCAGTCAACGTCCCCTGCAACATCTGCCCATTAAGCTCCTGCTTCTCCACTTCCTCTATGCTCAGTCCGCGCTGGATACTCAGCTTGGCGCAGCGATGATTCCTGCCCCCGTTGCAGCTGGTAATCAGATCCGCAACGCCACAACTTTCCTCCGTAAAGGTCTGCGAGTTGACCGAGGCGGAGAAAAACTTGGTTCCAAATTTGACCATCTCCAGAAGCCCGACGCGCATGATGGCGGCCTTGGCGTTGTCGCCCCATTCCATCCCGTCTACGAATCCGGCGGCCAACGCGACGATGTTCTTCAGCGCGCCACCGAGGGAGACGCCGGCGACATCACCTACGACGCGGACGTGGAAGTAAGGGCGGTGGAAAAGGGTTTTGATCAGCCGGTGGTCGATTGGGGGGTATTCGGATGGCAGGGCCTGGAGTCTCACTTTGGAGAACTGACCGGAGGAGTCCCTGTGCTCGAAGTGGACGACGTCAGGAACGTTGGCGACGGAGGGTGAGGGGGATATGGTTTTGGGAGTAGGGGCTTTGGAGTCCATATGGGGTGGGTCGTAGGCAATTGTGGTCTCTGAATAGAGTTCCCTGGCGATTTCCCCTGCGATGTTGGCTCCAGACAGTGCGCCGCAGTAAATACCCAGAGTGCGTCCGATGGTCTCCGAGAACAAACTAACGCCATCCTCAGTTACGTTGACTCCCTTGATACAAGAGATTCCACGGGCATAGGGCACGATGTGGCCTTTTAGTCTGTTGCAAATACTATGAATAAACTGATGGGGCAAATTGAATATCAGGATGGTCGAACCCTTGACGGCTTCCTCCAGGGAAGGGTTGGCACGAATATTGGACGGCAAAGTGATGTTGGGGAGGTATTTGACGTTCTCGTGGAGTTTGTTGATGATTTCGGTGAGGTTCTGCGGTCCGTTGCACAGCGGGGAAGCGGGGTCATAGTGTTTTGAGGTTTGGGGCACTTCCACTTTCTCGTCATACACCCACATGTCAACGGTTAGCTCAAAGGAATCTGCATTGGCGGCGACATTTTCAGCGACCATTTTGGAAATCACAGACCCCCTGTAAAGAGTAGGTTAGTTATGGCATAGACTGCATCTCTCTAAAATGCAAACACACCAGTTGCCGGAGCCTATCACGGTCACCTTGTGCCTCTTGCCGTAGGGTGCGAGACGAGTCATGGCGGCGTATGATCGTGTGAGATACTTGGGGCCAAATAAATTGTACAAGGCAAGATTGCGGGGGTGTCTTGAAAATCGAGGATATCGGGAAATAGAGATGCGCTTGGAGGAGAAAGAGAAGAGGGAGGAGGGGGAGGAGGCGGAGGAGGAGGCGGAGGAGGAGGCGGAGGAGGAGGAGGAGGAGTAGGAGGAGGAGGAGGAGGAGTAGGAGGAGGAGGAGGAGGAGGGGCGGTGGGCAGAGCGGGCGGTATTTAAGGAGCTACGTTGTGGTTGGAAGAGGGGAACAAAGAAGTGTTGGGGGCGGGCGAGGAGGACTGGGTTACGTGATATCAAAGGAGACAGATGGCAGTGATATAGCCGGGGAATCGGGTACATGCACCGCGATAGAGTCAGATTAGAGTTGGAATCGAAATGAGGTCTAAAAAGATTGGGACATAATAGGGCAGAGAGACGGGGTTTGGAACCTTTTAAGAAAGATGATGTTTAAAAAGCCATTCGTTGAGTGGGTAGTTTAGTTATTGGGAAAAAAAAAAAAAAAAAAAAAAAAAAAAAAAAAAAGTTCCGGGCAAGACCAGGCTCAGAGGGACGGCGAGGGGGGCAAAATGTGGCGTCACAGGGGATAAACTAGCCGAGTCTCCACGGAAGGGGGTCCCTTTTAACAAAAGAAAACCTTAGGTTTTAACCCCACTATTTCTAGTTAGGCTATTTTAGTTTCTACTAAAAGAGATCTTTAACTAATGCTTTAGGTATGTTTGGGCCTCCGAGTCCCTATAAGGACGCCTAAAGTTCCAGGTAAATATACTCCCAGCAGTTGCAAGTTGGATAAAGTGTTCAACTGGAAGTCTTCAACGGGAATCAACTGAACCACAGGTAGAATCTAGCCCTTGAGGACCCCGTGTGCCAGTTGCAGCAGAGCCTACCTGGGTTCCAGATGAAGTTATCCTCACATGGGCGTCGGTACTGTATTAATTACTGCCTATTGCTCATTGCCCAGCATCAGACATCTCCAGACAATCCTCAAGTGGCGAATGAGGCAGGAAAATAATACCTAATTAGCTACTCTATGGAAATGTCCCCTCGAACACCCGATATCAAAAAACAGAAAGGTCTCACGAAACCGATGCTTATGGTCCCGAGCTTCCCCGTGTCTAGGGGAATACACACCAACCACAAACTTCATGAAGCTGAGACCCCACGGCGACTCCACGAGTGATAGATAACCTTGGCTTGTAATCGGTCAAATCCGTGTAGAAACGGTAACACGTGTCCGGTCTCCGATTTGGCAAAAAACTCACCGGCTCAAGGACGATCGATCCGTGGCAATATTTGAAAATCAAGTTTCTGTTGAAGTTTTAATACATGAGTTAAAAAAACCATAAATGTACTCTTAGAGAGTACATGTAGCATCTAGGCATTGAAGCTGCCGGATATCATCCAGTGGGTATATATAAGCGCATAGACGCGCGCCTAATCATAGAGATAGCTCAAACCTAACCCCGCGCTAGTTAACGAACTAAACGAGATGAATTAAATTCTTCAAAATAGTTGACAACAACCTCCTTCTACTCTCCAGCAGATCCCATAACTATGGTATCACCACCCCTCGAATCCCCCTTCCTTTCAACTTTCGATTCTAACAAGTCCCACACAGGCCCCAATTGCCCCCAAAAAGCTCGCAGCTACCCGAGCTAATTCCTCCCGACAACCCATTGCCTCCTCACCCTCCAACCATGTCAGTCCTTTCGCAGACCCAGATGCCTTTCGCACAACCAAAAGGGATAAACGCCAAATAAAACACTCCATCTTCCTCTCCAAAATCGAAAAACCCCGCAGCAAGACACTGAAACGACGACGGCCCTCAAAGAAACTAATCGCCAACCTTGATTCGCTGGTTGATGCCCTCCCGGATGCTGGTGATGGTGACGATAATGGCACATACAATCATCACCACAACAACGGCCCTGCCAACAATAAAAGGCAAATGCTTGACAGCCAGGTGAATATTATTAGGCAGAAGACTTTGAAGCATAAACCTGGTGCGATGAAAAGGAAGGAGAAATTGGATCGGAGGGAGAGAGAGCGCTTTGCCCGGAATTTGGCGCAGATGGCGGTTCCCCCAACAACTTCTGGTACGAATACAAATGCGAATACAGCAGTCGATGCGCAGACGCAGGTGCAGACACAAGCAGAGACTCAGCCATCGACGTCGAATCGGTGGGCTGCTTTGCGCAACTTCATTTCTCAGACCATCGATCAGAATCCGGAGTTTCAGAGATCGAGGCCAACATGAAAGATTGTCTGTGTTTCTTTTCTAAAAAAGAGAGAGAAAAAATCCCTTTCGGGGGAGCAAAAGGACTTTATTCATTCCATGTAACGTCTGTCGCCATTTTTTATGGGACTTGGACATGTCGCAAAATTTTTGATGGTTTCCTCTGTCCCTGTCTACAACTAATCAGAACATCCAGCGCGTCTGCGGCCCCTATTACGATTACGCTCTGAGACCATCCCCTATGCAGCTGAGGTGACCACCTGACATGCGGGACTTTACGTCAGCCCAGGCCTCCGCGGGATGGAGGCATAGATGACATGCAGGACCCACACGCAGAGATGGTCGAAGAACGAGCTGGAGTTCCCATGCTGAAGGAGTCTTATCCGGTTGTTGCTTGGACTGAAACAAATATTAGAGGTCATTTTTCTGGGAATTGCAAATTGTAAAAATAATTTTAATATCAACAGTAGAAGCCACTTTAGTGGGAAACTGTTGATCACTGCAAAAAGTATCGGTCGGGAGATTCATTGGATGGCTCGAAATTTGGCGTCGCTAAAACCAGTGTAGAAAATCTATGCGCTTTTCGTCGTTGATTTTAATTGATTCGTGCTGGGTGTTCGCCATATCGGGAGTCCGCAACCTATCTCACTACAATTTGTTACTAAATGCACACTGAATTTCGTGTTGCTGCATTTCTCTATAAAAGGCAGCTTTTTCACTTTTAAACTCTGCATTATTGTGTCCAGTTGTATGATCACTTGTTAAGCTGATAATATAAACTGAAGAAAGAAACAACATACAATCCTGCAGCAATCTTAGCACTTGAAATGTAACCTGTTTTTAGGCATTAATAGGCAGAAGGGTAAGCTTGACTATTTATTTCGTGGTGAAGAAGCGGTTTTATCGTTAATTCATCAGATTGGATCCGACACAGTTCACAAGAAAGTATTTAAGTTCAGTTAACCACGAAATATCATCAAAAAAATGCATGTACATATAAAGATTCGACCCCACCAACCTCCCTCCCTTACAAAAGACACAGCCTCCCCCTACGAGCCCTGAAGCAGCCCCGAGAACAGATGTCTTTCTCAAAAAGCAGAGAAGCAGTTACGGAAAGGGATCAACTGAATATGAAAAACCTCTTCCAATCCCGCAAATTCCTCCAGCAGCAAATTGCCACCACGGAAGTGCAGCTCTCCCAACTAAAAGCCGAGCTCGAACGTACAGAGCGGCAGATTGCGACGGAGATAGCGGAAACAGCAAGTCATCAGGAAAATGGGAAGGAGAGTCAGAGGGAAGAACTGCCCCAGGGACGAATACGAAGATATCCGCTGCAACAGGATGAATATCGACGATATGGCCGGCAGATGATCGTTGAGCAGATACGGCTGGATGGTAAGTGGAACGGGGCTTGCGAACAGCGACAGTTGAATGTGCATAACTAGGACCATATTAATTCGATGCTTCTGTTGATTTACAGGACAACTGAAGCTTCGCGGATCTTCTGTTCTCATCGTCGGCGCGGGTGGGCTGGGATGTCCCGCTGCGTTGTACCTAGCTGGTGCTGGGGTTGGGGTACTAGGGATTGTCGACGGGGATACAGTGGAGGCATCGAATCTGCATCGACAGGTGCTGCACCGCACGAAATACGTGGGCAAACTCAAGGTGGACAGTGCGATTGAGTATTTAAAGGAGTGAGTCTTGTTATTCTACCCCCAATGACTTTTGACTATGCGCCTATTCCAGACATAAAACTGATACAAAAAATCCCCCAGACTAAACCCACGCCCCAAATACATCCCCTACCCCACCCACCTCACCCCACAGAACGCCCCAGAAATTTTCACCCCCTATTCCATCATCCTCGACTGCACGGACAACCCAGCCACCCGCTACCTAATCTCTGACACCGCCGTCCTGCTCCGCAAGCCTCTCATATCTGCCTCCGCTCTCCGCACAGATGGCCAGCTGATGATTCTCAACTACCCACCTGCCAACCCATCCTCCGGCACCAGCACCAGCACCAGCACCAGCACCAGCGCCGTCAGCGGGCCATGCTACCGCTGCATCTTCCCCAAACCACCCCCAGCAGCGAGCGTAATAAGCTGCGCGGATGGCGGCATCCTTGGTCCCGTCGTCGGTGTCATGGGCGTGCTACAGGCGCTCGAGACGATCCGTGTCCTCACCCAGCCGACCGGAACTGACAATCCCAACCACAGCGCCAGTCCTAGCGCAGGCCGGCACCATCAACCTATCGTTCCAACATTACATCTCTTCTCTGCCTTCTCCAACCCACCGTTTAGGAGTGTACGACTTCGCCCGCGACGGGTGGACTGCGCCGCATGTTCCGCCACGGGGACGATAACGCTCGAGTCGCTGCGTGGCGGGTCGATGGACTACGTCCAATTTTGCGGTGGTGTTGCGGGTTCGCTGGCGTTGTTGGGTGACGAGGAGCGGCTGTCGGCGACGGAGTATTGGAGACGGTATGCGCAGGCAGCGGCGGGGCTAGAGGAGGGTGACGAAGCTGCAGATGGCGATGGAGACGTGGAAAGTCCGATTCTGATTGATGTGCGGGAGGCGGTGCAGTATGGCATTGGTGCGATAGCGGGAAGCATCAATATACCCATGTCGCAGATCATGTCGGCCCCTAGCGCCACGTCAGATGTCGACCCCCCCCGTGAGACGGCGTGTAATGGTTTAGATATAGATGGAAAGCCAACTCTCCCATCGTGGTTACCGCCACAACTCCTCGATACATCGTCTAAGAAGCCGATACATGTTGTGTGTCGACTTGGGAATGATTCGCAGGTCGTCGTACGGAAGCTGAAGGAGCTGGGTGTTGACAGGGGAGGGGAAAGGTGGGTGGGAGATATCAGGGGTGGGCTGAGGGCGTGGAGGGAGGAGGTTGAGGCGGATTTCCCTGATTATTGAAAAAGGTACACCAATTGCGTCACGGTGCGATCATCTTGACTGGTTTGTGAAAATTCTGGAGCAAGGGCTACGGTCCAGAGGGTAGAGAAATGATATAGACAATTTTTTTTTTTTTTTTTTTTTTTTTTTTTTTTTTGGTTTTTGTTTCATACAGAGTAAAGCCCAACATGAGCATGAGCATATTCTTAAACCATCAATCATGGGTCAAGCGGGGTGGGGGGTATCTTATTCAGGGGAAAAAAAAAAAATAACAAACACAAAAACCTAACCAAACGCTCAAACGCAAAAGCGGAGCGAAAAAGGAATGGAATACAAGGTTATCATCTGAGGGTAACCTCATTCATATAAAAATCATCGTTCCAGGCTCCCCAACGATCCACCTAACCCATACAGGGCATTCAATTCTGCCAGCGAGCCAACACTACCCGCTAAAACTCTACCCCGTTGGAGCTCGCAGAGGCGTATCCTCCAACCACGCCCACTCGACACCTACACGGCCACGCTCCTCCAGCGCCAACTGCGTAAAGACACTGATCGACACATCGATATCGGTCGGTTGACATCCAACACCTACATTCCACATAAAATTAATCAGCAAACCAAAAAACAGACAAGGGAACGAGGGAACGAAATAGCGACAGATAAAATGAATAACAAAAAGCCAAAAACCCATACATCTATCCACAACAGTCACATCCACACTCTTCACACCCTTCCTCAACCGCAGCTTCTTCCCGCACAGCGGGTTTAGATTCGGATTCGAGCTCGTGCTGACAGCATCGTATAGGAAGTGCGAGACGGCGCAGATGGCGTCGGAGGACTTGCTGTCAATTCCACAGGCACCCAGTCCTGGGTCGTAGTAGGTGAGGTCGCCGGTGTAGGGACCGCCGTGGTTGGTGGGGAGGGGGAGGTTGGACGGGGATCTGGGGGGAGATTGTCTTAGTGCGGGCGACCAATTGACAGGGGAAGATATTACGCGAATGAATGGAAAGAAAAAGAAAGAAGGAAGGAAGGGAAGCAAACAAGACCTTGAATCATACCTATTCTGTTTTGACAGGCCCGCCGCCAGCCCGATGATGAGGATGAGGAGGAATACAGCACCAATGACACCGCCAAGGAACAAACGCTGTTTCTTCTTATCTCCATTAAAGCGGAGATTTTCTTTGATATTTGCGATCTTCAAGTTGTTAATGACAGCGGCAGGCGGCCATGCCGTCCTCAATTGGATGAATGAATGCTTGAAACGCTCAAAGGTGGAAAGAGGTTTGAGTGTGCCATTTTCCAGAGAGGGGCCATCTTGGTATGTTTCCTTAGGAGGGGGGACGGGTTTGCGTTTTGGGATTTCAGAGATGGAGGTCTGCACGCCACCGCCTGTGGTATCTTTGCCATTTTTGATCTGTTTGACAGTGGCAGGTTCTGGTTTGGGGAGGCGGAATTGCAGGGGTACGACTGGCACGGGGTTTTCATGCAGGCTCTTGAGGCTGGTGGAGGAAACGGTGCGCGTGAGGGAGGAGACGGTGCTGATTGATCGAGGCATCTCTGTTCTTTTGGAATAAGCAAACAAGTCAAGAGTAGCTAAATGAGTGCGTTTATATGGAGATTAAATAGGAGATTTGTATTTTCGTAATGGCCGTCGCGCAAGAATGGTTGCGGGCAAGCTGCGGGCGGTTGTTAACGTCAATCGTTAAAGGGTGCTGCTACATGCGCCTGGGGGTCAAATGGAAATGCGACCTGTCTGGATCGTCTTCATGAATAGCCAGTTCACGTTTCAATTGGATTACAGCGTTATATCTCTTGGATATGGTGCGGTATTCCGAGTTGCGCCAGGGACTCAGGGGCTACGCCAAGTTGGAGTAAAGAATGAATGGATGAATGGGATGAATGGAGAAAAACGATCAATTCACAAGATAAAAGAGTGGTGAGTGTCACAGAACGACCACTGAGTGCTGCAATGAGAGTGGGTGTAGATATACACATAGGCAAACGCCCAAACATCTATCTCAAATCTCAGCATAACCAAACAACGTTTCGCGATGTTCCATCGCTCGCTGACAAGTCAATAATGCCAGAATAGGAAATTAGGGCATGCAGAAACAGTGTGTCATGTGACATTAACCCCCTCTCATACGGATCAACTTGCAATTCAAACATTGCAGCGGATATAAATATGCAACTATATGTTTCGGGGAGGCAGAAGTAGTTGGTTGTGTAAGAAGGTCATACATACACTTACAGCAGGTGGAGAATATCTCGATAATTCAACTGTTCCGCTGTCCACATCGATATAAAAATACCCACAAAAGCGCTACTCGGCCCGCTGCCCCCCCACGCCCGGGGAGTTCTCGTCTGGGTAATCACGGGACTGTGATTGGGCCGCGGTGGCTGACATAACCGCGGCTTGTCCACTCGTTCTTCCGAGGCTTCCAGAGCATTGAGGGCATCGAAATATTTCCAAACCTTCTTCTGTCGCCAACGACCGACAATTACCCCTGCAGACAGTGAGAGCGAGATAGGAGAGAGAATAGCAAAAGGAGAAGACAACCATTTCTGTTGCCGTTGGTCTAGGTCTCAGGTACCAGCCGAAGTTGACCTTACAGAAGGTGCAGCAGGAATATCGCCCCAGATTCCACTCCCCCAAAATCCCTCCTTGCTCCATCCGTCTCCCACCGTGGGCTTGGATAACTCCAACCGTTTTCAGCCATGGCCTCCCTACGCCCTTCTTCCCGTATCCTGGCCGCCTCCCGCCCTCTTTTCCGCTCTTCTGTAGCCTCCAGATCCTATGCCACTGTTGAATCCGCTTCGAAAACGGCCGAATCGCCCATCCACACGACATCGCAAACCCCAAAACTCAAGACCTTCAAGATCTACAGATGGAACCCCGACAAGCCAACCGAGAAACCGCGCATGCAAAACTACGCTCTCGACCTGAATAAGACCGGCCCCATGATGCTGGACGCCCTGATCAGAATAAAGAATGAGCAGGATCCCACCCTGACCTTCCGGAGGAGTTGCAGAGAGGGTATCTGCGGTAGTTGCGCGATGAACATCGACGGCGTCAATACCTTGGCTTGCTTATGTATGGATTGCCCTAACCCCTTGATATAATAGCACACAATCTCACCGCCGCCGGAATAAAGAATAAGAATTGTAACCTGAACTGACGGTTGCAGGCCGCATCCCCACCGACACCTCCAAAGAATCGAGAATCTACCCCCTCCCCCACACTTATGTGGTCAAAGATCTCGTCCCAGACATGACCTACTTCTACAAGCAGTACAAGTCCATCAAGCCATACCTGCAGCGTGACACTCCATCTCCAGATGTACATGCCAATGGCCCAGCTCTAACACATCCCATACAAGTAGACTAAAAGCTAACCAAACCCAGGGTCGCGAAATCCGCCAATCACCCGCCGACCGCAAAAAGCTCGACGGCCTCTACGAATGCATCTTGTGCGCCTGCTGCTCAACCTCCTGCCCCTCCTACTGGTGGAACTCTCAAGAATACCTTGGCCCTGCTCTGCTGCTGCAGTCTTACCGGTGGCTAGCTGATTCGCGTGACGAGAAGACCGAAGAGCGCAAGGCGGCCCTCGACAATAGCATGAGCGTGTACAGATGCCACACCATCCTCAATTGCTCAAGAACCTGCCCCAAGGGACTGAATCCAGGCCTGGCGATTGCTGAAATCAAGAAGATGATGGCCTTTGCGTAGGGGATGGTTGTCCTGTAGTGCGAGGTCATTTTGATTTTGTGTTTCCTTCTCTGCTCCATTGGTTGGCGGGTCTCTGGTGATGCTATCAAACACCTTTATGCTGCGTCATTGGTTTGTTCGCCTTAACTTTTTTCTTCATTATTGTTTGCAGCTGTTGGCAGCGTGTTCTGTGCTATCGTTGAACCTGCTCCAAGGAAAAGCAAACGGGAAAACATGGCGAAGGGTTCTTTCATCGCACACACGTGAGTTGCATGTGGTAGAATGTACAGAGCTTCTTTCTGTTTATTTGTATCCAAATTTCTTGTTAAGGTTTTAGCTCCTCTTGTGTATATTTTGATCTGTTGAAATGTGCGTTTTTCCTTTCCATGTTTTCTTTCCTTTGTCTCACTTCATGTCTGTACATATATACAGAAGCTTCAACAAATTGAGAAGTCCACGCTAATAATGTATAAAATGCCATTTTTCATTCATTCATCAGAAAGAATGGGCCTTTGCATCTGGAGGTTTGGTGTGTTGTTGCTGGTGCTTATGGGGCTGCTCTGTGTATCCTCCCGAGGCGCGTCATTGACTTGTAGATGGGTCATTGAATTCAATTGAATTGTGTTCCAAGTTCCTCACTCCCAGCTGAGAGCGGGCTTCTGCTTGCTTCAGAGATGTAATGGCTGCATGGAGGCACCATGACCTTTACCCCAACCTTAGGGCCAGGTCTTGACGACTCTTCCTCCACCCATCAACAGAAATGGTGGGAATTGCAGGTGAAGTTTGTACGAGATTTGAATTTGGGCCCTCCATTAGCCTTTCCTTTTTCATGTATGTAGCTATCTTTTGGTTTGAGTGTATTTATTCTCTCTATTGGCTATGAAAACAACCTATATCCATTGCTCTCCCTTTCTCAGAAAAGAGAATCAACTCGCAGCCGGCCTCGCGCAAATTATATCAGAGCAATGCAAAATACCAACTGAACGCTTGAGAAACTAGACAAAAAAAAAACAAAAGACAAAATCAATAAGAATATAGCACAAAAGCTGAAATCCCCAGGTATGACTCTGAAAGCCAACCGCGCCCTCCCCCTTCTCGAGGCCGCTGTGGCCGGCAAATATGCCATTCCAGGCATATGCTGCTACAATCTTGAAGGCATCCTCGCCACAGTTGGCGCCGCAGAAGCCAAGCGCTCGCCTGCCATGATCCTCCTCTTTCCCTGGGCCCTGCACTACGCCGACGCTCTCCTCGTGCATGCCGCCGCCAGCGCCGCCCGCAGCGCCTCCGTCCCCATCACTGTGCACATGGACCATGCCCAGACGCCAGAGATAATCAAAAAGGCAGCGGATATAACGCCGCCCACATTTGATAGCATCATGATTGACATGAGCCATTATGAGAAGACAGAGAATCTGGCGCTGACCCGCGAGCTGGTGGGCTATTGTAATGAGCGGGGGATCGCCACGGAGGCGGAGCCGGGACGCATTGAGGGCGGCGAGGATGGCGTCGCTGACACGGTGGATCTGGAAGGGATGCTAACGACGCCCGAGGAGAGTGGGGAGTTTGTCAAGACGGGGATTGACTGGCTTGCACCCGCTTTTGGGAATGTGCATGGCTGCTATGGGCCCAGGGGGGTTCTGTTGGAGTACGAGAGGCTTCAGAGCATTAATGAGGCTGTTGGGGATAAGGTGAAGCTGGTGCTGCATGGGGCAGACCCCTTTACGAAGGAGATTTTTGATAAGTGCATTGCATGTGGGGTGTCAAAGGTGAATATCAATAAGGTCATGAACAATGAGTATATGCGTGTGCAGGAGGAGATGGCTGGCAAGGTGCCTATTACTGTCTTGCATGAGGAGGCGACAAAGGCGATGCAGAAGGCGGTGGAGCGGGTTATGGATTTGCTGGGTTCGACGGGAAAAGCGTAGCCTTTATTCAGGGTTTTTTTTTCTTTTCTCTTTTTCGTTGATGAGATTATTTTATGTTATAACTACTATGACCCAATATGGCATTTCTGAATCCGCTCGATGGCGTGTCTGTAACTCATGACTGTGGTTGATGGCAGGGCTTCATGGCAGTGTGGACTCTACTCTTTATACTGTAGTTATGGCATGGCTGCGGAGGCAATCGGTTTGTTTGCTTAGGATAATATGGTTGAGTTGTCGACTTCCGTCACGATCAAGCCTACGTTTCAGTTATAAAAGGATGAAGAAGTAAAGTTTTATTATCCTCACCCCTCGACCAGGTAAGGGACACTCGTGAAATGCCAGAGAAGAAACTTGCCAGTTCATACCATCCAGTTTCTCACAAGGAATACCAAGTCTATCGACCTCACCCTCTCGAAAAACTCCAGTAAACCCTCATTAATCTCATCTCGCGCTTCCAACTGCACCCAATGTCCCGCAGCATTGACCTGCTTTACTGTAAGATTCGCCGCGAACGACTTCATCTGCTCAACCACCAGCATAGGCTGAGGCTGTCTGAGTATTGGATCTAGCTTGACCACTGTCCCCTCGTCGACATTGATGTTCCAGATGAGAGCGCGATACCACATCAAGGCAGATTGGTAATGACCTTGCATGGTTTGGTGGACTTCTCCTATTCAAAGAAAGACCGGGTATTTTTAGATATACAGAGAACGAAATTTCGGAGACGAATCGGTCATTGAGGTATGCTTATACACACCTTTTCCGCAACATAGGGTGCCATTGGCCCCTTGTGATCCTCTCTGAGCCACTTTTCTACAGCTCCTGTTCGCCCAAGATGTTCAATCCATAAATCCTCGTCTGCGGGATGAGATAGCGGAAAGAGCGAAAAAGTTCAATTGCAGCTATACCCATGTTCAGCTATTGTAGATAAGGAGCCCCTCAAAAAATCGATATAGAATAAGAGTAAGGCCCGTCGTGGGTGCTTTAACTGCTGCAATTTGTCCACGTCGATTACTGACAGGTCATCAATAGCTGAACATATCCTGCTAAGTTATATAGAACACAATCACCGTACACAGTCATAACAAACTCATAGGAGGTTCCATTTGTCTCTACCGGCTGGACCCAGAAAGTCAACCGGGATAATGCAATGGGGTTGGTCGGAGGTATGCATCACTTTGTCGATAGTAGTAAGTAGGATAGTGACCGCAGATTTTGATAGGATTTCGACATGTGAAATTGAGAAGCCTAGAACCTCCCGATGTAAGCTCTTTCTCATATTGTACAGATCTGAAAAGATTGGCAATACAGTCTTCATTTCGACGGTAAGAAATGAGAAGCAGAAAGCGCTTATCAGATGTAGGAACGAAGGTGCAAGTTTCTGGAGTTGATATTCGGAAAATGCTTGTCAGTAAGACCAGCAGCACAATCCGGTCATGGACGAATCAGTCGAAGACGTTGAGGTAACGTGTGCAATGGCGACGAAACGACATTTGGTCGATCAATTGCTCCGCCAGCAGAGGCGACGATGAATTCAGCAATGGCTCGAATAGGCCTTGGTCTTATTTTTCCTCTGTATTTCTTTTGCAGGTGGATTCAAACATGTCATCACCAGAGGGTCTTTCTACAGGCAGGCGTCATGAAATCTCCCAGAAGTAAGTTTGGCAGGCAAATCCTACTGCTGGAGTGATGGTGATCCCTTGAGAAAAAAACGCTTTATGCCACAAGCAAACGTTCACGGTGCCTACCTGAGTTAGGAATTGTTGTTCCCTTTGTGTGAGCTCGCGGCGTCATTTGGGATAGATGTTCACATGCTCGAACTTGACTTTGGAGCAGTAGAAATGCAGAGGTTTCAGTGGGTCGGGCAAGAATCCCTTCAATAGCTTGAGCCATCGGGAGCCACTCGCAGCCGTGAAGTATATCCCAGGACTCAATAGACTGAGATTCTCAGACTCTCTCTGCATTGGGACATCAAAAATGCTCTTGAGATATTCAGCTGCTGTTGTGTGCGTTAAGACTGACACCAATTCCGCTAAACGGCTCAGTCACGTAGTTAAGACCATTATTATGAGCTCTTATCAGCTTCCCCGTCTCCCGTGTCTCCATTCAGGGCAATATTTGGCTGAGTCTGCGGGATGCAACCGTCCAGTGGTCAAAACGGTGGGAACGGAGAGCGGCACTTCCAAACCCTCATTGTGTTTTTGCTTCACTGCAAGAACAAATTGGGAGAACAACCAGGCCATTCTGTATGCTGATAGATGAATGAAAAAGAGAATGAAAAAGAGAAAGGAGAAACGAAGAGAAAGAGAAGAGAAAGAAAAGAGAAGAGAAAACCAGGAAGAAAATATCAAATGAATCAGCTTGTCAGGTCCGGGCAGATGTGGGAGATATACATCTTCAGGACACCGCTCTGAGTTTCAAGGAGTCTGATAATTTTAAATTCCACCAGCCAATCCAACCGCGCCGAATCAGACATAGTTATGTAGCTCCAACTACCGGAGTACTCTCAGTTCTTGATTTACACAGACTTTTCTAAAATGAAGACACTTTCGAGATTTGGCTGGTAGCAATTTTGTCCTGGGCCTCCGCGGGGGTAACTAACTAACTACCCCCGTGCAGCATTTCCCCCCTGACGATCACTGAGGCGTGAAATATCACGATCTACATACAGGGCTTGCTCGCCACAGAAGATCAGAGCACAGCACGGGGTTAATACCACCTCCAGGGTTTGGCATTGGCAGCGACTTGTAATGAGGGATGGGCAAAACCTGCGACGGGCCTTCGAGGCGTCAACTCGGGCCCGGAGGTTTCAAATCCTGCGTTGTGTTCGAGATAACTAGTTAGTTATTGCTTTTTGAATCCGTAAAGGAGCGCCACCGCTGTTTACTCCGGGGAGTCCTGCATTAACGGGCTCTCGCAATTGCGGCACCGATTCCAATTCTTTGTTCCTGTTTGCCTTGCGAGGGGCTGGAGATAGTTAATCAAAGACTGGCACAAAGTTAGCTGCAGAATGTCGAGATGCGCGACGTCCTATCCTAGATCAGCAATATGCTGTCAAACGTCAGGCCAGAGGTCTCATCCCGCATTCAGCGCAGTGACCTGGGAACTGTCCAGCCGATTATCGACCAAAAGTTGATGATGATCGGCCGTCCTCCGTTCCAAGGTTACCTCAACCCGTGATGGCGTCGAAAATGATCTGCGATTCTACAGGTTGATGGGTTCATCGCGGGTTCCCTAAGCCCCAGAAACCATTCGTGAAAAAGGAAAAAAAGCAATTTTAATACAGCTGGCTCAGATAAAAAGCCCTCCTGCTCTCTTCATTGAAAACAATTTCCTCAAAGCAACCTCTGACTTCCGAATCCTCTGTCGATTGCCTCCAAATCCCCCGTTCGAATTCGAATTCATATCCCCCACGAACAGCCATGAAGCTCAGCCTACTCGCTACTATTGCCATCTTCGGCGTTGCTCTCGCACAAAAAGGGGTAAGATGAAGACGTGGTTTTTTTTTCATGACGACCCCTTTGGTAATGAACATAAAAAAAGATATAATAAAACCTTCTGGCATTTGGCTTTCTTCCAGATCCCTAACGGACGCCCGTGCAAGAAAGATGGAAGCATGGGAAATTGCGCCAGTGGATTCTGCCTGGTATGCCAATACTGCTCACAACACTCTGTTCTGTCTATGGCAAATCCTTGCAGAATAGAAAGCTGACTTGTTATGCAATGAACAGCAAATCCAGGGCGAAAGCCAGGGAAAGTGTGAGGAGGCGAAGTAGGACCGAGCAAGGCATGGTAGCGGTTGTTGAGGCCCCCTTCAAAGCTACTACAGAAGCATTGGATGGAAGGCAAATCACAATTGAAACGGCTTAACTTCTCAATACATGCCTTGTCTTCTACATTGTTTTAGCGCATTCATGTACTGTGCCCACTGCACCACAACATGTTGCAGCATAGCAGTATCAACCCAGTCCAATTATTCAAGAAGATGGCGGCCATATGTCCGCCTGTAGACAGCATGCCCAGATATTACTGTGTTTTTTACGTTTAATGCTACATGGCCACTTGCATAAACCTTCCATCCGATGCATATAGTATTTCAGTGTGCAAACTATAGAGCATATTTATGAAATGGGTGTTGGTGCAGCCGCTGCTACACTCGCTGATTACCGGCATATGTCACTTACACTGGTAAAACAATGGAGTTCAAGCCCTGACCGTGGCAGCACCCAGTCTCCTGAATCCTCCCTCGGCGGCAACTCGCCTCTGCAAGTCCGCCATACGGCACTGGTCTCCCGTGGGATCGGCAGATTCCGGCTCGAGATCCCAGGTCAAGAAGCGGTTCGTGTAGTTAGGTTCGAAACCTGCGTCCAGAATCCCCAGGCGTTTGCCGTAGTTGGCCACCTTCTCCCAATCCCGCTGGACATTCTTCAAATCCTTGCTGAAGTACGGATAGGAGCGTTCGAAAATCTTCCTGTTAACAGGCGTCCCCATAATCGGCTTGAAGTCCACGTACTCCTCGTATGCTGTCGAGGGGTTCGCGAGAACGTAGTTAGTGGCCTTCTTAACTGCCGTGAGAAACTTGACGACTTGCTCTTGGTTCCGAGAGATAAATGTTTCATTGCCGATGTACAGGATAGAGCAGAAGCAACAGCAGCCGAGCTCAGCGAGCTGATCAATACGGAGCATCTGCACGTCGGATCGAGGACGATTCTGGTCGGCAAGCCACTCCTCCAGCTCGACCATTTGCACATTCTCGAGACCGATTCCAGCGTCGATCTCGCCGCTGGTAATCGCCTTGGTGATGTTCATACCACAGCGGACGGCAGTATAGTCGGTCACAGACATGTTGTAGTATTTGGTGAGCTCGTCTATTTGGATCTGGAAATTTCGGATAAGTAACTGCTGCAACAGGCGTTTACGAGGAGATCCAGGATAATTAAACCTTTCCAAACTCGCCAACGTATCCAATCCGCTTCCCTCTCAGGGTGCGAAAGTCGGTGGTGATGCCACTGTCTTTCAAGTAGACAATCCCAGTAAATGGCTCATCCAAAAGAGATCCAACGGAAACAACGGGGAAGTTTCGGGCTTTCGCCTAGATAAGCTTATGAGCATCAAGCGTGTTATCATGTATGTATAGCCGCAATAAAAGAAGTCTACACTGACAGCGAGGGTGTGAATCATGGCCTTGAAACCCATGTCAACCTTGCCACTACCGATGATCTCTGTCACGTCAGACGGATCATTGGGCTCCAGAAGAGCAACCTTGATACCCTCATCCCTGAAATATCCCTTGGAGTGGGCGAGGTAGAGGGGAATATGGTATGGAGTGGCGTGCCTTTTAACGCGTTATCATCAATTGACAGCCCTCATCAGCTTGGTTTCCACTCAATGCTAGCATGATAGCTAGTTTTCAAACCTACCAATTGGTCAAAAAGGTAATCCTGTCAGTAGACATGATGGCAACAACCGCGATGCAAGTTCAACAATTAGATATCACTATCAAAGTCAGCATATATAAAATAAAATAAATAAAAAAAAGTCAGGGGCCGGGTTATCAAGCGTCACATGTCCTTTCGCTGGAATTATCCAGATCAAGTTCAGACAGTATGATCTCAGAACGATCAGTTCATGTCACCCGCGTGAGCCTGTTTCCCCGTAATGAAGGCAAGGCTGGTTGGAAGAAAGCAATCCGCAAAGCGCAGGCCTCAAGAGAAGTACATAGAACTGGCAGCCGGTGGAACATGGACTGATCGAACACCTGTCATGTGTACGCATGTGCTTCCACACCATACCCTGACCATTCGGGGACAACTCTTCTGCAATGAGAGACACAGATGCCATCCATGATGAGTCGTACCAAGAGGAACAGTGCGAAGGGCAGCGGCAGAAGAAGAAAGTGAATCACCAAAGAACAAAAGGAACTGCAATTGAAACCGTGCTGTGGAACTTGGAGCGTGTGGATCTGATGGAGATTGTGGAGGGTGTTTCAAGGGTTATATACCAAAATATCACATGGTCATACAGGCCCTGGTTAACTAGACCCTGGTGCGGGCGGGCAGTGTCGGGGACTTAGAGGAAAGGAGGGGGAAATCCTCTATTCATTTGCAGTAAGCATCCCTCCTGGAGAGCCCGTGCTAGGTGTGCTAGCTGATTATGCGAACATTGCAGTGTAGCCAAGCTTGACACCAACCAGGTTGGCGACTTCGTCAGGGACATTTCACTGAATGCCCACCGCACCAAAACGCCCCTGGGAAAAATGAAAAGAAGTGATCACGAGTTAGTCGTGAGTCGTCCCCGCGGTAGACACTATTCAGCACTGCTCTACCGGCAAATGGTACCTGCTTTTGGGCTCATCATAAGTTTGGAATGACTGTTGCATGAGAAAATGCGTCACACATCCAGCTGTTAAAATACTACAACATTGTGCAATATTTTAAGGACTAAATGGGCGACGGGTAAGGGCCTAACCGGGGGTGGATACAGTAATACCATACATCGACGTCTTCCAATCACTCAAGGGCCATTCCACGTAGTCCAGGTCAGAGCCTGACCAAGTGTTTTCCGAAGTGGGTTCGTCGGTGAGATCATGGTACAGCGAAACTTATGCGTGCTCTGGGGCGTCGCTAGCCGCACACCCCGTTTCCGAAATAAAAATCGAGCAGCTGTCCCCCCCCCCCCCCCCAGAAGGTCGAGGACTGAGCAGGACAAGTAGGATTTCGGGTTAGCATTTATGGACCATGGGATTTACTTGGATTACAAGAAAGGTCAATTGAGCCCCAGTCAAGTTAACAAAGGAGGAGGGATTCGATTCTTCTACCTGCGCGTGGCGGAATTCGATGCCTTGATGGTCAAACATCTCGCCGCCGGCAAGGGCTTTATAGCCATGGCCCCCTTCACGATATACCAGATGATGTTCGAACCCATGATCTTTATAAGATACGGGCTGGATGAGCTGGGGGAACTCGAGATTCTGCTCTACCCTGGTGCAAGCTCATATCTCGTTGGCGGATGCAACAATATGCAGGCAATGAGGGACAGCAATAACTTCATATGCAGGCTGTGGATTTTGCAAGACGAGAGAGTGACAGGTGGAGCACACGGGAGACTGGCAGCTCCAAGGGCGCCATGATTGGCAGCAAGAAGGCAAACGAGTACCTACATAAAAACACGCACTGTCAAGGCGAGAAGAGGTCATATATTTGAGTTGGAAACGAGATACGGAGTAACTAGTTCATCCAAGTAGACCAAGAGCAGTTCGCGAGGATTTGGAGTCATGAGAGAGGATGAAGATTGCTCTGTAACTTGGTCAACTAATTAAGTGCTTTCTTGAGAGGTTTGGGGTGGTTAACTGGGTTATTTCACTCCTGCAAGGGGAATAATCACTACAGAGAAATTAAGTGCTGTATGCCAACTCCGGCAGATGAAGAAGTCATCTTCAACTGACAACCAGCGATAAGATTCAAATATATGGCAGAGTCACAATCTCCAGAACATACCCCCATTGATTCCACTCATCTTCACGTATGTAACTGCAGCGTAGATTTACGGAGCAGGCAGACTGGAGACAAACTGATATGTGAAGTGTGATGTTTCTCTGGACGTCAAAGCAACTGCTAACTAACTAACTTAATCCGGTGAGACCTTGCATATAGATATAGACAGCCGCTTCTTCTAAACACCACCTCGCCCACTCACTCACCCTCCCACTCTCCCACTCTCTCACTCTCCCACTCTCTCAATCTCTCACTCTCTCACCCTCTCACCCTCTCACCCTCTCACTTTCTCTCTCTCTCTCATATCCCAGTTGTGTTGACATGCGGCTGAAATGGAAGGCAGACTCTGCATGTCGGGGCTGACCTTTCCCCGGCCGTCGCTTGTTGCTTGTTTATTCGGCTCGTGGATGTCTCCAGCTGCTGTATATATAATAAAGGAACCAGTCAACAACTGCTCAGACCCGGACGACGAAGAAGAAGAAGAAGAAGAAGAAGAAGAAGAAGAAAGAAAACAAGGCTGGCACGACATCTTGACTGCGTTCTCCTCAAGTAATCTCCTCCACCACCGGGACGGACATCGCTTTTATCCGTTCTATTTACCGGCATCGACATTAAAATGACTCGCCCTCCCGTGCTCATTGTGGGCAGCGGGCCTTCGGGTCTCGTGCTGGCATCATGGTTGAGAAAGCAGAACGTGGAGCTGCGGATAATTGACAAAGGAAAATTCAAAGCCTCCAATTCACGCGCCATCGTCATGCACCCCCGCACGCTCGAATTATACCACAAACTAGGCTTAACGGACGCAGTGCTTGCCGGGGGCAAGAAAGCCTTAGCAGCAAACGTCTGGGTGCAAGGGAAACACAGGGCGCGGATCCCCATTAGTGATGTTGGGCGAGGAGTCACTCCTCACCCATTCGTCTTCATATACCCCCAGGACTCGCATGAAAAGTTGCTGGAGGAGAAGCTGCTAGAGGCTGGTGTCACGGTTGAGCGGAATACGGAATTGGTAGATTTCACCGACCATGGAGATTACGTCTCGTACAATCTCCGTCACAATGACACCCTGGAAATGGAAGAGAATTGCGAAGCACTCTATATTGTCGGCTGTGATGGTGCGTCGTCCACAGTGCGTCGGGGGATTGACATCAGTTTCCCCGGCGGGACCTACGAGCAGCTATTCTACGTCGCGGACATCGAAGCAAAGGGACCCGTCGTCAATGGGGAGGTTAACGTCAGTATCCACTCGTCTGATTTCTTCCTCGTATTTGCCTACGACGAAACCTCGCGTGTGCGAGTTGTGGGGATCGTCAACGACAAACCGGACGTCCCTTCTGAAACACTCACGTTTGAAGATGTATCTGGCGCCGCCATGGACGCGTTGAAGATCAGGGTAGAAAATGTGAACTGGTTCTCCACATATCGCGTGCACCACCGCGTGGCAAACCACTTTCGCATTGGTCGGGCTTTCCTTGTCGGTGATGCTGGACACATCCACAGCCCGTTGGGCGGGCAAGGAATGAATACGGGAATTGGCGATGCTATCAACCTGGCTTGGAAATTGGCAGCGGTGGTGAAAGGCCAGGCAGAGGAGTCACTGCTCGACAGTTATGAGGCAGAGCGTATTCCGTTTGCGCGCACATTGATAAAAAGAACCGACCAGGGCTTTTCCATGTCGACGGCCAAGGGGCGCTTTGCGGATCTCTTCCGCACGTACCTCCTTCCGTTGATTCTCCCGATCGTGCCGCGGATACCCGGAGCTCTGAAGTATTTATTCAAAATTGTATCACAAACGCAGATCACCTACCGCGGAACAGAATGGGTAGGGGGTGTCGCTGGCTGGGTGCATGGCGGCGACCGTCTTCCTTATACGACTGCGAACGGCGTTGACAACTTTGCAACTCTGTCAGCAATCGCTTGGCAGGTGCACGTCTACGGCATCCCGAAGGACGGGATGATTGAGTGGTGCGAAGAAAAGGAGATTGTGCTGAATGTTTTCGACTGGATGCCAGAGTATGGAAACCTAGGCTTTGCTCGAGATGGTGCATATCTCATGCGCCCAGATAGCTATGTTGCCTTTGCGAATTCGTCTGGGCTGCCAGTGGAGTTTGACCATTTCCTTTCAGCCTCTGCGATCCACAGCCTGTCAACGTGATCAGTAGTTCGATCGTGTTTACGACAATAGCATTCTTAAATCCTTTAAAAGCCGTTTATACCATATGTTATTTGGGGAGATGCGGGTAATAGCGGAAAATGGAGTTGGCTGTATTTAGTTATAGTTACAGGTCCCTGGTTCATTAAATCTGGTATCGCCGGGATATCTCCATGGACTCTTCAAGAAACAATTGATTTCTGGAAATTATGCTTTGCGGGAAGGCTTCTCCACCTAGGGAATTAAAATCGTCTCTTGACGTTGATATTGTGTACCTTGGAGTGATGTCACAGCCCAAGATGGGGTGAGAGGCGAAACTATGACGGCTCTACAAACACTTGGGAGTTTCAACAATGCCGTCATTTTATATTCATATTTCGCAGGATTTGCCTACATACAACCGAGTTGTTTGTAATACAGTTCTTCCTATTCTTCGGAAACTTCAGCAAGGGGGATATATATGTCTTTGCTGCCATTAAAGCTCTCGTGGAATAACCAGGTAACCTCTGCAAATCAAAAATCCGACTTAAATAGTTGACTATACAACTAAAAATAACGGGCTCCATATCCGAAATTATTGAAGAATAACAGATAAAAGAAAAACAATTAAATAAAAATAAAAATTCAAGCCATCCAACATGGATGACGAGCCAACAAACTCAAAAGGCTCTCGTCGATGGGCCAAATGGCGAACCCCTTGTTATAACCGATTACCCCATACCACCCTTGCTGGCAGACTATGTCCTTGCTAAAACCGCCTATGTCTCCCTCAATCCACTGCACCAGGCTCACTGGCTGGCTGCTACTTCTCAGGGACGGTCGAAGAGAGATCGGGTCTGCCGTCACTAAAAAATTCACCAAGGGCGAGAAAATCATGGGTTTCAATCATGGGATTAACAGAGTGCGCCCGACCACAGGGTCGTTTTCGGAACATGTAATTACCAAGGGGGATCTGCCGTTTCGAGTGCCTGAGTCGTTGCCCATGGATCAGGCTGCGACGATGCCGGTGGGTTTGTATACCGTCGGTCAGGGGCTGTATCAGGGGATCCTGCGATTGGCGTAGCCAGATGATCCGGTGAAGGAAGCTGTGCCACTGCTAATATATGGAGGCTGTTCGGCGATGGGGAGTTGGCGATTCATTTTGCGAAGCTGTATGTTTTTGCCATTGCTGCAGAGGCTCGAGAAGAATGACTGGATAACTAACCATCTCAAAAACGGCGACGTAACGAGGTGATGCGTTCACATCTAGATCTAGTTACACCGTCATAACAACATGCTCGCCTAGCAACTTCTCGTACGTCAAAGAGCTAGAGGCAAGAATTGCCTTTGACTACCACGTCAAAGACGTCGGGAAGAAGATCCGCGAATACACGAACAACGACCTGCACCTGGCCTATGACACCGTCGGCAGCGTCGAAACAGCTGCCGTGTGCAGCGACGCCCTCTCCTCCAGACCGGGTGGCAAGTATATGGCAACTCTGTCTGTGCGGTCCAAACGGAAGGACGTTGAGAGTGACTACCGTGTTGGCTATACTGTGTTTAATCAAGATTTTAAGATGGGTTCCACGTCATTCCCCGCCAGTCTGGAGGACTATGAGTTTGCGAAGCGGTTCTCAGGGGTTGCGGAGAAGCTGGTGTGGGAGGGCAAGGTAAGGGCGCATCGGGTGCTGCTTAAAGAGGGTGGCTTTGAGGCCATACCCGCTTGGTGGGAGTTAATGAGGAAGAATAAAGTTAGTGGGCAGAAGAAGTTGGTGTACAGAGTGTGAAGTTTTGGACCGCTTCCACTGATGAATATCCGCGCGAGAGGAAGATCTGATATCCCAAGTGATGGGATTGGGGGAGTTGCTATTTTTACACGGACGAAGGGATGTATATAGAGCCATCTGTGTATGATATGGCTGGGTGGTGAAAAGCTCATTTATTTCTATTCTTATACCTCCAGACTGCAAGAGGAGAGAAGAGAGAAAAAGGCACCATTGACGCGAAACTTTCAGTTTGGTAAGACTGATTTCGCAAACTACAAACGTTCTATTCAACATTCTGATCTGTTACGCTAAATCGTGCTGATGGAGATCTAGTGAAACGAAAAAGGGGCATTGGGAAACTGACATATTAGACCGAAAGACCAATGTCAATCGACCTTTCCCCCCCCCAAACACCTCAATCACGTTTCATTCTCATAAACCCTCAGTACAAAAGTGTCAGCCTTGTCACCCAGTCCTTGATTCTGCGCAAAATGCAGCAAATTTAGCGCCCCATTCCCCAAATGAAGCGGGCAATTGACATCTCTTGCCGCCTGCACCGCCGCAGCAAGCTCCTCTGCTGCTTCGTTGACTGTTTTATTGCTCTTACTGCTCCCGGCATCCTTCAGCCCGGTCAACATCTCCGCCCCACGGACTCTGAACATCGTGCTACCGGCCGCGGCCGCATTGACAACGTCGTAGAATAACGGCATATCTACCTTGAGAAAGCGGGCGAAAGCAATAGCTTCAGCGGCGGCGACGAGGTGAATGTTAGTGAGCAGGTCGACAACTCTCTTTAGAGCCGTGGCGTTGGTCTGAGGGTTTAGGGACGCTTTTGGCTCGACTTTAATGAGAGGGCCTCGGTAGTAGAGGCGGATGGCGCTGGCATCATCGTCCCCGCCAAAACCTAGGGGAAGGGCGGTGAGGAAGATTTGCTCGGCGATGCTGCAGAGTGGGGTAGGGAAGTTGTGAAGACGAGCGGCCGCGGTGACGATACCCTGGGTAATCAAGTTGGGAATCGCTTGGCATTGACATGAGTGTGGTGGGAAGTTAGTGAACATACCGCGTCTTTCAGAATAGTCGTTATCGCGCTTGAGCCAGGAAAGTAATCTTCCACCAGCATGCGCTCGCAGCGAGTCTCATGCATAAAACTCCACGCATCAGAGGACGTAAGCGCCTCACCAGCCTCTTTAGCATTGAGTCCTAGCATGGCTGCAAGGCCCATAACTTCACTCGCAGCAAGAATGTGGATAGCAGCAAGAACCTGGTGGACCATTTTCATATTGCTGCCCGCACCAATCCCGCCCGGGACGATGTATAGCTTATTAGTATCGGCCATCTCTGCAAGGAGGAATTTGCCTTTTTCCAGCGCCGCGTCCGAGGCGCTAGCCATGATGGACAGGGCGCCCTCTCCAGCCTTTCTAGCCCCGCCTGACACTGGTGCATCAATAAAGTAGACGTCCTCGCGGCCAATGGCTACCAGTTGATCACGGAATGACTGGGCGGAGACGGCGGGGACGGTGGAAGATAGGACGAGGGTGGCGCCCTTGGGGAGAGCTGTGATATAAATAGCGACGTGTTAGCAATTGGGCCAAAATAAGTCGGAAATAATGCGGGGGTAACCTAGGTATGGAAAAAGCAGAGCATATTACCTTTTGCAATGGCATTTTCATGGTCAAAAATCGCAGCCTGCGCCTGGGCTGCGGTAGCAACCATGCAGACGCAGAACAGATTCCCGCTGGCAGCATCCCCAGCAGACGAGGCGATCTGCCCCGCCGCAGCCTTGAAGCGAGCCATGGTTGGACCTGAGATATCATATCCCTTGACGAGATATCCTGATTTGATGAGATGGGTGGCCATGCCAAAGCCCATAAGACCAAGGCCGACAAAGCCTATCGACGGTTTCTCAGTAGACATCATGGATCTTGGAGTGTAATATATGCCAGAAACCTCTATCGGTCTCGCTTTTCCTCTTGATTGTCGTTCTTAGATTTCGCTAACGAGGATAGAGCGGCAGGGGAAGCGGGAAATACTTATATTAACCACGCCGATTACACCCCCCTGGTTAGGTTTAGTTAACAACGCACGAGGGGGGAGTGGGTCAACAATATGAACACGCAAACTGTTGTCTATCGTAAATGAAAAGGAATCTCTCTCACCTTGATAGACGTAGTCATATAGTACCTCCCCGGGGCATTCATCTGCAACAACAACAACAACGGGGCAGATAACTAGCGAAAACCCCTCACCCTCGAAATTTCAGTCAAGCAGGATTAAATGAGCAGCGTCTGGCAGTTTTCATGACTTCCAGTCAGCCGATATAGTATCAGCTATAGCCATCCAGTTATCTCCTGTGACAGAGGGACATGCATTGTATCTTGACAGATGTTCTGTTGGTCTGGCCGGAAGCTGGCTTGTTTCACTCAATCATAATTCCACCCCGCCATCGGCATCATCTTTGCTGTGGTGGGTAGTTAGTTAATAGTGGGGCAACAATGATACTTGCGGAATAATAAAATGACTGTCCTCTATTGGCCCACAACGATGCATGCCAGTGATCCCCCGCAATCCTGGACGGAGCAAATCCCGTGTGGGAAGAGCTCAGCTCGCTCGGAACCAACCAGCAGCGGGGCCAGTGTCGAGAATCCACAGGAACTTCTCTTGGGGCTGCATAGTTACTGGTCGTGTCTCTTCCGAGGCCTGGATATGAATACGTGTGCATCTGCCCTGGGACCTTCACGGCCTCCTCGCAGTTACGCATGTGTATATACAGTACGTACAGTTGACGCATCAGCGAAAGTTTCCTGGCTGGTTGCAGGAATTGCATCCTCATCAAATACGTCAAAATTGCTTGAAGTCCTCTGAAGGCCTAGGAGTCAATTGGTTATGCGCATCTGAACCTGTCTCCCCCATCAATAACAAACAAGGTTGTGGCAACCTGCTCCGAGGACGCAAGCTTTGCTGGTTCAAAATTCCACGATATGTTTTGCTTATACATTCCGAAGAAATCCATGTGTTTTGCTATACCCAAGCCCGCAATGGCGGCTGCTCTGCTCTGACTTTCTAAACGGCGTTCCGCTTGTCGGGCTGGGTTATGTGCGTCGTCTTGCTTGATCAGATAATGTCTGGCATCCATAAAAGTTCTGTGTCCTGTGTCGACGCTTACCATGGGTTCTGTCACGGGAATCAGCTGGCTTCCAGCCGGCGGAGTCGTTGGGACCATAGTTAGGTGTCGGTTCCACTGTTAGTGGGTGTAAAAGTTATCCATCCGGGAAATAAGGCGTTGGCTCTTCCTGGTGATATTCCACGGATTGATCAGTGATAAAATAACCCCCCCCCCCCTTAATTCTTCCCTATCCTGAGTCATATCTGCTCGAAATAAAAACGGAACATGAACAATGTCTTCTGATTTACATTGTGGCTTGCGATGTATTCCGTTAAATTATGATTATATCTACTATTATTGCTCGGGGAATATCCCTTACGCATACAGACCAACTAGAAAGGCGAAAATGCTTCCCAATACTGTACAACGCGACATCCCGAGCATATCAATTCTCCCAGCGGCGTTGGACTTGGGGGTTACCGTCGGCTCTGACAAGGACAATTGTAGCGAACACTTGTTGTCCATAGCCAGCTCATCACCCAGCGAGTTCGTTGCCGTCATGGGGGCGCAGGTGAAACCAAGCCGAGGGGACTTCTCTGCAGTAACAGTCGCAGTTATTGTTGCCACATCATTCGTGCCTATAGTTTCATAGACCGTTGCCGTTGTGCGAGTGGGCGGGCATATGTTTTGCCTAACTCTCAGCATTTCCACTGTCGCAGTGACACTAGCCGTTTCCGCAGGGGAGAACTTGAGAGCACAATCGTTGCCAAGTTCAAGGGAGTCGCCCACCGAATTTGTCACGGTCATTGGGGAACAGGTAAATCCCGATGGCTGTTCTTCCGGTGGCGGCGTGATAGTCTGTGTTGTCGTCGTTGTCGATTCTTCGATTCTAGTCCGCGTGATGGTGGTTGTGACTGTGATTACAGGCGGGCAGGGAGTTCGGCATCTCCAGATTCCACCGAGCCTATAGCACTTAGAGCCAGCACGGCAAGAGAAGCCATCCCCACAGCACTCTCCGCCTGGATAGACACAACCTCCGCCATTACAGCAGGTTGTGCCAGCCGGACAACAATCGGTCGGACAGCAGCTCCATCCGGATCTACAGCAGCCACGTTGATCTAACTATTGTCAGTGTCATTCGGCAACTTTTACTAGAAATAACAACAACAACAACAACAACAACAACAATAATAATAATAATAAATTGGGAAGCACGGGGGTCATAAGCGTACGGGAGCACGGGTAATATCCGGCGTCCACACATCTATATGTTTGTCGAGAATCCAATATATTGCGTGAAAACAACGGACTTGCGGGGGAAAACCCATTCCCCAGAACTTCAGCGGCTGATAGAGCAGTTTCATCCTCAGGGTTCTCCTGAGCGCTCACGGGCGCAGAAAGGCATAGGAGTGAAACCGCGGCAACAAAGAGAAGCTTCGCCATTGAGACAACACGTCCTTATTCACAGCTATCCAAGGTGTTTTATCTGAGCGGAAGGAAATAATATCCCAGTCTTGTCATCGTCAGAGGGAAAGGAAAAATAAACCTAAACCTTTATTCAGTGAGGCTCCCCTCTCCGTTATTAATATTCATTTGTGCGGGTCTGGATATATCAAATTGTCCATGCGGACATGTCTTGACCAGTTCAAAATGCGGTTTAACGTCAAAACTTGTCGTTTCTGACCCCATTTAATAGCAACGAAGGAGGGTAAACGAGAACCAAAGCCAGCAATTATTGGGCAAGCTGATTGCTCTTTGCTCATGAGCTTTGGCTCTTGCACCATGAATACGAGGTTTGCAACCAAACCCACTGGCAGAAGCCGTTTTTATCTCTTGACTGAGGAGGTGTAACCGAGGCAGATTGCCCCACATCCGCTGCTGCTGGTAATTGAGGAGGATATGGGGACTTTGGCAGTAAGTCGTTGCGTATCCTCTTTTAATATCCTCTTTTAAATCAAGTTTGAAGGGAGCCGTTATCACGGGCTTGAAACGGGAGCAACGCCAGAGGTGGTGTTGAGCAGCGATGCCTGTAGGAACCCTGGATGCGGAGCCACTAAGAACGCCACGAAATTAAGTCTGATGCCCTAAGCAACATACGGATTAGGGGAGGAACTGGCATACATTTCCCTCTCCCTTTTTGCTCCACACGCGGGATATCTCCGTAGTTGTCTGCGCCTTGGGGGCCCCCTTTTGGCGGAATAACTAAACGAAGATGAGGCCGTTTGAAAAAATCTTCCGTCCAGGCGCACAGATGAGCTAGCTATCATTGGCCAATGAATTATGTCTTCCATCATCATGCGTCCCCTGTGCCGGTCCTTAGCAACAAAGGTTCTCCTCTGTCCCAAGACACCCTCATTATGATGTTGGCTGGGGAAGAACAGCCGGATTCATCTATGCTCTGGACACAGTGACCTTCAAAGCAGCTGTCGGGCGAGACCTAGTGATTTGGCGTTGCACATACTGAGCTGGGTATTTCCTTCGTCCGGCCTGCTGCGGACGGATCTCCGCTCCCGACGTCTGATACAACCCCCTTCGAGCATCGACGGCTGATCGATGTCTGCGAAATTCCATTTAAAATCTTTGGTGGTGATGGCGCAGAAATCAGGACCGCGATTTTGGCGTGGTCATTCTCTGCATGTGGCAAGTTCTGCTGGCCGTGCTTCATTTCTTTTCTGAAGCCGGTGCATTCTGTGAAGTGAAAGTTCTCATTATGGATGCTGAAGCCCTCGAACCGACTGAAGTGGGACCTCTGAAGGCAATCTGCCCTCTGCTGTCGAGGCTGCTATATAGTGTTTCATTTTTTCATCACTCGACCGAGTGACTGAGGGTTAGGGCCTCTGGGTTGTCGAAGTGATAGTGACAATAAATACCCTTCGAAACCGCGCCTTGCCGAGGACCACTGGCGGCAGATGAAACAGAGTGTTTTACACCCGATCGGCTCACAATCAATTAGAAGCGCAGGTCGGAAGCTGCTGATCTACGGCATTGTCGAGCGTGAGGGTGAGCGGAAGGGCGGATTGAGGATAAGGAGCGAGCCTCGCGCAGCAACTCTAAGATCTAACTAAATACTTCCGATAACTAGAAATTCCCATGTTCGAGCAAATCAATAACCTAACTAGACGTTAGCCCGGCCTGAATCGTGTTTTGCGGTGGATTTCCTTCCAGGTTATCGTGGCGAACTTGCACGCCTGCTGAAGGTGAACACACAAAGGCCAACTGTTAGATATTCTAGTCAAGCTACTCAGTAACTACAGACGTTGTTTTAAATATCATCCAACCACTCTCAGCCAGTCTCAAAAATCCAAGAGATCCCCAACTGTAGACTTACCCTATGAACCATGTCTGTCGCAGCAAATAAAATCATTTCCACCGGGGCACACAGGATCTAGATAATAATTACAGCGGCAACAACAGCAACAACAGCTTAGCAAACCTGCTTCGCGCAAACAATACATCCATCACACCCGGGGAGAGCAAAGAAAAGGATCTTACTCGGCAATACCCTCCCTGCATATGGCCCTGTGCCAGTGCACACACTCCTCCACCCACAGTAAGAATCCCTCGTCACGCAAGGGTGGCCGACCATGCAGCCCCAGACATTGGTTCCGTCTCTGTGACATGGCCAGTTCCCCGGGCCGCCCTGAACAGCATATCCGCGATATATGTTCGTGCACACGTTGTGATCGATGCATATGCAGTCCGGGCGAGAACCCCATTGGGATCTCGCATCGCACCAGCCGTTAATGGCCTGGATGGGCGTTGCGATGAACGGGATGATCATAAGAGATAGCGAGATGAATTTCATTTTCATTTTCATTTTTATTTTTTATTTTCCGATTTTTGCCGCTGGTGAGGAAGTGAAAATGTAGGATGGAGAGAACAGAATTGAGATTCCAGAAGGGCATCTTAGTTTCAGCCTTGGTCAAAGAGCGGTGTTTCGTAACTGAGGAAAACACGTTGAAACTATTTGCTTTCCACAGCAGCCACATGCGGCGATCACAACAACCCCAAATTCAAACGGGTTCGTTTACAAATGGCTATTGGGTACAGGAATGCAAGCTTCCCCAGGTTAAGCCATCGGTTACGAACATTAAGGAACTCAATCCAAAGGCGGTTGCTCGTACAATCGAGATGGGAGATATGGATCCCAAGCACCTGAAAGGGAATAGAAAGTGCATCAAAAAATAATATATAAAAATAATAAATAAAAATAAATAAATAAACCCTTCTACTCGAACAGCGCTGTTTCATACAGCCTTCTATCCCCCTCTATATCGGTCACCCTATAAACACGCTTGGTGTGCGGGCTACTCGAGCGACTCACACAGATCCCACCCACATAAGCGCATCCGTCCTCTCGGTCAATCTCCCCATCATGGCTATATGCTTCAATGGTAGCTCGAACAGGGTGAAATTCCGACTTGAGCATTGACGGGAACAGACACAGGCCCATCTTGTCCTTTGTTGCCTGGATGCCGTTAAGACAAAGGAGGTATGTAAAGCCATGTTTGCGGTGCTGGTGGTTGAACTCAGTCGAGTCGCTGGCGGCCAAAGGGAATGTCTTGGTTGCTGGTAGAGAGTCCCAGAGATGGGGGAATGGAATTATCGCACTAACTCGCGTCCATCCAGGGGGTAGATTGTATTGGATTGTGGCGACTGGCCTTGTGAAGGTGTACGGACTGATGACATTATCTGCCGTGTGCCATTGCATCAATGGCTTGGAGTCAGGGTAGCCGGTGATAAAGAAGTAGAGATACTCCTCCGCTTTGATCTGGAGTTCAACTCCCCTAGCAGTTGGTAGGACAGTGCGGATGAAGTTGGAGAAGGATATGGATTTGGGGGGGTCCATCTCTGCCATCGACTTTGGGACGAGAGATCTTGGAACCACATCCGCGAAGATACCCCCTGTTACCGTAGTCCTCTTGTCTTCTTTGGGTGTCTGCACGCTTGCCTGGGTCTCTCGATACATGTACACTTCGTCGGGAATTTGAGATGGCGTCAGATACTTCCGGCGCATGTCATCCTTTGTCAGGCCAAGCTCCGCGAAGAGCTTCTCCGCTACGGCAATATTGCCCGCCTTCGGAGGCTGCTGGGGACGCATATACATGGTTGGATCACACAGTGTTCTCCACTGTCGTTCCAGCTCATTGAAGTGCTTACCTTCCTGGACGCCATCAAGCAATTTTGAAAGAGCCCCGGAACGCAGCTGATGCAAGCATCCAATGAAAGCCGATGCTGCGACGTGAGTTTGGATGTTGTGTCGCTCCGTCGCGCTAGTGGTATCAGAGTCTATCAGTACGCCCCTGGCCTTTTGCACATCAAGGAGCCATGAAATAGCACCTTTATGGGCATTAGCGTAGGGCAGGCGGTTCTCCTGTAACAAGCTTGCGACCCTACGAACAGTTTCCCGGCTATAGTCGTTCAGGATGCGTTGCAGCATTTCCCTCTGCTCGTTCGTGGGAGGCATGGTGCGTGCCACGGCGGCCGGAAGAATCTCAGATCGGCAAGACGGGAGATCAAACGCCATGTGCTTGAAGCCCCCTTTCTCCTCGACTCCCAGATAACGGCATCGTTCTTTGGTGATTCTGAATTCCCTTCCCACTGTTCGACCGTCAAAGAGTTGGTTAATAGCCTTCACAGAGTCCTGGAAAACCCCTGGGAGAGACTGCACATTGTCAGTCCAGAAGAGGGGGATCAGTTTTCCTGTTGACTCGTCGACGAGACACAGGTCTCCACACTTATTCATGAAATGGGCACATGTGCGACAATTGAATTCTTGACGGTTCTCTGGCGACAGTGCATTCGCGAAGACGGCGTTCATCTTGATGCCGCCCATGTTGGTATGGAATATAGGGGCTGGACGGCGGGAGGTTAAAAGATCAGCTGCGCGTTTTGACATCTTCTGATAGAAGGTATCCGTGTGGATGTCGCTCTGCCTTCGTTGGACTGGGTGTTCATTTGGACGAGTGAAGAGATCAGAACCACTGGCGGGCCCCACATCAACCCATTCTTCATTCATGACTTCCAGTGTATATTGCTCGGTGCTAGACTCAGCTCCCCAAACTCATGCACATTCGGGAGTCGCAAGCAACTGGCGGAATAACTCGCGGAATAGAGTCCAGCGCAGAATGAGTAGCTCAGCGAATCCAGTGGATAAGGTCACGAGAGGGAATTTACATGATGACCATCTCAAAGTTGCAGCATCCACGCGAGATGATGCTCGTATATATATATTCTCAGCTTGGTAATAAGGCTGACCAGCTCCAGGAACGAAATGGGCTCCTCACCAGTTACGGAGTGGAAGTGGGATGAGTCAAAAGGTGCCATCGCTGCCCTGCATGATGCTGCGCCACTGGTTTGGGTGGGAAGGATCAGCGTGGCGGCTAACTGTTGGCAGGCCGATTTCACCAGCACTCAAAAACTATCCCCAAGTAAGTCAAGAGAGAAGTCTTTTTTGTCTTTTCTTTTGTTCTTTTCTTTTCTTTTTTTATTAGGCTGCCGGATTGAGAACGAGGCCCCAAAAAAGTCTAGTTAACAGAGTTAGCTTTCCAAGATGTGCTACAAGTCGACAGGCTGATTCCGTGGAGGTAGGCGGCAGCGAAACGAAAACACATGTGACATGCATGCTTGTTTCCCTTCGTCCCACGTAAATAGGCCGCTGTCGATGCGGAGCAATGCATTGTGATGGTGATTAAGGATCGCCGCGGAGTTAACTATCTTACAGGCGCCATGCTTGTATATATATATATCCATTGGAAAGGGACCTTGATAATCAGCAACCCTGCTGATTCCCGGCGAGATATTCGAATGCAGCTGCCAAAATGGAATTCAATTCACAGTATATCCAGCGCCCCGCTGAAAATCACCCCTTTCAGCATGCAGAACAGTCTGGATACAAAAACCAGCGACCAACAGCTGTATCCCGCGCCCAAAAGAGGGAAGGGGGTGTGCCAAGACAAAGCTTGATCCGTCTTGGCGCGGTCAGACACAAGCATCGGATCAGGTGACAGGGGGAATAGACACGGCATATATCATCACCACCGTCATCTCCTTGCTTGCTAGCTCATCACTCTGTTGTAGGTGTTGAGGTCCAATGATTAGAATAAGACCCTTGGTTGTGAAGTTACCAACCACATAGCCGTGCAATGGGGTTCCTGCTTGTACCCAGCTCTCCTTCTCTTGACACCAAGAAGAGTATGGACGGTGTGGACGGTATTCATGACATCGGCAAACGGCAGCCGAGCCGCTGAGCAAGAGCAGGAATACACTGTACACTGTATGTAGAGCTCTGTCTTTATCTTCGCGGTGGGCCCTCGAAGAGTGAGAGACGAGGGGGGGGGGGGGGGGAAGGCGGAGGGATGATGCAAGTGCAGGTCAAGGCTGCGAATGGTGTAGAGTTATAAGACTAGACAGGCCGCCGCCGCCGCCGACACGGGCACCATCTCGAGTGCTTGTTTCCCTGCGCTACTTCTTCCGCCGTTATCTGCTTCTTAAAGGTGTTTTCCTTTCGCACTGGATTCCCCAGGAGCCCCGATATCCCTATAACACTAGGTCATCAACAATGCATCACGGTGATCTGCCATCGGATGAAAGACATCGACAACAGCTGGAAACGGGCAGAAGGAACGCGGCGGTGCGTATGTAAAGTATTCCTGTGACAGGTACGGAAAGTGACTGGAAAATGTTTGATGCTGGGTCGAACGGAGCACGAGATCGAAAACAACGAAGCGATGATATAGCTACATCCGAAGCGCTGGAGCTTCTGGTCAGATTGCGGAGATTTTGAGTTAAGAGTTAGAATCTTTTCCATTTTCCCAGGTGTTTGGTTAATGCGCTGCCCCGGGAAACTGTCATGATTTGTATTTGTGGCCCCATTTCACTTTCGGTACCACAGTCGGGCTCCACTTGTATTTACAGTCAGTTATCCCAAGGCCGTTCCAACAATAACCATACACACATACATACACAAATACATACACACACAGCCACTGCTGTTTCCCAGGTTTCCCGTAGCCCGGAGCCGCTAGCTTCGTATCCACATTATACCGGCGTATTTCTCCCGCTTCTTCGCTCTTCTTCACTCCTGTTCCCCCACTGCTGCTTTTTTCTCCTACATCCTCTTCCTCCTCCTCCTCCTCCTCCTCCTCCTCCTCCTCGTCGTCTTCTTCTGCTCGCATTCTCCTCAACCTCCCCCGTCCTCTCGTCTCAGCTATCAACGTGATCCCAATCCGTTGTCTGTTTCAATTGAGCTGCTGTCTCCTCGAATCGCTTTCCTCTAACCCCGTAAGTTGCTCTTCCCCTGCTCCACCCGAAGCTATAACCCTACGATCTGCGCCCGCGCCCGCAAGCAAATCCCCTCCAAGTGGTTCTCTCAAGCCCTCATCTTGGATGATGGAAATAACCCGTCATTTTGGTCTGTCTTCTGGCAATCTGGGCTTTCTTGCATCATAGTTTGTGATTTCTTTGCGACCGCATTTTTGCGGCTTTTCATACGGCAGCCTTTCATATGCTGATGATACTGGACCAGCTCTGATACCACCGGCACCAGAAACAAAACAAAAAAAAAAAAAAAAGTCGAAGAGTAATTCCCCTTGACTTCCTCTTTAATATACCTGCCTATCCTGTCCATCCTCCTGTAGACATCCATACGCGCCAACCTCACCGTTTTTTCCGCGTCCAGGCCTCCAGGCCACGGCAAGCCTCCCGCCCTCGGAATAACCTCTAAAAATACCCTCTACTATACTCTTTCCTCCTCACAAAGAAGAGCCAACTCCAATTGGCACGCAAACGCCAAGACAGTAGCTAGAGCCAATATTCGCCGAATCGCCTGTCTCCCTTAGGATCCAGCAATCAGAACAACTTTATTCTCCTATCTGTCGCGGTCAAAAAAGGAAAACAAAGAAGATCCCCCGCCCCGTACGCAAAGCAGAACTATCACAATGCCTGCCATCAGCTTGGACACCCGCGACGTTGTCTCCCACCTTGCCAAGAGAAACAACTGGCCCCGCACAAATGTCGGCGTCATGTTGGTTTTCTGTATTCTCTTCGTCATTGGCTGTGGTCTTCTAATTCTCTTCCTGTACCGATGGATACTGCGTCGCAAGGCCTCGCGCGTGAGCGCCTAAACGGATCGGAATGTGTATCGCGTGGGAAGCCGGGGAGTGATGCCGCGGGTGTGAGCAAGTGCATGAGTGTCTTTGTTTTGTTTTTTTCTCTGGAATCCTGGCAGCTCCTTCGCTTGGAAAGTGTTTTTGGCTTATGCGACGATGCAATTACAACTAATCCCCCAAGCCATACATAGATTTAGGTCAAGTGGGGCCTTGAATGGTTTTTTAATTTAATTTGGGAATCACAAGAAATAACTCCCCCTTGTTCACGGAGGGGGGCAGTGTTGGCTTTGTTGCGAATTGATTGCAGGCCCGCCTCACAATCACCATCCCCCCCCCCCCCCCCCTTCCCCCCTCCCTTTACTACCATTTTGCCCTAGATTTTCTTTGCCTGGTTTGATTGCCCTCTTACCTTTCCTTATCACCCTGTGTCTATTTACCTATATATTAATTTTATTTATTCTCTCACCCTTCTGCTCTCTTGTTTCTTTCACTCCATGATTATTATTGATATTGTTATTTTTATTATTTTGCGCCTTTCTTCCTTTTTTGTCCGCGATTGGAAATGCCAAAAATGGCTGCAGGGTAAAACGGGGGTCAGTGATCGGTTAACAGGCCGTTTGGGGGTTCTCTAGTAGTGTATATATATATATATCTATATTTCCTTTTGCTTGTTGACAGTAGACCCCTCGTGTCTTTTTGGGTATTATCTTGAACTTAATTGCGTCCCTTTACAAACATCACCCTCCGATATCTCACCTCCCGTGTTCCAGTTGCAATAGATCTTCCTAATTTCCGTTTCCCCTTATAAAATCCCCTTTGTTATTTCTGAGCTACTTTTTGGCCTGATATAGCTCTTTCTCAAGTGATGATGCACCTGCTACACAAATCTTTACTCGCTATATCTGAACTGCAGCCTATATTGCCCCGCGTTTATAGTTGCTGTTTTTCCCCTTTAGAGTTCTCACCCGTCAAAGCATGCCACTGAACAATCAATCACAGAGGAGTTTAAACATATCCTCATCCTTAATCATATTGCGACAATGAGCCACTGATCTATGTTATTCCCCCCCCCAACCCACAGCACGATAAAATACACAACCAATACAAAGAAATAACCGGAAAATACTCTCAGCGCATGTATTTTATTTTATTTTTACGGCTGTATGGTGCTTCTATATAGAAGGGAAAATATCATCAGCGAGTGCTTGGGCACGCACTGCTGGCGTACGGGATAACAGTTGATGAGAGATATGTTCCATAGGAATATCCGGGAATTTTAGATCTCCCGGGGAATGCGCGCCCTGTGTGTCTACCAACTCGATTCGGGACGTCCCCCGGTTTGGGTCAGGTTGGGATGGAGTCGGTTCGAGTTGGTTCGGTGAATGTTGAGAAAGCCGTCGTCGCAACTATTAGACGCGATAAGCGCCTGTTAATTTTTCGGTTTTTCCCCCTCCTCGTTTGTTTGGGGTTTGTCTGGGGGTTGTTTGGGGGTCTGGCGATCCTGTACATTTTTATACGGTGTGTATATCGCGTAATTGGGTGATGGGTAGAATGGGAAGCTGATTAGGGACGGTACATTTATCTTTCTTGAAGCAGTGTGAGTTTGTTATCCTCATTTTGATCTTTAATAGCATCCACATAGGTGACAGCGTCTCATCATGTTACTGACCAATTTCTCACGGGATTGGTCGTGGTGGGCGGCATCTACCCTTTAATCGTGACCATTCAAGAATGTTGACCTTATAAATAGACCATCGTAGGTGCTTGTGTTGACGAACACTTTCGCCTTCTTTTGATTGAGAAATAAGACCCATTGCAGCTCAGCTCTGGGCAAAGAAGACTTGACTTGGTTATTGATATAGGGACAATTAACGGCAAGCAATATGTAATAAGCATGGGCGAGACATATAATCCGAGAGGAAGAGCATAACTATGGCAAACACAGCAAAAGTGCTGGTTTACTCAAGCGTTTGATGCACTGCGAATCATTTCTTCCGTTCATATATATCATGGCCCACACGCGCATCCGAAATGCGTGCTTGTGTCAAGAATGCCAATTTCATATTGTGCCATCATATGCTGGTGCTGCTCCTTCTCAGATATCAAGTCAAGCCACGTTCTTGTTCAGTGTTTTGACAAGAAGTCATATTCGGGCGCGGGTGTGGGCCATTATATATATATATATGAACGGAAGAAACAATTGCAGGAGGATAAAGGCTGCAGGATCTATAATTGGGGCAAAAAATATACATATTGAGACAAAACTATAAGACCCCTGCTAATTTAAGTTTCTGGCACTGGTAACCTTTTCAAGAGGTTGTCATGCATGCGCCTTGGAAGAACAGCGATTAACGCAAGGAGGGAAACGGAGCACTGATGGGTATGACTTTTGTGTGGATAGAATACCTTGGTATTCCGCAAGCAAATCGTCCGCTCCAAGTCAGCGTTAATGCTAACCAGTTGGGTCTAGTACTGTGGGTTGGAAGCGCGTTTGCTTTGCCATGAATCTAGTGTCTGCACTCTTGGAGCAGTGGGTACGTGGGTTTTTTCCCAGCGCGATACCTTCCCTCACATCCCGCTCAATGTGGGATTGACAGCCGAAGCTATCATCTCTATTGTAATCACCATGAGAGCTCCTGAGAGTGGGATGCTCGAGAAGTTTCATCTAGATGAGATGAGATGGTGAGAGAGGTAATAGAACTGAGGAAGACGAGAAGCTAGCCTTCTAAAGCCCATTTCGAGTGTTAATAGTAACAAACCTCCATGCTGCGATAGCGCTGAGAGGCGTAGAAAATACTCAGGGCGGAGCTTTTCGAATTGGGCCTTCTCCGAGGCTTGTAATCAATAAAGATACATAGCTAAGATGGGGCAGAAAAAGAAAATAAAGCAAGGAAAAGAACACGAAGCACACGTGGAAGGAGGAATAAATCAACTGTCTAAGCTAACTGAAGATGAAGTTAGACATAAAAGTCGAACGAACCTGAGAGGACGACGTGTCTGCGGGGATATGCAGCGTCAAGGCTTATTATTTCGGTCAGTCGGTTTTTCGCCTCTCATGACCATTCAACCACGTTAGTTATATTCTGTCAGCGCTAAGTTGCCGACACTGTCACTAGCATATTCCCTCTTGCTGGCAACTTGTGACTTGGTAGATCGGTTGTATCTTGAAACCCCCAGGCTCAAGGAAATCAGCGAGGAAACGACCAAGGAAATGGCTATTCAAAACATGGGATCGAGAGAATGGCTCCAGTCCAGCCAGCAGAAAGCTGAATTTCTCCCCTTCGGCGCATAATCAACTGGGGTCCTTAAGGAAGGCATTGCAAGTCATACCGATGTAGCCCGCTAGCCAAGGGAGGGGAAGATCTTAACCAGGATAGTTAGTTAATCATGACATTAGTCAACCGAAGAATTCTCCAGGGGATGATGCATCGGCACTATTGTTATTTAGTTATAACATTAACGAAATCGTGATCTTCAGTGACTCTTGGAATCCGCAGGCAAAACTCCACGGAAGGAAAATTGCTTCGTTGTCCAGACTGGGGGAGAAGGTGATGATCATGCACATCATTTTTTTGGAGAAAAAAAAAAAAAAAATTCAAACCCCAATTCCTAGTTATTTGAATAACTAGTTAGTTCAACGGAACGACGATTTCGGCTGTCCTGGTTCCACACTGGCCCGTTCGTTGTGGGGGCTGCCGCATGGTCGAACGGGACCAGCAGTTGGCAGTCTTAAAAGTATCACTAATTACCAAAAAAGCAAATCTTGAAAGGTTGAGTTGATTCCGTTTCAGCGGTTGGCTGGTGCAGTGATTTAGCTGCATGGCAAGCAATATTCTCGAAGGCGAACCAGCATCCTGCGCAACCTCTTCCGACGTTTGTGGCGCAAGGGATGATCTCGCAATTGAACCTGACTCCCGGTTGTTCAGACTCGCGTTTCTCCTGATTCGTCCATTCAACTTATGCCAGTGAACTTGACAAATTTCGGTTTTGACCAAGAGGCACACACGGTGATCAGGAAGAACGTGTATGACAAGTTCAAACCAAGTGGAATATTCCGTCCGTCACAGGAAGATGGTGAAACGCAACACCCCTGAGAAGGGATATTCAATCAGATCCGTCACCTGCAATTGATGTCGGACTCTGACCTCTTCCCTTCAACAGCAGAAGACCTCCAAAGAAATATCCTTGGAGGACCAGAGGGGCGCCGGGGTTTACTCATTGAGTCCAGTGGTTTCACCCTCTCTCTAACTCCAGCGGCGGTTGACGCTTTTATTCAGAATCAAAACAAGCTCGAACAAGACGTTACAGGGAGAGTTTTCCCCGAAGAATTTCGGAGTGCTAAATGTCATTCGTCTGTCGCGTGGTTAGGGGTTGAATAGGAGGTCATCACAACTCAAAAGTCCAAGATGGAAATAATCAGCGTTCATGAGGCTGCCGGGCCAAGTATTGTATTTTGGTTCAACACAGACATGGGAATGTGTGTATTATGACATATAGTTAATGAACTTAAAGGACAGAGACGCGAAAAAAGAAAATTAAAAAAAATGGGAGAATGTTAAATGTCATCTCCATCAGCGGTGATGCACGGACGTTCTATGGGCTGCTTAATGTGGCGGTGGATCTGCAGAGTGAAGCAATTGTCAATTGAGCTTCTGTATTGGGTATCTAATATATATGTATGTGATGAAGTCCTCAGGTAAACAGGAGTCTTGTAGAGCAACCAATATTTTCATCTGTTTTGTGCTCATATCCCCCTCCATTTAAATACTCTACCCGCCACATTTTTGCACTCTACTTCCATTCAAACACAGACAGCCGAAATGCATGGAAAGACAAATTGCAGAACAAACATCTAGGATCAACATTTCATTTCTTTCATTTCCTTTCATTTATTTTTTTGGGCTATCTTTGTGTTCACCGCTCAACCACGGAGAGCAGACAGAACATAGCTAGCTGGTGGAGGGGCCTTTGTGGATAGCCGTTCCACAGCGGAAATGGCATTGATTAAGCAATGTATATTAACGTAACACAGTATCAGCTATGGCCCGGGACTGACGAAAGACTATTTGAATTAATCCTGTGTTGATGCACATTGATTTCGTTTTGCTACCACCCCTCCCCCCTCTGCTGCGATTGGATCTCCGGATAGATATAGGGATACCTAGTCATGAGAAAGATAGGGTTTTCGAGAATTAGGAGTAACTAGTACAATATCCTGCGTGTGATTGGGTGTGGTAGATCTGCAGCTCTTTTCCGCCGGCCGAGGAGCGGTGGGGAGGTTGGACAACGGAGGAAATGAAGAAGGCGAGCGACAGCTCATTTAGTACCACCTTGTCAAAGGTTTTCCCGCACGCAAAAGGGAAAAGTGAATCGTATAGATCACGTCTCACGTAACCAAAAAGATAAAAGGGAGAAATGGATTAAGCGGGAAAAAAGCGGGAAACCCAGAAAATGAGGTCGAATTCAAAAATGCGTAATACCGTGAAGTTTAATAAATGTATGTAGCAACGAGCACAGAAAAACAACAGCTGAGACACGCAAAGAACTCCAATGCCGGCTCTCCGCTTTAAAAATCAATCAATCAATCAATCAATCAATCAATAAAAATAAAACACAAAGAATTGTCATGGCTGTCATCGCCTTTCCCATCGGTGAGATGGTGGAGGAGGTCGCGGTTCGTTCAGAGTACTATCAGGCGACGCATCGGTATCGTCCGCCAGCTCAGTTGTGATCTCAATCGTCGTCTTTTGGTAAACCTTGCCAAGCTCACTGAGCTCTACTGGTTGCACAATTTGATCTGTAGACCCTTCGCGATCATGCTGCGTGTCAGTTTCCGTCATCTGCCTTCGATGGAGGATGCTGTTGTCCAGCCGGGACATTTTATGATCCGCAGTGACAGTCGTAACGTGGCTATGTCCGACACGTTGGGAATTATAGAAGCGGTCAACATTACTGGGTTCAGAATCGATGAGGAGAGCTTGTCGGGTCACAGTGTACATGATCACATCCACGAATCCGGAACTGGCGATTACTGCACCGGCGGTGCAGAAATAAGAGACGCTCAACCTTTGACCTCTGGCGGTCGCCATGCGACCAGCGGCAAGGGGTAGTGATAGGACAATGTATGCAATGGGATACAATACCATATATCCAATCACTCTTTTCAGCCGTCGCAGGTTATCAGTTTGCCCTCGCCCTAGAATCGCTGATTGAGCGACCTGGTGGCGTAGGTGAAAGAAAAGAAGTGCGTAGAGCATGATGGATCCGAATTCGGACACAAAAATCCAAAAATAGTGTGTCCACAACCTGTCCGCGTCATAATTTTCATCAATCCAGCACTAGATAAAGGAGCATTCATATGTCAATAATTGCAATGATGAATAAGGCACAGTGTCGAGATATTGGAATATTCTACATACCCAAGCGCCAGACGGTACGTAAACATGTCTCCCATGCTGAATTGTGGGAATCAATACTAGAAGAAGCGCAAACGCCCAAACACCACACACACATGCCACGAACCAACGGTGAGACAGCTTTCTCCCCATGAGCACGATTCCAAACGTGTGGGCGGCAATTGCAAGAACGAACAATCCACTGGATGGATCACCTATCTGCAGCAGCCATCCCTGGAGGAAGCATATTGGGGAGTCGTAAGATATTTTATCTCTAACAGTCCAATGTAGTGCCATCAAAAACCCAACAGCCTGTTGGAAATCTGCCAACAGCAGATTGTAGATCAGGATGATGTACTGATTATATCCGATGTATGTCGAATAGTACTTTCTCCAGAAGACTAAGCGATAGGTAACGAAGATTAATAGCGCTCCAGTCGCAATTGTAGAGAGCAGGGACGTAGAAGCAACAGCGATGAGACCTCGCCGGTGTTCTTCCGGTAGTGGATCGATTATCAGCGGAGTGACTCGTCGAGGAGGGAGGGATCTCGCATTGAGTATGCTAACGGGCGTAACTTCAGATGCGGTCCATAGCAAGGAGACCAAATTCATATTGTCCCCCAATGCCTGTTAAATTCCCTGTCTCGTACTCTGGGGCCCTCCGGTCAATTGAAATCAGTGGAGCTGGAGGCGACCAAATATATACCCGAAAGACTTTAGAGAAGATTAGACTTGAGGATAAAGTTTCGTGAATTCCTGACAATATCAGTTCGAAATACTGTTATAGGCATATACCGCCCGCGTGTGCCTGCTAGGTTGTCAGAATTGTTTTGACTTATTGGAAGCATAATATGAACATCTGGGGAAAGATTACCCTTTTTGTTCCAATCCACAGGGACTCAGGGTGGCCCACCATATCGAGACCTTAACTTCACAGGGGTTAAAATGGCCTGGCAAGGGGTCACATACAGAGCTCGACTCATGCTTCCGAGAACTGCAGTGGAGTGCATCTTTGAAAGGACCAAAGGCGCATCCTCGTCCCTGTCAGCGTGCTAACTTGCATGCCGAAATCTGGAGGAGTAGATCACAAATCTTCCGTCTAAATTGTAGCAATGAGCCCTGGCAATTCCTCTGGGTAGGAAGCCGTGATACATACAATCATGTTTTCCTGTCATTCTTTGAGCCAAAGGGTATCATTCGTTCCCAGTTTAGTTGGGCTCCGTGTCGGAGAAATTCCCTAGCGGCAGTTCAATGGAATGAACTGTCTGAGCGCCACCCTTTTCAAGCGTAAGGATTAAAATACCCCCAAGACCTCCCGCAATTTGCATGAATTCATTCTCTCTCTTGTTTTGCTTTTTCCTAGTCTGAGCGCCCTGTGGTCGTTAAATCCCAGCACACTGTTTTGCTCTGCAGGAATTGGAAATCGGGAATTCGATATTGTGCATGACGCAAGGTTAAATTTTTGTTATGGGTATTTGCCGTCTCCCTGTGGATCGAAATTTTCTTGTTGATCAATCAACAAGGTGGAAAACGAAGACCTGTTACTTGCCCAGATCATTTTTCAACACCAACATTGCCAGTATTGCTTGTTTGAAAACGTCCAGACAGCCAGGTGCCGTGTCCCACAAATGAGAACCATTACCAGCGAGAATGCGCCGCCCCTCTGCGGGTCCAAGTACTAACTAGGGCTCACATATCCGTCCCATCAAGTAATTCAGAGCCTGGAATTTCGGATCAAAAAGCCAGCTATAATCACGGTCAGCGGCAGCTGGTGTCATTAAAAGAGGCAAAGAAGTGCATGGAATTTCGTATCTGTCAGGATTGAGCAAACACCGGAGTCTTGCCAAGCTGTGATGGAAAATTAGACCCAGATCAGCTTACTTCCGCTTCCAGCGTTTGATCCCGAAATGAAGAACGATTCCTGCGATTCTCCCGCCACACAAACCTAACAGTGAAAACAAAAGGCAACATGGCTGATGCATTTACACATTGAAACTGCCGATATTAGATCATCATGATCGACAAAAATGAAGCAATTTACCAGAAACTTGCAACATTCAAGGGCCCGTCAGATTCACGTGTGCTTGCAGGTGGATGTCTTTTTTTAGCCCGCCACATGTCAAGTTACGAGGCGGGCACTGGGAGGACATGCGCCTGCATGCTAGAACATCTAAAATCCAAAATTAAGTTAATCTCAGGGCCTGTGAGTTCGTTCCTGTGGGTCCTGTGGTTCCAAATAACAGGGGCTGCCCATCCTCCAACTGAATAATGAATGTAGACTGCATGCTATTCGTTTCAAGAACTCGTCATAGCAGAGGCGGACATTTAAAATTGTAATATTCGGTACAAACCAAAGGTGTCGGCATCTTCGCGATTCAGCCTCAAGGATTGGTCGATGCAACCTACGATAAATGCAAACTCTCCTATGTGTCCAGACTTTATTCACGCGGAACACCTCATTAGGAGCAATGCATGCTTCCAAGACATAGTTGCGATGACAATATCGAACGGTGGTTCAAGGTCAGAAATATTGACAAATTGGCGAGAACCGCTACCACTCTCGAATCTTGTCAAACGTGCATTGTCCAAAACAAGAATCATATCTGACAGTTAGCTGAAGTTGCAATTGCCTCCATGAGGTCTAATCTCCATACTTTTTTGAGATCAAATCAGCAGCGTCTATCGCCAAGCGATTTGCGTCAGAATCGCATGGCAGAACAAGGATCGTGATCCACTAAAAAAGATCATGAATTGAACTTGATTTGCCATCGTAAACGACCATCGTGCTTCGTTTTAAAGTCACAATCCATATGACGGGTACTCCATTTACAGTCCTTAAATTCTGCCTCAATATATCAAGACTCGCATTGAAGTTTGAGTCTCTCTAGCAGATTTCTTTTTTGGAATCATCTCACTCTCAGATCGGCAGTTTTCAATTTCTCCGAATAAACCGGCCCGATTTGCGGGGCAGGGGGCCCCACAGTTGAAGCCTGACAGTCGGTGACTTTCAGTCAACAGGAGATGTCAGATTTAAGCGTCAGAGGTTCTTGTGTTAAGACGAAACCTTATCTTTTAACTAATAGTAGCAGCCAGTGTCAATTGCTCTAGTTAAGCAAGTATTTGTGGTCTGTGGAGAGTCTTCAAGTACCCACGCGCTGATGATGCCCCAAGATCGCTGAATCGCTCATTCAGCCTTCAGGTGCGGGTTTCTGACTGCCGAGTTCCTCGCCAGTGGGGACCCTGGTCAATCTGTGCGGATAGTGTCATCCAATTGCTACGAAATGGCGAATAATAACGGAGAGTCATTCGACCAAATATAATATGGAGTATCCTTCCTCGTATTTAAGGAGACTTGCCTGCCACTGAATGTAACCTCTTTTGCAATTTTGAGGCTCCCCAAGTTCTTGGGGGTAAAAATTCCGAACTGCCGACGAAAACATTTAAAGGAATTATTTGTGTCAGAATCAACCAACCAACCACTTGAGATCAAGAGCAGATTTACCGTTCTTCTGCTGCTGGTAGTTTGGCTTGGGATTGATGCATGTTACTGGATAACTACCTTGTAAACTTTTCCAATAATTATGAGCATTCTTGTCGGTACACGGTCGATGTCGTCGAATTGTGACAAAGTAGTTACAGAGTTCTTGACCCGAAAATGATCTTGGGTTTGCAGTTGAAACAGTTGGATTGACATGTCGTGGGTTCCAAGCTTGACTGGAAATTGTCAGACATTGATATCTGCATCCAGAAGATACAACTGTCACGTACTGTTAACACACGAGCAGCCCTAACTAAAACCAAATCGAAAGCATTGCAGTCCATACCTCAATGCAGCAGCGTAGTCCAAATGGCATCCACAGTTGAAACGCTATCTGCTCCAGAGAGGGAAACTTCCTCCACAGACAGATGATATCCGCGAAAAGACCAGATCGCAAAGCTTGGGCGTTTCCTTCCCCTCAAGCATTAAAGATTGGACATGGATGCAACCCTGGATATCCTTTGCAATGCCATCCTCATTCTGGAAATGTTGGCTCAGTAAGCTTGGTAAGCGGTGGATATCTGTAAGTTAGTATTTCCCCCTGCAATTGGCTCGAAAAAACAGCTCAAAACAGCCAAACAACCAACCTAGTCCTAGATGTGGTACTCCTACGAACATATATCCAGCTCGAAAATAACCTTGGAATGACTGCATGAACCAGTGTTTGCGGAAATATATGAAGGCGGTGCGTTCAACCACTATGTTTCACATCATTGGAGAATAGTCGCATTATAAATGGTGATGATAATTTCCGCCAACTTTGCAATCCAAAATTTTGTATGTATTTATGCCCCCTTAAAGAATCAATCTTTCCCGGCTGATGGACCTTGGGAAGAAGGTAAAAAGAATACAAGGCACCTGACTCCATGCATAGGGTTTGGCCATAATCCCTACAACCCGACACGTCCTTCGAACCCGGAGACACTCACTGTAGTCCACAAAAGTGATGAGAATGACGAGATGGAGTATGTCTAATGGAAAACAAATACGAGAAGTTCCCAGAAGTTCCCATCAACAAACGGCATTAAGCACTCTTGCAAGTGATCATGTACTCGGAACTGCGAAAGCAAGCTCAGGCTAGTGGCATGGATAGTAATTGGAGCCTGGGAACATTGGACACTCAGAGCTGTAAGATATTTGTTAACTTGCTTCACAGTTGCCCCTGACAGGGGCAGGTTGTCTTCCGTTCCCTACCTCACGCGACATCACTCATGGGTGCCAGGCCATTTGCCCTGGCAAGATGCAAGGAATATCTTCCTTCGTGTGGAGAAAATCTCGAAGAAGAGGTCTTTAGCCAAACCTGGCTCTGACCCTCTTAACAAAGCCGATCTTAAATACTTAGGACGATATGTGGGAAGAGGAAGTTAGAGATCCTTCTCAAGGACCCCAAATACCACCAGGCCCCGGGAAGCAGATGAAAGTAAAGTCTCTTTTAGATCAAAAAAGCGTATGCCGCTTTGCTCCTCTGAATACGGATGCTGCAGAACATAATGGGAGTGCCGTCTCTAGATTTGTGCTCTGTCAAGTGTGATACGTTCTTTAGTGTTATGTGTTTAAAAGAATCATTGACTAATTTTCTTTTTGATCTTGGCCCTGTCCTTCCATGGAAGCGTTGGTGAATTTTAACAAGGAATCGCACGAACAATACATGGAAGTCGGAAATCGCGCCGGCCCTTTCACATTCCAAGGCTTAGTTCATGTCAATATTCTGGAACGCTCCCATGATGTGCAGCCAAGGCCGCTGTCTCCCATATAGTGCGGGAAAGTTTGAAGAAAAAAAAAATGTCGGTTCATGGACGACAGCAGATTACCACAAGCAAAGGCATCCATTTGTAAGTTGGAAAATCCGAGAGCTGATTTCTGCCAAACTTCACATGCCCCGAAAATGAAACCTTCAGTATACGAAAGATATGGCTGCCGCACGACACAGCTATTCAGACGAGTATGCCAAGTGGGAGAGGCCGGAAATCAAGTGATCAGTCCATGAGTTTGATGCTATAATGCGAAATACGGTTCCTCTATATTTGTGAAAATTGTTGAATTGTGTCGCAATATTCCCAGACCCAGATACGCAATCGGCTGAACTAATCCTGGGTGAACGTCCAGTAATCCGATATAGTCGTCCTTCCGTTATCCCAGAGCGGCTCGAAGCTATTAAACGAATCGATCGTGAAAGCCATGCCCAGGGAACCCGCGATGGCATCCTGCATTGCCTGGTCATCGATCTGGGGAGCAACACCACTGTTATCGTTATCGGTTTGGCTACTATGATCATAATTCTGCAAGGCATTAATGTTCTGTGAGAAATATGAAGGATGGACGGACGACAAGGTGTTGCTCTGGAAGCTGTTGATGAGAAAATCCGCCTTCGTGGTGAGGTCCCGAGTCACGTTTGCAGCGCTGGCGGCGATGGCGAAGTTGTTGCCGAACATTTCGAACACAGCGATGGCGTTGTCAATGGCATTTCGCGCTGGAGCAGTAGAAGGGGAGGTAGGATAAGCCAGAATAAATCCAACCATGGAAAGTGTGGCATTCCACTGCCATTGATATGCTTCATGCCAGCCGTTCAAAATGTCCGTCTCGTGGAGGATTTGATACATGATATGAGTAATTGCGATAGCATGGTTGACGCAGGAAGCCGCATTGTTTTCAGCTTTAGGGCTGGAAGTTGGAGAAAAGCAGATAAAGGGTCGGTAAAGGTTCATTGACAGATTGTGGTAGAGCAATTCCAGGAGCAGCTGCTGCCGCTTCAGCCATGGGGGTGAAAATCGCTCAACGTCTAGTGTAGTTCTATCAGTAGAGAAACGTACTCCTGTTCCATGTCTCTTCATTTTCAATGCACTAGGCACGCTTAATGGCCATTCTTGAAGAGCTTGTATTCTCGACGAGAGGAACTGCGCAGCTGTTTCCAGACCTTGAGGGTCATTGTATAAGCTCTTCCCATCATTTGCACCAAGAATTTCTGCGCATTTGTCATAAAATGCAGTGTAGATACTGCGAGCCGCTAGCAATAGTTTAACGTGGTTCACACCGAAGGTGAGCCATGTGATATTTTCGCCAAAGGAGCCAAAATTGGAACCTGAATGTAACGCCAGTTCGTGGTCATCCGATGGGAAGCTGACGGTGACATGGGATAGCTGTGCAGAAAACGGTCGCCCGAGTTTCATGCAGGTTTTGCTGTCTGTGGCATATAGAATCCACCATAACCGTTTCCGCAACTCCCTTTGGGCCCGTGGTATATATTCCGGTGGCTCCATATGGAGTCCTAGAATATGAGCTGTCCTCACTGCTAACGCTAACGTGCTATGAGCCATGTTCTGGAATGACGCATTGCAAAGGAATATGAGGGAGAATATATGGCACTGAAGGGTTGATATCGACGGGCTTTCGAGCTCAGTTGCCAGCAACGCTTGGGACCGCCGATAAAACCAACGCCCCGCGATGGTTGCATCATTACTATCGACATCTGCCTTGGATACACCGTTTGTGTCTCGCCGGGGTAGAAACGCGACGCCATATTGCATTGATAAAGCCAGGACGATGTCAACGAGGGCTGATGGTTTGCGAGTTTTATGCGGAGGTTCCCATAACGATCTATAATGTTCTCTAAATTCTCCTTCGTCCAGAATTTGGAGGGTGCAATGATATGATTGCCAAAATAAGCTTAGAAAGTAGTCTTCCTGAGTCCCAGTCAGGTAGTCGCCATCTCTCGGGATATCAGCCGACACAAGATTCTCTTCAATGGTTTCATTTTTTGAGCTTGTGGGGCTCGCGAATGACCTGCTGGCTGAATTAGGTTGGAAATGATGATCCAAATGCGGCTGTTGTAGAGCTGTGGCCAGGTACGAATTCAGGCGGCCAATGAAATAGAACAGAGACGAAGGACCGTAGAATTGTGTCTGATGAGACTTTGCTGTCCTTGTCTGAATGCCCTCCCAATACCTCTTCGTAGGTTGGCCTTGATCCGGAGAGTCGAGCTTCAAATGTGGAGATGTCCTCGACAACTGAGATGGACTCGGAGGATGAGCAGCCTCTTCACACACGGGACACTGGACATCGTCAAGTTGCTGTTCCAGAATCTTGATTCGACGCTTCAACTTTTCAATTTCTCTAGCAGGCTGTCAGCTAGTGCATTACTACCCACATAACATGACGCCCCGTACTCAGCAATAAAAACAGCAGCATGACCAACCTGAGGGCATGAGGCAGAGTTCTCACATCGCTCTCACCATTACTGGTACACTTTCCCTCCCTACTTCTGCAGTTCGCACAAGGGCGATCAGTGTCACATCTGATTCGGTGTCCACGGCACCAGTCACAGGCTCTGGCAACCTGGGTTCGTTTTGGCCGCCCTGGGGCGGTGGATGTAAACGGGGGCTGCTGATGCAGACTGGTCTCCGCGGTCGACCGAGTTGGGTCCGTCGAAGTTATCGGCATTCTTGTTCATTCGGGAAAAAAAAAGTTTCCATTCTTATTAATTTTATCATGCATGCTCCTCGAGAGCTGTCTGTGTGTTCCTCGAATTGCTGCTTGTCAATTTAGCGCGGGGGCACCCCTGTCTCTGCTCAGCTTTTCATGCATCGTATCCATTCTCATTGGATTGCGTATGTAGTTAACTACGGTATACTTACAATTCATACCATAGTTGTGAGTCCAGGGCTTATTTTTTTTATTATTTTTATTTATTTATTTATTTATTTATTTTTTTTTTTGGCACGTCGCAATGGAGTTCTTGTCCACGAAACCTGATTGATGGGAGTACCCTCACTGAGAGGATCAAGGCGAGTTGGATGAACAAGTCAAACAAACTGCAAGGTGTTTGTCCAATGATCGACTGGATAAATAAAATGCCATATTCATTTTGACGCGCTGATCTCACTTTTGTCCCGAGTTGCCACTGCCAGTTGCCATTGGTTGATGTCAACAGGATTCCCCAGACGGGCCCGTCCTCTTGAACATGGGGAAGATCATGCATGCATTAAACCTTCGAGACAGGTGAAATTCTTTGCAGAGTGGATCTATTTGCGCATATTGAATGTGGGAGTCACCGATGTAGTTACACTCAGTACATTTATCTGATTTTTCAATCTGGATATAATCATGTACTAGGAATATGATCACATCAGGAATTCCCCAGCTTCAAAGTGATTGATTCTTCTTCTCCCATGATTTTCAAGATGTCAAACTAGGTCAATGCCAGGAAAAATAAGACTGCAAAATTCTATTTTTCTCTGTGAGAATTAGTTATGCAGTTCCGAATTGATTGGGCTCAAGAAAATATCACGAAACTGGACAAAATGCCGTTGCGATGTTGATTTTATTCTTTGCGTTCACGGTTTTATAAGTTCAGGACATATAATGACTACTGAAAAAGAAAGAACTTTATGCACCCGCCTGGGTTAATAGGACGAAGCCCAAGGGACAGCCCAACTTGTTCCCATAAGAAAGACGTTTATGGATGGGTGAGAGTTCACGTTCCGCCGTCCCTTGCCTGGACGCCTTTTCCGCCCATGTTTCCCTCCCGACGCCAAGAAACCCGCTCTGTAGAGACCTGGGGCGGGGCGGGGCGGGGCGGGATGTGCCTTTCCGCTTTCCCGGATAATCTCTTGTTTTGGCACGCAACAACCATCATCCCGGCTACTTCTACGCATGCACAGCAGAGGGTACGTACAGGGGACAAGGGGGCATCTATCATATCGCAACAAAAATGATGAAATATAGCCAATGCTCAGAACGGTGCTAGATACAGAAAAGTGGACAGGAAAGAAGAATGACATCATCAAATGTCTCATTCAATCAGCAGCGGAACGTTCCAATGCTGGTTAATCTTTAAACTACCAATAAAGGAAGAAGGTAGTTTCTCATGAATTGCTCTCATCTCATATATTATTAACTATAATATCCACAGAATCAAACGTCCACTCTTACACAGTTCGATTCATTCCAGTAAAACAAAAAAGAAAGAAGAGAAAGGAAAAAAAAAAAAAAAAAAAAAAAAAAAAAAAGAAAGAAAGAAAGTAAAAAGGAGAAAAAGGCACACCCATCAATCCATCCATCCATTAAAAACACCACTTTTTCTGCAAAAGAAAAAAAAAAAAGGAAAGCGGAAGAACAAACTTGTATAAACCTGAACCGCATTTGACTTCGAACTCAAAAGGCGGCATGGCATGGCTGCTTTGTAGAGCAGAAGAAAATTAAGAAACATAACAATTCATTCTCAACATGTCACAGAATGTTCAAATCATTCAATCATTACATACCTTTTCCTCGTTCCCTCAGAAAAGAAGCTGCAGCTGCGGGTACTGGACTGAATACATAGGAATACTCTTTTTCTTCCAGTACTCAAACGGCTCCTGCAACGCCTTGGCCGCGACCTCATCCCCTTCACGGATAAACGCCTTGCGCAGGCCCAAAAACAAAGCTTCAAACTCATCCTCGTCGTCCGTCCAACTATCACCCAAAGAGTAGAGAAGACGCTGCAACTTGCGGCCATCCAGGACGATCTCAGCCATATCATCCCTGCCACGGCAGCGGTAGATCTCTGCGAACTCAAGCTCAGCGGGGGACAAGGTGTTGTCGCCGTTGACAAACGCGGTTATGGGCCAGAGCATAGAGGGGGAGCTAAAAGCGTATTCTTTTGGCTTGACCGAGGACGAAGCCCAGCCCGTAATGGCCGTAATGTTTCCGGCCTCGTCAACCAGGATGTGGTCGTCCGTTTCGCAGAAGCGTTTCAGGTAGAAGGGACCCCCTTCCTTGCTGTTGATGGAGGTGACCAGGTCCGGGATCATGTTCAGGCGCCAAAGATAGGAGAGAAAGTGGCCTACGGGCAGGTTTGAGAATTCGCCATCCATGATCATGTCTAATTGCAAATAGATGATCGCCCTCAAGGATGCGCTGAGGCTGGAGAACGGACCGATTGGTGTTCGAGAGTCACGGAATAAAGGCAGCATCGCGTATCCGCCGATCTGCACAACTCCGTCGTCAGACGGGACGATGGACCCGGTCATTTCAAAATCATGACGTTCTAGCTCCAAAGAGACATCCACCAGCTGCTCTAGGATCTTTGTCTGAGTGGTCTTGTTCGCCTTGTCCCACTGTAGTTTGCGGCCACCCATCTTCTCGAGAAGAACAAAGGACACGCCGACGGGGTTGTCTGTGGCATCGATCCAGCCATAATGGTAGACACGCGGTGCGGGGACGGCGGTCTTTTCGAGGAATTTCAGAGTGTACATTTCGCTCAAGAAGATGTGTTTTTGCACGGGGAGGGGTGGAAGCGCATCATTCGGCAGCCGTATACGCGCATCCCACACTACACCATCCCGAAAATTGATGTCAAAGTGGAAATCCATGTCGACGATGTGCTGGACCAGGAGTCTCAATACGGTCTCCCTGTCTGCCGCAAGGGCGGGTATTGAACAGGGGACACCGCCGCGGAGGGAGCTTGCCAATGAGGTCAAGGCATCGACATCAAGTTGATCCAGAGTCTTTGAGATGTGGACACGCTGGGAGGCCACACATTCTTGACGGTAGCCATCCGGATGGGTATCCTTTTCAGAGCAAGAACAGAGTTAGTGGAAGAAGGCTTCTCGATCATCTGGAAAACACGAAACAAAACAAAAATCAATAAAATAAATAAAATAAATAAGCAAAATAAGCAAAAATAAAGAAAATTAAAAACAAAATTAAAAAAAGGTTCAAAAAGGCTCAAAAAGGTTCAAAAGACATCCAACTCAAAGAATAGACCAGCCTTGCCTTGGAAAGACATTGATGAGAATCTGACTTGATATGAGCGCCACAATGATTCCTGGAACATATCAGACAGCCCCCATTTCGGCGGGCAGCGGACTGGGAGCAGCCGTGTACGTCACAACGTCTTAAAGGCATAGTCCAGCTGCAGTGGGCTACATATATGGGCTCTGCATAGGATTTGGGGCGACAGGGTATATCGAGATTCAGACGGAGGTTAAGTCGGTGGAGGGCACAATAACATGCACGTACGAGGAGGAATCAAGGGTGTGTCTTGGAGAAGCAGCAGATATGCTGCAATGAATACCAAGAGTGTGTTTCTGAGTCTGTCTGCTCAGATTAAAGTAACCGAATATGCTGAGACACAGGGGATGGGTTGTTGTGAAAAAAAAAAGATGGATGGGGGATTGCCTTTGAAACCGTCGAAAACGACGTGAGAAACAGGAAGCAAAAAGGAGATCAACGAGCCCCCGAGCGAGCGAGAGATGATGATAAAATATTTAAACAAACGAGAAAACCGGCAGCAAACAGCGAACAAGCAGAAAAACAACAACAACAACAACAACAACAAATACTTAAAGCAGCGGGAAAACGTTCAGCAGTTCCATTATTTTGCAGCCGACAAAGCAACTAAGCTAACTCTCCAGCTGCTTCTATTATTGCAAGCCTACAACAGGCGGTATGCAGCCCCGCTGCAGAAGCCCCAAGAGAACACTCTGCGGCGTCTGTCTGGTTGGCGCCAGGCGGGCGGATAGTTATCTTTGGACATCCCGACGCAAGCAAGGGAAAAAAAAAATAAAATAAAAAAGAAAATAAAAATAAAAATAAATAAATAAAATAAAATACGTTACTTTGGAGCAAACTAGTCTACATGTATCTGCCTGGAGCTAGTCACTTCAGCGCCATGTCTTGATCCTGGATGCAGCCAACCAACGCCCCCCCCCCCTCCCTCCAGAGAGATTGTATCCAGGCTTGCCATTGACGGTAACTACTGGAGCGGGGAAACGGAGCAGGACATTCATCCACTAGTAGCGTCTTACCCTCTTCACAACGAACCTCTTCATCCCAACTTCATGGTGTGATTGGTGATTCGCCACTGCTGCTCGACAAGGAGAGACACACACTCGCCAATCACGGACTCTCCGCAGCAATTCTGAAAAGGCCTGGCTGGTCATGGGGAGCAAAGTCCCGAAGAACAATCGATTATCCTGGGCTGAGATCGTCATCGTAAGAAAAGAGTGGGTTCAGTTCTTCTCATCGATTGTTTATTTGTATGATATCTGGGCTTGGGCTACATCAGCTGCACCCTCCTTCAAGTTTGGATAGACCCGGGGGCATTCGATCACATACGTAGCTGATAGGGATGGGGAGACCCAGGAGAATGCTCAGACTGGCTGGTAGCAGATCTCCATGCACCACCACCACCACCACCACTACTACTACTACTACTGTACGTATTCTGAATATTAGGTTGGTCGTGTTTCTTTTGTTCGTTTTTTCTTCTTTTTTCTTCTTCCTGAAGCCTTTCTCCTTCCGCTGACACGTTGTGACACTATTATGGTAATGTTACAATTCCTCTTATCTTGATATCCGTCTACTCCATATTATCCCTCAATTGCACACGTCGTAGTTAAATGCAGCTCATCAACGTTGCCATCATCTTGTTAGGCTGGATGAGGACCTCTAGGAGATGTGCTTTGACGGAAAATCTATGCCAAATGGAGCTGTACGGGGAGAATCAAATTGATGGTCTCAAGCACTGCCACTGCTGCACAGAAGAGCCTGCGTCACATAAATATTTACCTATCCCCGAGGCATTTACAAAGTGTAAGATCGTTTCAAACAATCTCATATCCACAAGGTTTTTTTTTTTCTGGAAAGAAAAGACGGAAGGATCAAAAAGAGGATATTTTACGACGAGACAAGAAAAAGGAATATCCATCAGGTGATGTTCAATCAGACATTTGATAACGTCGCTGTCATACCCCAAGAAATGACACTCGAATCAGGTATATTATACAGCTTTTCATTCTAAAACATACCGAGGGAACCTGGCAGCCCAGCCCTCTTGAAAATGGGAGCGGATATATGTGACAGAAGAGAGAAAGGGATGGAAAAAAATCCTGCATTAAGAACATTTCTCCAGTGGAACACCATGATTAATATTTCTAAGCTATGAATTGCAGCGGAATTCCCCAAATTCAAGCTTCGAAGATTTGTAAAAATAGACATTGCTATCTGCTGCTAGCTTACAATGATTTCCCTTTCGTGGTCTAACAACAACCACCCAGCAGCCGGACGCCAGCTACAGCCAATGATCGTAGTATATATATATATATTTATATATATATTATAGAGAAATTATATGGCGGCTGCCAACTCATGCCTGCAGATATGGACCTTACAGCCAGCCCAGTCTCAACTGGCCCTCTTCCGGTCTCCTATTTAGGTACACCTTTCCACCCGTGGACGTTTCTCACCATCTAGACTATGAGACCACTCATTAACTGGAAAGAAAGTTAGGAGCTAATAATACACACCGACATGCATGGACTGGAAGCCTTCATGGTGCAGACTTAACGTCCTTAACCACTAAGAATCTGCTTTTGTAGCTAACCAGACTGCTCTTCAAAAATACGTGGAATATCGAAATATGCGGAAATGTCCCATTTCAACTTACGCCAGACACGGGTTGTGGACAGCTTCCTTATGGATCCCGGAACCGAAACCGGATGTTGATCCAACATCAATAATAGCACTATATAATTCAGGTACATGCGAATTTGGAGGATTAATCTGTGGTAATATTGAAGTTAAATTCTGTTTAACTTTCGTACCTTTCTCAGAAAACATGGTTCATCGTTTCCCCCCCCCCCCCCCTTTTTTTTTTTACCGCTGGTTATTATTCTGTAAGAGAGTAATTCGAACTGCTTTTGCAGGATTTATTTGGTTCAGACACACGTTAAAGCCACACCCGTAAATCGTACATACACACGACACACGCCCCATTGCATCTAACAAAGAAAGGTCGAAATGGAAGACTCGAAGATCTCTGCTCGTAATTGAGCACGAAGACCTAGGTAGACAAAGGGGGTATAATAAATTGGAACTGCGGATTGCCATTACCCGTTATAGTCATTGCGAGAAACAAGTTTGGGAAACAAACCTCAGGACAGGGTAGTGATATTAATAATAAACGAGTGAGATGGGAATGGGTTCGAATGACAGGGTAAAACAAGAGAAGGAAACACGTCAATGACTTCGAAAAAGGATAAGAGGAGGTTCTGAGAATCCCAATGTATGAAACCATGCCACGCTAGAGAAAAAAGAAAGAAAAAAAAAAAAGAAATGACTTTAATAGCACCTCAGTGTGGTGTTGACTCCATGATTATGCTTTTCATTTCATCTTAGATCATTCAGGCATCAAACCATCAAGAAGGGGGATTATGCTTTCTCCATTCTTAAAAAAAAAAAAAAAAAAAAAAAAAAAAAAAAAAAAAGGTAATAAAACGAGGAAGATAGAATCAAAGACATGCGAAAAATTCAAATAGCAAGAGACTCAACCGCAACAGTAGAAAGAGGAGATGGAGAGAAAAGCAAAAGAAAAAAAAAAGAAAAAGAAGAAACACGAAAAAGCTCGTGCCTGACGCATCATACCTAGCTACCCATGCATGTATGCAATAATCCGGGACGCTGACCCACACTCACACCCATCCAACTCCCCAGATTCCCCAATAAAACAACCTTAATGCCTCTTCCCTGTGCGGTGATCACTTGTAATCATGTTACCGTCATCTTCCTCCTCCGCCTCCTCAACAACAACAGGTGTTCTCCTCTCATTCCGCCTCTTAGGCCTCCGCCTCCGACTCGAACTGATATTGCTCGCCGAATCCGACGGCAAAATCTCAGAAATGCTATCATCGATCCCATCATCCGTTGAGCTCTCCCACCCATTACTATTTAGCCCGTAAGCCGACATGCCAAGCGCAGGCGTACCGGAGAGCACCTCAACGGCTCCCCAACTCCCGCGACGTGCAAGATTGGCAACCTGCAGACCCGCGCCACGCTCGCGCAAAGCACTGCGGACCGCTTCCGCCTTGACATGTAGGATCTCAAAGGCATCTTCAAGCGCTTCCATGCCGAGATATATATCCCGTTCAATTTCAGCGAGGGCAGCAATTTCTGTGTCCTCGTCGACGAAAATGGGGGCGCCAACAGTCGCGTGGGTCGGCGTAGAGGTGCGGGAAGGGATGGACGAACCGCCAATTGGCTGGCTTACGTTTCGAAGTCTGGTGTGGGACATTTGGGATATGGGCCTTGCGGAGCCGGGTCGCGAAGCCCGCATGGGAGGGGCAGAGTAGGTTTGGGGGAGGTCATCGTCGGCACCGCTGCGAAGGAAGCCGTCGAAGCGGCCAGAAGTGAGGATATCCCATTCATCGTTGCTAATTGCTGCTAGTGTAGCGAGGACGTGGTGCACTTCAGGGTTGTTTAATAAGTAGATGGCTGTTTCTGGGTCTCGTGGGGGTTTTGCTAGTCTGTATAAACGTTGGATGGCAGCACCGGACTGAATTATAGCCTGTGGTCGATCTCTTGGTTTGGGGGTTTCTCGTTTTGGTTCTGGAGGACCATTTGGAATCTCTAATAACGCACTAAAAGTTTCTCTCTGTTCTCCGTCAAGGTAGGTTAACATGGCGAACATCAGGGTCTCGTCATCAATTTCATCAGGAGGACTATCGGTTTGGTCGTTGCTGCAAGTAAGCCATTTATTCACAGCCTGCTTCGTTTTTCGAGATTGTCGAACGTAATGTTCTCTAAACTCCTCGGGTATGTCCACGTCCATTTTCTGCATGGGTTCCAGACCATCAGAACCTGGGAGGTCTGCCGTACCTGGTTTGGCAGCAATGTTAAATGGAGGCCACGATGGCAGATCCTGTCGACCAGAAACAAGTTCCAAAACCTCCCCCCAACTCACTCCCTCTTCTGAAGCTTCGCTGGTATAACACATTGCACACTGGCATGATTCTGATGAAATGTCCCGCGCAAAGACAGCTTCTAACCTGTCTAAAAGCCTCCTCGCAACTGATCGATACCCAGTGGCCACGGCTAGGGATCCGCGTTTTGATATCACTTGGCGATAATCGTCTAGTAACTTATTGAACGGCTCAAAAAGTTTTGTCGCAGCTATCGATGGCTGGAATATATTCTGAGGCATGTTCGCAGATTCGCCTGCTCCAAAGAAACTCCTGGGAACATGGTATTTAAGCCCGCCATTATAGAGCAGATAGTCTACTTTGGGAATCGTAATTGGTACATAGGGAGGTGGGGGCGGAGGTGGAGGCAATCCAGTCCCCCGAGATTGAGCCTCTGAAGGCAGACTTTGTTTCCACGGCGAAAATCCTCTCGGAGGAGGTGTTCTGCGAGGATCAGGTGGAGTTCTTCTCGTAATTGAAGGGCGCTGATAAACCTTTGGCTGGTTGGGTGCGATGGATGTTGCATCTGAGTCGACTGCGGAAGATGAAACTTGGATTTCAACCTGAGTTACTGATGAATGATCTGGCGATGAAGACGTTGTCTTTCGACGGGATGACTGCTTGACTGAGTCACTCCTTCCTGATGGCTTTGATTTGGTCGGAGAGGTATTGGTTTGGGACTTATGTGGATAGTGGAGGGATTCAAATAATTTCATGCCTGGTGTGCTTGGGCCTGGTCCTCTGCTGCTCGTCTTCGAACCCTCATCTGACTTGCGGCGCATACTAGACGCCGATTCTTTCACGGTAGTTTTGGGTTTATGCTTCTTCTTTTCATCTTGGCCCTTCATGGTATTCCGTTTCTCTTCCGGTTTCTTACTCTCGCTTGTTGTACTATTCCTCCTTGTAGAATGTTGATCAAGGTTTGTTAACGGGGGGCTTGGTGGGGAACGGTTGGTGCTATGCCGTTTCGATGCGGCCTCTTGTCCCGTAGGACTACTGCCATCAGCCTTTACCGTGCCATTTTCTTCATCTCCTACAGTTATATCCGTGGGTTCTGGTGTCAAGATATCCACTTTTTGTTGGTCCAAATTTTCCCGACTTCCCACTACTTCCTTGCTATGTGCTTTGGAGAAAGATGGATACGGTAAACTGGACCTTGACTCCAGGTAGGAAGCAGAGGAGGGGAGGGAGTTCGACTCGGCGGAGGGCATGGATGGATTCGGTGCGCTGACTCTCGAGTCACCACCAGCGACAGCCCTTCTTCGTTCCCTATCTCTAGATGTGGGGTCGCTTGGCCTTGTTTTGTGGAATAACCGCGGCGACTGTCTCTCATATCGAATGTTAGAATGTCTAGACCCTTCCTTTTCACCAGCATCTCCTTCAAATAATGAAGGAGGTGAGCGATATCGAGGTCGTCGTTCTCTGTCTCTTTCTCTCTCGCTTCTGTGTGGGCGATCCCGCTCCCGTTCCTTCAAGGGCATGACGCACGCCGGGGTGAAAACAGGCATGGTTTCCGACGTAATTTACGGACTCCGGTGTGGCGAGTAGTCCACTTCTGGAAGTTCTCTTGCCTAAGAGACGGATGTCAGCCACTAGGAGCGTATGGCGTCGGCATTCGACCTGAAAATGCTTGGTGCTTGTGGATTCGATTTAGACCTGGTTTGGTTTAACGTGAGGGTCAGGGAAGATGTGAACAATCGCTATGGAGTACGTGGTTGGTCGATTCCCCACAAAATGCTTCCCAACGTCACCAAACTCCTTTTATCACTTTTGACTGACCCAGTTAGGCTGCGAGAAGCGTGAATCCTCAACAGCTGAATGGTCGATACACGCAGGCTACAGAAGCCACAAATAAAATGATGTGTTGCGTGGAACACTGGAACACAACTCTGACCACTGGCCTAAAGCGTGGTTCAATCGGCTTTGTTTTCTGTGGTGCATAGTTATTATGGGTGCCAGCCGAGAGGAAGCCTTAGAAAGAGAGTTTGGGCTTTGAAAATGTTGATCTCGTTGATCCTGGAAGCATATGCTGCGTAGTTAACAGATACAGCTTACGGTGGATGATTTGTGTCGTCGTCGATGAGTCTCTCAGATGTTGTGATTGCAAATTACCGGATTCGGCCATCACCATAACAACTCGAATAAAATTTACTTACGAAGATTCGAGAGAAACATTCACTGGAAAAAAAAATGAGATGTTAAAACTGTTCTCTCTTCTGCTGGTTCATGAGCACGTTGTGAGAAGATGTGTAGAGTTATATATGTACTAGATACTCTCCAGCTATCAGTCAGATCCCAAAGTATTCATGTTTATACAAATATCAAAAATATATCGGTAGAGGTTAGTTACCCTGAACTGTCTTTTCAAAATATGCTGATTTTTCCACAGTCGGAGTCTCAAGAAGCCATCTCCCATACGTTTCAACAATAATCCCCCCCTTCAGCGCCGCAAGCCGGAGCTTCCTGCTTGCCCTCCTTCTGTTGCCTGTTTCCTTCTCCCATTCCCATCCCTCCTTTAGCCACATCCAAGCTACATACGCCCGCAACTCTTTGTCCTTGGGGACAACTGATTTCCATTCGGGCACGAATTCACCAGATGCCTCTGTGCCCTTCCAATCAATCGCAAGGCCCCTCAGCTCATCCCGACAAAAAATTCGCCAGCTATCAAGGGCATAGGAGCCCAAACCTGGAATATGGGCAATTTCCCAGGCAACTCGAGAATCACCATCATCCACGCATTCCCCGGGTTTTATATCTAGTCCATCTCCTTTGTTGGGATAATGTAATTTTCTGTACCGTTTCCCTTTGACTGGGGGATTTTCGATCCAGAGCTTCGCGAGATTAATACATTTCCGGGCACGGGCGTTCTGCAAACCCAGACAGCGTATCATTGTAACCACATCTTCCTCCCGTGCCTCTGCAAGGGCAGATACAGTAGGATACCTCTCAAAAACATTGTATAGCACAGGAATGGCGACTTCACCGCGAGTCCGGTTGAGGAAAATGGTCGCGATCAGCAGGCGGAATGGGTCATGGGCCAGTTTCTCTTGGATTAATCCGAAGGAGGTGGCCGATATTGGAGGGAATGGGAGACAGGAGGCGCCGCTGCGGGGTTTGTTGGGGAAATACGGTGATATCTTGGGCTGTCTGGCCATCAAGCTGTGGTGCTTTCCAGGCGGCTCTGAATTCTTGTTGGAGATTGGAACCCTGGGAGTGCTGACTCAGAACTGCGAGAAGCACCGGAGCTATATCACGTGGACTCATCCCGTTCTCCAGGATTCGTAGCTAGCATCAATAATGCGACGTAAACATTTTCTCAACTCCAGCTTCTTTCAAACCGCAAAATCTCGGAAAGATTTTTCTGGGCTTTCAGAGGGCACGGCAGTCTATATGTGTATAAATGACCCATTCCACGACCCTCGTAGCCTTCCGTCACGGTGCCAGATTTCCATTTTCTTTTTAAGAGCTTTATATTGCTAGCTCTCAAAGGGTTCTGAGGTGTTGGGCCCTACCATGGCTCTGGGTCTGCCGTTCATGAAGAAACCGGATGGCATGTTCCATGGGAATCCCTGAGTCAATTATGCTCCAAACCTAATCTGGACCAAGCGGAATACACATAAACCGTCTAATGAATGCCGCCGTTCGATTCGCTTATCTTACCACACTGCTTCCGAATTAACACACTGTTTAAGAGACCACATGAGTCACATACCAAAATTATATTAATGCAGACCAGAAATGAGGCAACCAATGACATTAGACATCTAGGTGATGAGCACGCATGGCCCAAAAACAAAGATGTTGGTTTTAGTTGACTGGCGGGAGAGAACATCGGCGAAAATCATCTTTGTACGGTGTAATTCTCACCTGACTTTGTTTTCTGAAGAACAAGACCAGGGTCTGCTCCCACAGCTAGATGGAGAAAAAAGGGTGGAACGAGAATAAAAGCCGAACTTTCTTTAAGAAAGAGACACAGGAAGAATTAGTATGTCTCACAGACAAGTGGTTCTGATGAAGCTGCTGGATTCCGGGAGTTTTCTAGTAGAAGCACCAATACACTGGGCGCACGTCAAAACATTTGCTTGTAAACACTTGCAAAACAGTCCCTGCGTTCCCAAGAGTGAAATGGGCCTTCTTGACCAACAAACTAATATACAGACTTTCGTCATGGCCGTCTACGAAGGCACCTACGCATCTGTCTTAAGTGCCATGTGGCAGACTTCTCAACCCCCACACGCCGGGGCCCTCCCACCGGCTCCTAAACATGCAGATACATTTGCGCTACTTTTATGATTAATTGGACAGGAGAAACAGGTGTTAGTTACTATTTATGTGGCCCGGCAGTGACATCTACTACTCTTAAGGCATCACCAATTTCAACACAACGTTTTAATAGCTTTATTCGAGACAAGTGTATGAAATCTGTTTAACACAAATTCCTTCTCCATATACATCTCAGCATAACTACTTCTTCCTTTGAATTGCCCAGGTAGCTGCTAATCTCCTGAGTGGAAAAGGTGGATGGGGGTGATATCTGGCCGAACCGATGAGGCTTGAGTGGCAGTCGTTGTCCTTGAAGGATTCAACATTTGACTGCTGAGAGAACTGAATTTGTATGCCGTCCATTTCTGTTTGCCATCTTGTTCCGTGAAGTCAAATGACAAACACCCCTCAGCTTCAAATTCAGTAAGGAGAGGTGATATGACAAAGAGTATGATATATATCCGTAATTTATGTATATTTACATTACAAAGGTTCTTCATATTTCATCGGCAGAACTTGCCATACAGTAGTTACTCTCTATGATAACTCGAATGGGTGAATTTGTTTTATTGCGGCACAAGTCTTCGAGTTACTGATTAGGACCAAGTCCATACTAGTTATTACTCTATCAAAATGTGGCTGAGATCATTCGCCAATCATATGACAGATGACAGAATCGCCCAATCATATCTATCAAACTGAACCGTACTTGACTATGTCAGAGATGAGATAATTGCAAACTGGTAACTAGTTAGTTAACTGCTGAATGGATGGGAAGAGTTGATGTCTCACTAGAGAGGTGTTCGCAGTGCCGAAGCTCTGAAAATCCAGATTTTGTGTCTCCCGGACCGCCTTTGCCCTCTTGTCATTACACGGCCAGAGTTGTTTGAGGGTTAAAATGGAAGTAGGATCTGCAAACTGTACCAGAGATCAATTCGACACTGAACTGGCAAAGGCTCTGCACACGTTGAATGTGTTACAATGACATCAGCCGCGCATCCCTTGGCTGCGATTTACTGGTTTCATAAAATCTTCTCTCAGAACCAAATCCCATCTGCATATAGATTTCGAGAAACCAGCTCGGGAAAATGTATGAAACTACGGCCTGTGAGACTTCTTTCTGGTTACGTGATGGCAGTGGTTAGTCGAGAGAGCAATATTGCGGTGAAACTTCATGCTTCAGTCATCCATCTGGATAGCTCTGGAGGGAAATATAATCACATTTACGAGGCAATTGGTTCAAGAGAGAAGATGCAAGATAACCATGGTATTTCGCCTAAACCGTAATATATGCGCAGGACATATATTCTTAAATGAGAATCCGATTGAGATAAGAGAGAGAGCTTGAGGGTTCTGTGGAGCACTGCGGTGGGAACTTAGCTAAACCCGGCCGGCTACTCTAGCAACACATACGTAGGACAGCTGCCCGAGTGCCTGGCTTCCCAACATCGTACCTAGGGTTCTAGTGGCACCGAACTTGGGAGTATTAGCATGGCCATTCAGGAAGCATGGAAAGAGGAATGACATTGAGCAGTGAAGATAATTATAGCTTACATGCGCAGAAGAAGCATTTCTCTAGCTCTGTCCATATACGGGTAAGCCATTATCACGTAAATGGCAGAATGAACCGGACGGTGAGAACATGAAATCATATTCTCACCGGAATGAATCAGCTGCTCCCCTGGAGACCAACTAGTAATAGGAATACTCAAGCCTGCGTGCTTGCACCGTCATTCCGCGAGATGGACCGGGGGACAAATCACCCATGAGCTAGATACTCTGCAATCACCACAGACTGGGGATTAGGCAGTGGATTTTACCTTCTTCTGGAGGGTCAGGATCAAGGTTGAATAAGATCATCCGGCCACAATACGAACGGCGGCTGCAAGATTCTCCGACCCTGCGCGAATCATGTTATCAAAAGCATCCATGGAGAGTTCTCGGACCCTTCATCATCACTAAAACTCAAGAAACTTCTCATCACGCATGGCAAGTAGGAGACAGCGTCAGGCAAGTCGCTCATCTCACCGCCTATTCTGTTGGGCGCCACTGTTGTCGGCTCAGCTTTGGTTCTTTGTCACAGAGCGCAAAGGCATCAAATTGTACTATAGCAAATGTGGACCGGTTCTCCTATTTACCACCAACTTATAGCCCTGTTTTCACGGGAAAACACCAAATGACATAGTTTCTATGAGATCGAATAGGAATGGACTGAAGTTAATGAGAAAGGAAAGACAAAATTGGAGGTAGAGTAACCATTTCAACTGGGCAGAATCTCACAGCGCACCTTCACAACAATATCTCTTCATATCCAGCTGTCTTTCAGCTAACTTTTGTCTTCGATACAAAAACTCGGACACCCTTGGAGTCAAGTTTGGCACGAGGAACAAAGAAGTCATGTTGCAACTTCACGTCGCTGACATCTGTCTCATAAAGTTTAAAGTCAAACTGACGGAAAACAAGTCCCATGGTACAATACAACTCTGCCCAGGCAAGACTACAAATGTGTAAATTGCCCATGTCTTGTTAGACTATGTTCTTAATTTTTCAACAGCAGTCCCAGATGTGCTGGGAAGAACTGGGGATCCAAGATAACAACTTACTTTATTCCTAAACACGACCTTGATCCTCGCCCAAATGCAACAAGATATCGCTCAAGTGGTGTCCCATCCGGCGCCAGAGGATCATCTAGCCATCTTTCGGGAATAAAAGAATGCGAGTCTGGAAAAATTTTTCCATCGTGGTGGACATCGACGATTGTCATTGCAACTGTTGTTCGTGCTGGAATCGTCCACTTCCCGTATTGCAGGTGCTGGTCCTGACTCCTGGGATTGCGAGCAGAGAGGCCGTATGAGAGCCGAAGAGACTCCTGGATGCACGCCTTAAGGTAGGGTAATTTCTCGAGCTCTAATAGTGTTGGAGAAACGTTGATATCTGGGAATGCCTTCACGAGTTCGGAGCGAAGCCTCTGGGAAATGTGGGGAGTGTTGGCGATATGAAATGTAGCCACTGTAAGGGCGTGTGCGGGAGACTCGATGCCACCACCCATTACGCTCTGTGCTTCACCAGCAAGACGATAATGTGACTTTTCCTGTGGCGGAAGGTCACTCTGCAGGATTTGTTGGAAGATAGTGGGGCGTGATAAGTTTTTCTCCAACGGTTCCTCTCCCCGAACGATACGCCCTGTCAAATCCAATAGATCCTGTGAATGTGATCATCAGCATTTTATGAAAGAGTCGATAGCTACCGGGAAATTCACCTTCTTCAACTTCAATAAGTTTGCCAGAGCAGGCTGCATCCGCTCTATCCATCGATCTGGCAACGCATTTATTAACTGCCTTTAAATTAGCACTTGATATCCGAATATTATGAGACCAGAACTTACTGGAAGGAACCAGGGAAACTGAGATGTGACGTGGCCAGACGCTCCCATGGACTGAAATGCTCCATGGAAAGAGTCAAACTTGGGAGAATCAAGCTGGTTATAGCCGAACCCGAGCGCATATTGCATAACAACATCACCGCTGAGGCAGGGATAGACGTCAGAGATCACCAAGGGTTGGGAGCTCTCCACGAACTCCGAGATTCTTTCGCAGAGCCGCTCCACACACTGACGTATTACAGGTTCAAAGTTTAAGGCCATTCGCCTTGAAAACCTATGTGTAGGAATGCGTCAGGGAATCATTCCCGAAGACATGATAGGCAATTAATAAACACCAACATTTGGCTAAGAGCCCCCCTTCTCTCGCGATGAAGAGTATGCTCAAGGGTGGTGAAAGTCACATCTTTCATCCCAAATTTATTTTCCCACCCAGGCTTGTCCAATCTTGTATTCTGCCCATAAGCCTTCTCGAAAAAGCTGCTGTCCCTGATATGGATCTCGTCTGGCGCTACCCGGATGATTGGACCTATATGAAAATTATCAGCTTTTGACCTTCAGGAGAGGGATCATTACAAAAGGCATATACCATATGTATCGTGCAACTCATCGATTTTGCGAGAGAACTGACCCAGAAGGACGATCTCATAGTATGCCTCATACCATCTGGTGAGTGCTGCGAGCTTTGGACCTGGAAAACCAGCAAGCGGACTGACATACAGCCTGTAGATAGCAAGATAGGCAAGATATATGAGCCAGGCTCCAAATGCAGCAGCAAACGTTTCAGGAGCCTTGGGGACAGTTATCTGGAATGCTCCCTCCGCCATCATTACTGTCTGTGAGTTGGAACCTGGAGAGGCATCGCGAGAGGGACTCGCAGATACGGCAGCCTTATGTTGCGGGCACATGTTCTACGATTCGCTAAGTTGGAACAATACTGACGAGTTAGAGACTGATGGATTCTCGAACTAGCTACCCCAGGGCTCGGCTGGCTGGACAATGGACCCCGGGAAGGATTGAAATGCATCTGGAGTTCTTGTACTAGTTTAAGTATCTCCAAGTGTCAAATGCTAGTGTCTCCACAGCGGACCGAACCCGTACGACCCATACGACCCATACGCGACCCATGCACCAACTTGCTTCCTTCGGGTCCTAATCACAATAGGGTTTCCCATTGCACGGCTGGATCATGAACTTGAGAAAAACAATAATCAACTAAATTGTTGGTCGCATTGAAACTACGGTTAGTGTGTCCGCTATTTGGGCCCAGGTGGGACCCCCCTGCCAGAGATAAATTCCCTGGCTTGCTTCTCTGCCCCGGGGTCCCTAAAAGACGTGTTCGGCAGGTTAGGAGACTCTTCAACACCCTGGCAAGCGGTTCACACAACAACATTACCGACTCATGATCAACAAAAGGCACAAAAAAGAGCCGATAACCTATCCTCAATACCTTACCCAACACCGAAACTCAACTCCCGGTTATTGATTTTGATGGCCGCAATGCAGGTTCGACCTTGGGTAACGTCGAGTGCCGCCCAATGTTAGATTTTTCCCTTGACGACATTGAATGGACTGGAAGTATGGTCCCGATGAAGCTTTTGATGTTATTCATGCACGTCAGATCGGATGCAGCGTCAGTAACTGGAACAACTTGCTTTCGCAATATTTTAGAGCACACGAAACCAGGTGGCTTGCTTGAAATCCAGGAGCCGGAGGCATGGATGAGGTCTGAAGTTGATACGATGAGCAACGAGACGGTATGTTCTCAGTTTAACGTCCTGTGCAATGAAGCCGCGAAGAAGTCCATGAAGAAGATGAATATGGCAGGTTAGTTAAAGGGCCTGCTTATTGACGCTGGGTTTGTGGATGTGCATGAGGAGGCTATCAAGGTATGACAAACGCAGCTGGTATCCCTAAGCATTAATTCGGTGGCCTTTATCATTTTGTAATTTCCCCTTTTGTCCATTCACATATTATATTTCTAATTTCTAAATTACGACTTCTCATCGTCCATGTATATTCATATAGCTATCCGTACACAAGTATCGTGCATAAGCATACTGTATGCAGGCACACAGAGGAAATGTTCCTGGCTCACTAACACAGCCAATAGCAACTGACATGTAGACACTGAACCGCCATTGCTATAGGCCGAACCCCTCTCCGCGCCCAGTTCCCACTCTGCGTTGCAAAACAAACCGGAGCTGTAATTGTGTGAAATATGCATTGAACGACGCGATTCCTGCGCCAATTCCCTTCCAACAATACAGAATGCATGTATGATGTTACCCTCGCAGCCTAATCTTGCTACCAACAACGTCGTGCTGGGCGTGCATGGGACGAGAAAATGGTATTGTCCTGTTGTTAATGCCTTGCCTTATCTGTGTATGCTGGCTAATTGTCGGTGAGTTTATATGGATTCTTCAATGTGACTCTATCGCCATTCCATTGTCTGACGATTTGTGGTCATTGAACGAGACAACCGACAAGCAGCCTATCTAATAAATTCCCAGAGATGACTCCTATTACATGCAGATAAACTATAAACCAAAGGTTCTACACAAGAAGATTCCCAGAACACCATGTCTTCCAACAAAACCCCTTTCTCCTGGGTGTTTTGGGGGGTACATTCCCTGTTTCAGGCAGCTCGTTCTTCAACTCGCGATATTAATGCCTTTTGAGATGTATAAAAAGAGCATAGGGGCTGAGGAATTTTGCTGTTCGGGTCAGTTCACACCGAATGAATCATTTGGCCATTTCGGCTGGTCGGGGGGATTAGCGTACATCATCGATGCGTATTATTATCTTCCGCGTCATGCCAGTCCTCTCCTGTATCCTGGCTGTCATACGAATCTTCGTCTCCATCACCGCCGGGCTCGATGCAATTGGACCTTACGCAGCGGACCATGATCAGCACAAAACTTAAATCACCCAATTTTCTCCTTCAAAAACTCTTTCCGCAAAAATCCACGCCTCCAACAACAACAACAACAACAACCCTCTTTTAATTTTTCCTTCCCGATTCCCCCTCTCCCATCCTCCCTGAAAGGAACACAGGCCCCACCCACGGCCAAAACTTACCAGTATGGAAGCCGCCTCCTAACACACCGCGACGGAATGTGATGGACAAAGAGATACACATTCCCGACATCATCCAGATGAATCCACTCGGGTACCGGATAATTCAACCACTCCAACGCCTCGGGAACAAAAATAAACACAATCGGACCGTACTCGCGCATATCGCTCCCCGTGATCGCGATGTGATAGACGGCCACATTTTGGATACCCCGCTCAGCCCTGCGGCGCGCTTCGTGGTCTGCCGATGCCCAGTCTGCAAAGACAGATATGAACGGCGAGGGTTCGAAGGGCGGCAGATCTGGAGGCTGTGGACGGCGCCCGTGTAGATGGCCTAGGATTTGGTATTGGAGGACCATGTATTCGTGGTTGGAGGCTAGAGCGAGTGGGACTTCTTCTTTGGAAGCGGCATGTATGCCCTGCCCTGAGACGTATTTAGCTCTGGACCTTTCGTCCTCGACGCGGTAACCGTTGAAGACGAGGCGTTCGTTTAAGTCCAGGGGTTGGGGGCTGGGAGGGAGTGACACTAAGGGTTCCATTGTTTTTGTTTCTTCGTCTTTTTTTTATTATTTTTTTATTATTTGATTTTATTATTGGTATTATGTTGTTGTTGTTGTTGATGTTGATGTTGTTGATGTTGTTGATGTTGTTGATGTTGTTGTTTGAAAGATGCAGCAGTGAAGATTGGGGAAACTGGCTTCACTTGACATTATGTATTTGTTTGTGCGCAGGTTCCTGGTTGTGATAAAAGAGTCGGTTATACACAATGCATCACGGTGTGTATTGGATAGTTAATAATTGTTTTGGGGCCGGGTAAGTGTGAAGGTGTCTGCTGGGAAGGAGAGAGAGCCATGTTGCGCGATCTCTGTCTCTGTCTCTGTCTCTCTCTCTCTCTCTCTCTCACTCACTCACACACACACTCTCTCTCTCTCTCTCTCTCTCTCTCTCTCTCTCTCCGTTGGTCTCCCCCTTTTTGTTTTTTTTTATTTTTATTTTTTTTACTTTTTTGCCCCGTTGAATCGCTAAAGTGTTGGTTAGTCCCAAGCAAGAGATCAAAAGATGTTTTTGAAGTAGCCAGCGCTCTGCTATTTTAACCGGTATTCCTGCAGTTGACGCAATGATGCGTTTGCAGTTGGGTGGTGCAAGCCCTGATTCAGCCACATCTCACGCAACTGTGTGCAACCAATCTATGATGTTCTGATGAACCATCTGGAGAGGTTTAGTAAGAGGACAGATACCTGGCAATGGTGACAATGACAAACGAGGAAAGCTTGTCGGAACGACTGACTAACTGGCGAAAGAACTCGAGGAATGAAGTACTTCTTCTTCCTCTTCTTCTTCTTCTTCTTCTTCTTCTTCTTCTTCTTGACGGATGATATGGATACCATTGCTAGTTAACCGTCCCCTCTGCCTAACATCTTATGTCTAGAGACCGTGGAGTGCTAGGCCACCAACCCCTGCGCCCTCCATCTACCACCCGTCCCTCTCATCAGTGTATCAGAATAATTACCGCAGGGCCCAAACAAGACAACAGAACTTGGCCAGACCCGGAACACAAAGTAGTCATCCCCCCTTTCCATGTGATACTCTCCCGCAGCCCTGGAGAAGGTTAGTTAAAGATAGAAACCATCCAAGGCCAAAGCGACAGCCAGGAGGGAGGGGGGGAAGAAAAAGCCAGCCAGGCACACTCCCGCCTCCATCCTCAGATCAATAAGCGTTCAAGTCTCTCTTCTGGATCCTCCGCTCCGAGTGAGAGAGTTAGTTATCCCTTTTCCAGCCACAAGCGTTGAACAGAGTCGCCTCTCACACTGCTGAAATTTCAGTCAACCATCTTCGTCCCGAGTTACCTTTCAGCAGCCCTATAAACCATCCTGCCAAGCGTCCACATGGAAGAGAACATCCGCCTACATAGTTAGTCGTTTTAAGTCGCGCTCGGTCCCTTGGAACGTATGTACTGGCATTATTATGGAGGATAGTTTAGCTAACTAGTGGACAGCTTGTGAGTTTCATTTAGGCGCCCGGAAAAAAAAGGAAAAGAAAAGGGGGGGGGGAAGATGGTTAACTACAGATGAGAACTAGCGTAACCGGACCGTTCAAGACAGCTAAAAATTGCGAACATGGACACGGCTCGTATTTTTAGTGCTTGGGGACAAGGGCTGCTGGAAGCGGGACGCGACTGTAGAAGCAGAAAGAGGACATCTGATTCGGTGCGCATGTGGCAGGTTCTATTTTTGCTTATTCTACCTTGGTCAGTGAGGGTAGTTGGGGAGTTGAGAAGTGTGTTGTTGTATGAGAGTCGAAATCTCCTTGATTAGATTGTGATTCTTGGGTGCGCCGCACGCTCATAAATAATAAGTAATAAAAATATCCCCCAAGGTTTAAGGGACCCGTCGATACTATTGTATTACTTTTGCCTTGGTAAACAACGGTGAGGAGCTACTCCGTTCCGGATTTGCAATTGTTGCAGGGGAGAGGGGGAATGGGTTTGTGGCCCATTCACACCCACTGAACATGCTCCATCCACCCCAGAAATTCAAAAAGAAAAAGAAAAAGAATGCGATGGCCAAGAGGAAGTCCTTCCTGCGGAGTACTCCAGCCTCAAAAAGCCGTTATCCGCTGCCCATGGCTGGCTGGGTTCATGTGGTGTGGATAAGCAGCTGCCTCTAGAAACTTTTGCGCCCAGAGCCCTTTTTCCCATTCCCTATCTCCCCATCCCCCCCCCCCCCCCCCCCCCCCCCCCCCCCAACCAGTCGGATAAACAAAATATCCCTACGTTTGCTTTTCTTCTGCTGTTTGTTGTTCCTGCGCGGAAGTCCGTGAAACGAGCAACCAACTGCATATATTTGCACATCTTTTCCGATCTGGAAGATGACGGTTGCATCCATACCACTCACTGACAGGCCGCGGAATAATAAAAGTCCACGGAACTGAGATTCTAATAACCCCCAGCATCAATGCATGGATGGCGCGTGTTGCGGAACTCCGAAGCGACCAGGGAGGGCTTGTTGTAGATGGTCACGGTAGTTCATAATATGGAACTCTGTGCAATCCGTCGCGTCAACAAATGGCAGGCAGCAGGGCAAATTCTCCCGGCACCAAGGGTGGAAGAAGATCCTTGGAAGTTGGACGACGCAAGAAGGGAGGGGGAGGGTCATCTGCGTTGGCGACGTGATGGATCTCCTTTGATTAGTTCCTCCCTTTTTTTTTTTTTTTTTTTTATTTTTATTTTTTTTTTGCCGGGTGTGCGTTGTTATTAGTTGAACAGCCACTTCCTGCATGTGTATATCGTGTGTATTCCCATCTAAGACGGGGCGATTTCAATCATGTAAACACGGAATATGCGATCAGTCAGTCGCTGGGGATACGGCGCAGGTAGTTCATGTCCTTGCCCTGAAGTCCTGCGTTGTGGGAGAATCCTCAGCCGCGGGAAGTTTGGTGCCACATACCGCATCTTTACCAAAATTACACTCTTGCGGGTCGAGAAACAGCCCTAGTGCAGCCAGATCCTGCAAGGCAATTGGCTGTGCTGGTGCTGGTTGCTCGTGCTCGTGTATCTGCACTGTTCATACGGAGTGGTATGTGTGTGTGTGTGTGTGTGTGTGTGTGTGTGGTTATATAACCTGTAATTGGGGGAGTTGGGATCAATCCGTGCGCCTGTGGATGAAGACCAGGAAAAAAGAAAACAACGATCAAAATAGACCGAAGAAGAGACAGAAGAGGCAGAACTTAGACGACTCAGAAGAGAAACCGGTATCATTTATTTATTTATTAACCAACTAAACTATTCAGAGGAGCTTACCCGGTTAATAAAGAATTAGAAGAAGTATTATAACTACACTCTCCAATATACACTCTTCCTTTTCCCTCCTTCCAGTCGCCTAACGTTTACTCTCCCAACTTACCTCTCTCCGCCTCACTTTTTCTCTATTTTACCTTTTCATCTCGCCTCACCAACCGCACTCCCGCACCCTCTTTCTTGCACTTCGCATCCTCACACACACTCCAACCCCTCTTGAGCTCCTCGGGCCTCTCGGGCATCAACACCTGCCAAGATCAGCCCCATCTGCTCTCCCGCCTAACCGTTCCCGTTCCCAGTCCAGCATCTGCTGCAAATCTGGTGTCCGTTTTCGTCCCCTACTCCTCTAGTATCCTCCCTGATCTTCCCGCGATATCATGGTGTCGTTTCAATGCGAGGTGAGTTGTAGCCTTTTTGCGTCTTCTTTGGCGATTTCAAAGAGACTTCGATTGACTGGCGGTTTACTCACGCCCATTATTTCCCCTCTTATCCTCTCTTATTCTATTGTGGAGTGGCGTAAAGTATCCGTGAAAAGCAAGGAGAGAGAAAAGAAAAGAAGAAGAAGAAGAAGAAGAAGAAAAAATAGAAAACGACTCCCTGCTAACTGAACCCGGCTTCACAGGCTTGCGGCGATGTCATCACCAAGAAGAAGACTGATCCCCACCGTAACCAATGTCATGGCGCTCGTTTCTCTTGTCTAGACTGCTCAGTCGAATTCCCCGGAACCTCATATAGAGCCCATACAGTAAGCCGCCATGATTTTTTTTTTTTTTTTAACTTTCTTTTATTGTATCAGCTTCTTGCCCCTTTATTTGCTCTTCCATTGGACCATTTCTCGTCGCAATGCCTCCTTGCCTCATATATCTGCCTCTACATTCACATCATTGTCGCCAATTCGACATACCTGATTTAGCTGTTCGATACTTGTTGTTGTTGTTGTTGTTGTTGTTGTTGGTGCCGTATGTTCGCGCTTAAGCGTTGGTTGCATAATATTTTGTGCGCGCCGGCCAGCGAGACAGCGGGAATGCGACGGACAAATGATTCGTTTACGGATAGGGCAGAGAATCCTCTCATGTCTCCTTGTCTCCACGTATGACCGCGCTGATTTGGCAGACGGCGTCCATAGCCTGCATCTGCTGCGTGATAGTGTCTGCGGGTGCCATTGGGCAGCAATTAGCTCATGACATTCCATTCGCGGCATTCCACCCTGAAATCTTAGACAATCTACAGGCAGATAAAGGGGCTGACTGGTGCAATATTATTTCCCGCTAACTCTTTTCTGGTTCTTTGAATCGCCCTCTAGTCTTGTATATCCGAAGCCCAGAAATACCAGGGTGCTCTCTACAAGGAGAAGCCCGGCAAATTCAAGAAGGCCAAGTCCGTGACCATTGTTGAAACCCCGACCTCCAAACCCGTTGGCCCCCGTGACCCCTGGGTAGAAGATGTTACAGATGTTGACGATATCAGACCTAAGAATAATAAATCTGTTCCTCCGCATGCCCCCAGTCCTCCGCCGGCTGTCCCCCGCCCGGAATCCGGAAAGTATACTTCTGCTACAACCAAGTCCAGTGCCCACGTGAACGTCTTTGACTTCCTCGATCCGTCTGACACCCCAAATGCATCGACAGTTTCGCTTGGAGGATCGAAGGAGCCCATGGTTATGCTGAAGCACGCACCCCCGCTTTTCAACACACCCAAGGAGCTTGCAAAGCTTGCTAAGGGAAAGGACGACGAAGTGATTTACGACTTGGCCTATGAAGAAAACGGTTTCTCCTATGGCGCGGATACCCTCGAGTCTCCAATATACCAAAACGGCGCCGCAATGGATTCCACATCATCTATTTATAACAACTTCATGACCCCTGCACCCAAGCGTAGAAGAGACCCACCCCGCCAAGAACGTGCTTCGTCCCCAGATCAAGCCACCACAAATGGTGTAGCAGGCACGGGAGATAAGAAGCGCAAACGTGGCCATATTGAAGATATCAACCCCGAAATCGCCAACTCGGCGACATACGCTGATGATACTCCAATGCTTGACTCCCCACCATCAACAGCAAATGCTGCTTCTAACCCGCTAACACCGTCCCTGAACCACTCAGGACTGACTGGCGGCCTAAACCGCATGATGAGAAATTACTCACGGACCCCAGACGCAGATAACAAAACCGATGATGACGATAGCGACAAGGGACATCGACGCTACCCCCAAGATCCCGCATCGCCTCTCAAACGCACGCGCAGGGTTGACAAGGAAACTAGCAACAATGGTAGTACTAGCAGTCACACCGGTAATGCCGGTGGTGGGAGTCACAGTGACGGCGCCGGGATCGCCATCAAGGGCCGCGCGGGTCGCATCATGTCCTTCCTTGGCGGCGCGGGGATCAACGGCGTCACCGTCAATGGTTCCAGCAATGGCTCGGTTAGCCGTGCGTTGGTGCGCACCCGACGACGCTTACCGTCAGATGGCGCTACTCCTGCTGCTGCTGCTGCTGCTAGACGGCAAAAGCGACTCCATCACGTCGAGCAGCCGGATCGCTTGGCGAGGCGGCGCAATCTTACTAGCAATAGAAACGGAGATGGATATGATGAGAATTTCCCGCGTCGTCTAAAGGCTATTGAGTATCGGATTGATAGCGGGTCGGAGAACCGGTCGCGGTCACCGAATGGGTTGCAGGAGGTTGGTAGGGAGGGTAATATTCTTCGGCTTGCCGGGGGGGAGAATCGGCTTGTTGTGTTTCAGGGGGATGAGGAGGGTGAAGATATCAATAGTCATAATAATAATAATAATAATAATAGTAATAATAGTAATATCAACGGCATTAATATTAGCGATGGGGATGGGGAGATGGAGAGGAGGGAGAAGGCTGGGGCGTTTTTGGCGCTTGTCAATAAGGGGCCGGAGTCGGAGAGGGGGTGGTCAATTCACAAGGCACTCAAGAGGTTCCATCGGGAGCTTGGAGGGGGGGAGGTTGAGGGCGGTGATAGGGAACGGGATGCGGGGAAGGATAGGGGGAGGGGGAGGGGAAGGGATAGCAGGGATCGAGAGAGGGAGAGGGAGAGGGAGAGAGAGAGAGAGAGAGAGAAGAGGATTGAGGAGGAGAGGGAGTTGTGGAGGACTTTAAGGCTGAAGAGGAATGATAGGGGGGAGGTGGTTGTTTTCATTTAGATGGAGAGCTGTCTATTGTTTTGTTGTCTGGGGATTTCGGTTTTTGATTTGTGCCTTTTATCACCATTTATGCATTTCAATCTGTCTTTCTTTTTTCTTTCATCTTTCATTTTTCTTTCTTTCTTTCTTTCTTTCTTTCTTTCTTTCTTTCTTTCTTATTTATTTATTTATTTATTTATTTATTTATTTATTTATTTCTTCCTTGTTTTCTATTTTTTTTCTTCTCTTTTTTTCTCTCTTTCTTATTTATTCCGCCCTTTTCTTTTGCTTCTCTTCCTTTTCCTCCTTCCTTTCTCTTCTCCCTACTTTTCATTCATTCTGCTTCTCGTTCTGATTAACTGGGCTTTTGACATGAATATACAAGGCAATACGACTTTCGGTTTACATATGGAGGAATCAGTGAACAGGCATTTCCTTTCCTTTCTATATTACCTGTTTTTTTCATATATTTTTTTTTTTTTTTTGCACCTTTCTTCTTGATCCTTTTATATAATCTCTGTGCTAGTTTTTGGCTATGATGTTGTTTATCTTTAACTGTTCTTATGCTGTGTCATTTAGCCATCTTCATTTCTGAATCTTGAAGAGTTCTCCTCAATATGGAAATGAGGTTGAATGATATTCATATACTATTGTCAAGGCTCACCAGTTTTTCATGTAGAAACTTTCTAACTATTTCCGTATCATCATCATTTACTCATCTATATATATACAACTCATGCCCTAGGCCTGAGTCAAGTTCTAAATCATTTAAGAGAATTGCAATAAAATTCAACGTCGTGACACTGTATTTCATGATACAATAAGCATCATATAAGACTGTAGGTCGTCATGCACATTAAGGAGTAAAAAAAAAGGGGGCGTAGCAAACTAACAAAAAGATATCTGAACTAATTTCAGAGAATCTGCTCAAAGCATGAGAGAGAGAAGATGAACACAGACTGTTCAAAAGTTGATTAGAGATTGAAAAGCATATGCCTCATTCTCCTGACTGAATTGCCTTCCCCTCTTCATTTGACATCACATGTTTGTCTGGAATCCCCTTTGCATTTCCAGTCTCATTCTCATTCTCATCTTTTCCTTCACTCGCACCGTCACCATCTGCAACTTGACCACCTTTTTCCATCTCCCTCTCTTCCCTCTCAACCGCCTCCTCCCAATCATCCACAACATCCTCCACAAAACCCGCAGGGAATTTCCTCCAACCACCACCAACACCAGAGCTGGGGGTAGCAGCCTTTCCCCTCCCTCCAACCCCAACTCCACTCCTCAGAACTAACGTCCCGCTCATCCCCCCACCAGCACTCGTACCGCCAACGTCTCCAAATCCAAACTCAGATTCTGCCAATCCCGTATCCACCACGGGTCGTTTCCGCGACGCAACCTGCGCCCACCCATCACCTCCCGCAGACGCCACATGGGTAGAACCATCCCCATCACCACCAGCGTACACCGCCCGACTCTCCATCTTGTTCCTCTCCGCCGCCGCAGCAGCTATCCTCCTACTCTCTCTTTCCCGCGCCCGCTCCCTCTCACGCATCTTCGCGCACTCACCAACACTAACCCCTCCAATCCCAATCCCCACCACGGCCCCATCAACCTCAGCCCCAAAACCACGCGGCGGCATCCAATGCGTGCTCTTGAACACGGCGACGTGTCGATGTGGCTCCGGGTCACACGATTCGGACTTGAAGCCCCAGTCCGTGGCTAGGGAGTGGATGAAGGCGCGCACTTGGGAGCGGGCTGGCGGGAAGCGGGCGGTGCGTTGTGTTTGGCTTGTTGCGAGGCTGTGGAGGATCGTTTCGTAGCTTTGCAGAGTAGTTAGAGTTGAAGTTGCGGAGAGGGTGAGATACAGGTCTAGGGTTTCGGAGGAGTAGGGGAAGTTGGCCGGCGTTGAAGTTGGGGATTGGCCATCAGCAGTTGCGGTTATGACGTTAGTTGTGGTTGTGTGAGGGTCTATAGAGATGTTTAGGGCAGAGGCAAGGGAGCGGTTGCGCTGGAGGCGGGCGCATTCGTCGTCGCATTTTAGTGGCACGGGCGATTGATGATGTTGTTGGATGCGGGTTTTGTTGTCTCGTGAAGCGTTGCAGCGCTTCTCCTGTTTTAAACGACCGCAGGGGCATGTTGTTGTGACTAGGGATTGGCATGGGGTTTTCTCCTGGCAGGGGAATGGAGCGTGACATGCATCCGTACATGGGTGGGAGCAAAGCTTTTTTATCTTACCGCATGGCTGGCGACAGGGCTCGAGGACATCCTCGCACTCCCCCGGTCTATGGCAGGGTTTCTTGCATGTGTGGGAGCCGCACTTGATCTCCTTGCCGCAGACAAGGCCACAACGGGGATCTGTTAGCCAACAAGGTTGGTTCTTCAATGACTTCTTCCCACACAAGCAGCTTTTTTCTGTTAAAAACGGGCATTTGGGGCAGCTTTCGTCATCTGTATGACAGTTGTGCGACGTCTGAGGATGTCCGCATGACTTTGGTCTCGCGCAATCGTAATGGCAGGGAGGAGGACGAGTGCCACATGGTAATGGTGGGTAAAGCACTGATCTGCCGCAGTTGCAGGATATTTCATCGAATATTGCCTCTGGACATGTACCACAGCTTCCCTTGTGGCACAGTTCCTGGCACGTATGTATGGAGCATTTAAGCATCCTGCCACAAACTCGGGTACATATATGTTCCGCTTCGATGTCGTTGACATGAGTATGAACACCAACAGAAATCGACCTTAGCTTGCGTTTCGTGGCTTGCCGTTCGATTGCCTTGCGCTCACCGGGGCAGCACCGCTCACCGCAGGCGTGTCGACCACAGTTCATCGTGGCCTTACACATCCGGAAGCAGTGAGGTGGTTCAATTATACCTTGATGGCATATTGATTGGAAAGAACTTTTCCCACATCGACAGTTTATGGACACTCTTAAAAAACATGGCGGGCACGGGCCGGTGTGGCAGAGAACGGGGCAATGGTGTTGACATGGGAGGGGTTTTCCACATGGTTCTTTGCAATTTGGTATGGGATCTTGACAAGATTTCCTAGGTTTGTAGCCAGGAATATGTGACAATGGTGTCTTCCCACATCCACAGCGCGTTACAACATCAGGAGAACTGGGACAATGCGGAATGCTTGGGTGTTGTGGATGGCACCGCTTCTGGCAAGTATGGAGTCCACAGTCAAACGGGCGATTACAGATCTCTCCACAATCAAAGCAGCCTAACCATTCCTCCACTTTTTCTCCAGATACGTTCTCACCATGGGCGAGACTACTCTTTTTCTCCTCCTCGCGATTACTGCATACCATCCGTGTCTGCGACTTTCCGCAATAACATCTGGCATCGACAAGCTCCTCGCAAGCTCCGCAAAGCCCTTCATGACACGGTCGACTGCACTTGTGTTGAAGACATGGCAATAACTCCCCGCACGGCTCCTGGCAACTCCACCCGTTCTTGTAATCCGTATCAACACATTTCTTCCTCGACTCATGGCGCCCGCAGAAACAAAACTGTGTTGGCCCCATAGCCATACAAGGAGGGCAAGGACCCGCATGACACACAGAATCACAGGGATGTGGACATCCTTTCCTCGCCTTGGAACAAGTCTGTCCGCACGAATGGGGTGGCAACCCAGGTAGAGATCGTGGATCCGTCTCCTTCTCGCACCAGCATGTATATGTCTGTGGCAAAATGTCGTGAGGCAAATTACACCCAGGACACCGCCACTGTCGCGGATGCTCCTCCCCGTCTTCATGTCCTTGCTGCTGTCTTGGTCTCGACATTACCGAGCCCTCATTATTTGACCATTTCTTGATACAGGTGAGATGGAAGACCGTCCAGCATAACGTACATGACCACACCTTCGATTTGCGACCAAGTTCGCTCGTGCAGATGGGACATTCGTACAAACCGTTGGCGATATCTTCATGTGTGCAAGTGGCAATGTCGTGAGCGGTAGATTTTGTTTTTGTAGCCGATCGTGTGTGGGCAGGAGTAGGAACGGATTTTTGAAAACCGGCTGAAGACGCAGATGTAAGGGTTCTGAATGGGCGACTGGAGGAAGGGGGATAAACTTGGACTCCGGGTACGAATTCCGGCGCATTGTGTTGTAATGAGGCCTGGTCTCCCCGATCAAGAAAGGCGTCTCCTCTAACATTATTAGTTCCCTCTGGCTCCTCTCGCGTTAATCGGCCACCAAAGGACCTCGCCGTTCCGGTCACTGTTCTCGTAGTAATTGCAGCATCACCTCGTCCCCTGCTTCTTGTTGAAGTTGTCCCAGTTCCAGGTCCTCCACGATTTAGTCCCCCACCTCTTCCTCTTTCTCTCCCATAAAACAATGATCTACCACGAGCTGTATTCACATTCCCACTTCCTCCACGGTTTCCTCCTCTGCCCCGGCGTGAGGGGCGTCCTAAGAACGTATTATGCGGATTTGATCTCTGATCACCACCACGGGATTGATCCGGGGTAGTTTGCACGGCTGAAGATAGCGGTGAGATTTCTGTTCTTGTTGTCATAACTAATGACAAGCTGACTGTGATATTCGTGGGGCAGGGAAATTCGACCCTGTCGGCACTTTTCTCCAATTTTCCCGTGTGATGCTCAAAGGGGATTTGAGCAAATACAAAAGGTTTTCAAAAAAAAAAAAAAAAATGGCAGCACAGCCTGGTCTGTGCCGTCTGATTGGTTTAAATGTATCTTTAGTTTGCGGGGAATGAATGGCGCACCTCAGGGAGCTCTCAGTGAAAGACAGTGAGATCAAAAAGAAAAACGAGCCTGATAAAGCAAATATTAAAAAATGAAGAGTAAGAACCTAGGAAATATACTCCTAGGTATTAAGACACAGTTCAGGTTGAGGGCAGAGAGATCTTGTTTGAAGTTCAAGAATAAGATACCAAAAAATAAAGCGCGGAAGAAGTTGCCTATGAAGCCGCACTCGAGACACTAAACCCAATTAGGGCTCATGGGGTGTGATGAGTCATCATATCAGAGTTAGTTACGGGGCGGAGAAAAAGCATAAAAGAATTATCCAGAACCTTCAGTTGTTCTTTTTCAGTTTCATTTTGAACACAACTACCTCATGAGGATGGAATGAGATGTAGAGATGTGAGATGTGAAATACGAGGGATATTTCTCTCCCTACTGCCTGCTGGGCAGCGCCGACAGATGCCATGATGGCAGTCTCTTGTCGGGTTGCAAGCATGCTCTTCTACCATTTCGTCCCAGGGGATGGATTGATGATATTTGGCTATAGTATTTACACCTCTCTTCTCTCTGGGTTCGATGTCATTCTTCATCGTAGGTACAGTGGGAGGCGAACCGGCCGAGGTTCCATCCGACTTTGGAGTCACCTTCAATCCCAAAATCACCCCACTTCCCTGGATTCTGTTTCTACTCGTTGCAGTCAATAACTAGTCATCTCAACCTGAACTATTAACTACCCAATAACAGTCCCTCATCGGCTCTTAACTACCCATCTATGCATCAGCTGTGTCATCCAGTCGATTTTATTCGCCTATAAAATGCCCAAGAGCCGGTGGATTCCCACTTCTCGCTCATAATCCACTACCCGATTGGCTAACTGTATCCGGCTGGACAAATGCGTGTTGCTCGCAGCAAGAACAAAATGACTTTTATTGCAGAAGATATTCATTGCATTTTGAGAAGTTAACTCGTCAGTTAGGTAGTTACCAAGTTGTTCTCCAGGTTTTGTGTCGCCCGTTGTTTGTGGTTGGTAGCAAGCAGGGTTGACATCACGGTCTTATATAAATATAAAGTTTGGTATTCCATGATATCGATTCCATCGCCTTGTTACTTTTTAACACTAACTTGTCTACGAATACTAGTTACAGCATTTTTCCAGTTGAAATAATATGCATGGATGGAAATGTGCTTCGGCTAAATTCCAAGGTTGGGAATCACTGTGTAAAAGAGTTCCTAGGTGCCTAGGCACGGTTTAAGGCCTGCAGTGTCCCACTATTCATACGGTTCGTACTACGGAAACGTAGCAATTTGTGGGGAACCTCGTGTGTTTCGGCGCGTGTTCTCTGCGGCTGATTGATTTTAAGTTGACTCCCGGGTTGTTGGTTAGTTGCATTCCAAGCCTTTTTATGCTTTGGTTACAAGGATGTAGTGGGCATAAGTTTGATTTCTGAAGAACTCCACTTGCTCACTCGAGGATGAGAGAAAACGTAGCCAAAACCCCAGGAATAGGGAATTTCGGAATGATGTTCCTTTCTTTGTGCCCCAAATTCTTAAAAATACTTCCAAATTGGTTGGTTTTGGTTCAGGCTCTTTGTCTTTTCATCACCATCGTGAGCAGCAGCAGCATCTTCTTTCTTATACCACAGCTGGACTGGACCCTTCCACACCAAACAACGCCTCTCGAAAACCCAGTCCTGTCAGCTGGGTTTACGAAATAGCACTCTATTGCTTGTAGTTTAACTCAAACTCTGTCAACCCCTTCCCCTACTCCCCCTTTTCCCCTTTCCCGATAATCAGGCCCAGAACCTGCCCAGCAGCAGTTGTATTACAGAGAGTCTAACTATACCTCCCAAAGAGAGAGCCCTGGGTTGCTCCAACTGCGGCTGGCTACTGCACCGCGCAGTTCTATCCCCAGGTAGGAAGTTGGTCAATCTGGTACCACACCAGTCGGGACGCATCCAAAATCAAAATAAATAAACTCACGAAGAAAATCTTGTGAAACGGAAGTCTGCTCGGCTGAGCAAATCCCGACATCGGGAGATTCAAGTTAATACACTCTGTTCCCCCCCCCCCCGTTGTGAGGAGAGAGTTTCTCTCTCCTCCCCCTTTCTTGGGCCAAGATGCTCACCGGTTTACTTGCAACTGTCTCTTTCGCGGCCATGATGCTGCTGACGGCGTTCTATCGTTTCTCGTCCATTGCGACATTCAGGGCAGCGTGGAATGTCAGTTCTGGTCAGGGACAGGCGAAAACTGGTCCCGATGGTACTCCCGGCAATGAAGACGCTCCTGGTCGCGGTTTGGGTGCTGTTGCATCTGAGAACGGATATTGCAGCGGACTGGGCGTGGGGATGTTGAAGGAGGGAGGAAATGCTGTTGATGCTGTGAGTCTTTTCATATCATTTTTTCCCTTTTTTGGGTGAGTAATTGAGCCCTTTTTCATTGCTGTTGCAAAATTATCACTATGCATGGTTTGTTTTGTATCAATTCAAAGCGTCAGCTATGTATCTCCACATGCATAATCAAGAGCAATCAAGAAACGAATTGGCTTTCTATGCTCTTTGAAATGCTAACAACCATGACTAATTCAAACGACCAGATGGTTGCAACTGTCTTCTGCATAGGGGTAACTGGTGAGCCACCATCAACATCTTACATCATTTTGGGTCAGATATGTTCCCTTGCTGATCGCATCATCGCTTTGCTAGCAATGTATCATTCCAATATTGGGGGTGGTGGATTTGCTGTTGTTCGCACGCCAGAAAATAGATATGAGTTCGTTGATTTCAGAGAGACAGCACCTGCCGCTGCATTTGAGGATATGTATAAAGATAATGAACAAGCATCCATAACTGGTGGGTTGGCTAGGTATATGATCTTCATTCTCACTTAGTAAAACTTAAGTTTATACTAACCAATTGCAAATCCTTTCTTTCATATCGTCTGCAGCGGCGTTCCAGGTGAGGTTCGTGGGTTGGAATATCTGCATAAGAAATATGGCTCCCTGCCGTGGCCAAAGGTCATGCAGCCTGCCATTCGCACTGCGCGGGATGGGTGGCGGGTAAATGAGGATCTGGCCCGTATGATGGAATCTGAGACAAAGGATGAAGATTTCTTGTCCAAAAATCCATCATGGGCCATTGACTTTGCACCAAATGGAACACGACTGGGGCTGGGAGACATCATCACCCGTAGAAGATATGCTCGTACTCTCGAACAAATCGCTAATCATGGCCCCGATGCCTTTTATTCCGGTCCCATTGCTGAGGCCACGATTCAAGCCCTTCAGGCTTCGAATGGAACTATGACTCTGGGCGATTTGAAGAATTATACGGTGATGATTCGAAATGTCTCACAGATCATGTATCGGGGCTACAGAGTTACCGGTGCGAGCGCTCCGTCAGGAGGTTCCGTTGGGCTGAGTATTTTGAACATTCTGAATCAGTACGATCGCTTCTTTTCACCAGGAACTGTAAATCTCAGTACACATCGAATGACTGAGGCGTATCGTTTTGCCTACGGACAAGTGAGAATTCCCAGCCCTTTGTTAAAAATAAAATGACAGGTTTGGGTACTGACGGGGATCATCCCTCTTACCATCTCAGCGGACGAACCTGGGTGATCCGTCCTTCGTAGATAACGTCACAGAATACGAGGAGGACATGCTTAGGGTCTCCACGGCTGCTCAGATTCGAGCCAAAATCTTCGATGAAAGCACCCAGAATGTGTCCGTATATGATCCAGCGGGACACCAAATTTTAGAAACGTACGATTTCATCCCCAACCTCTCCTCTCCGAGTATTTGACGAACCACAGGGACCAACGCCAGAGGAAATCATAATTTTTTCTTTCAAAGGGGGAAGTGCTAACACACATACCCGTAGGCCCGGCACCTCCCATCTTGTCTCAACCGACAGGACAGGGCTCGCCGTTAGCCTCACCACAACTATCAACTTAATATTCGGCAGCAAACTCATGGTCCCCGAAACCGGTATAGTCATGAACAATGAGATGAACGACTTCTCCATCCCAGACACCAGCAACAAATTCGGCTACATCCCCACACCGGCCAACTTCATCCGTCCAGGAAAACGCATGCTCTCCTCCATGTGCCCCATTATCGTCACGCATCCAGACGGTAGCCTATTCTTTGTGACAGGTGCAGCGGGCGGCTCACGCATCATCACCGCCACAGTGCAGAGTGTGATCAATGTCATTGATAGAAAATTGAATGCGTCTAGGGCGCTCGAAGAACCCCGTCTGCATGACCAGCTGGTGCCGAATTTGACGTTGTTTGAGTGGGCGTTTGATAACAGCACCGTGGAATTTATGGCGGAGAGAGGTCATAATGTGACGCCGGTGGCGCCGGGGTTCAGTTCAGTGCAGTGCATCCAGGTGTTGGGAAATAGTACCTTTGAAGCTGTTGGAGAACCGAGACAGAAGAATTCGGGGGGGATTGTTGTATGAGCTCCGGGTCTGGTGTATTGATATCTCGAGATTTCTCCCTTTTTATACCATAATACCCATTTCGCGTATTACGCATAGAATAAAAACATGATTTTATAGGATACGCAGTTTAATAAGAGCAACATAACGTAATCCACAAGCGAGTCGGCCACCAAAAACTTGATGTTAAATACTAGATGTTAAAGGGTTGAAGATTGGAAATAGTTGACAGGAAGTTAACTAGTTATATATTCTTCAAAAATGCTGACTGTGAAGATATTGCTTGTTTATCTAGGTTTAGCATCATTCAACAAGTCTACTAGTAACATTAGTTACTATTCAGCCTGGGTTAATTTAGTGGCATTTACATGTAAATTTGTCCTTGAAGGCTTTGCCATTAAGTCAGTCGGTTCAAGTAGAGTGAGATATTTTATATAAGTAAGCAGCCTCATGAATTAAAGTTATTTCTTGACGTAAGAGCAATAATTGCAAGCTCATGTCTGCCCTATATCATAGAGGTTGCTTGAGATTTGATGGCCGACTCGCTTGTGGATTAGTTTACTAACTACGTTAAATATTTAGCTCTTCTCTTCGTCTGAGAATATAAGAGAATCAGTTAGATTTCCTCTTAGTTTGTTAATTTAACTTAGAAAAGTACAGAATATATTGATTTTAATCAGATCAGGATATTCATATATTGTAGAAACACTATTGCTCACCTGTTGAGCCCCGCTGTTTATCTGATGAGGGACTTAGTGCTCTCAACTTATATTAAAAGCGACAGTGTTCGGCGTCAACTATACACGATAGTCAGTTTCTCCATCCAGGAATTGCTGCACTTCACATTTCATATAATGAATGAATGGATGTTTGAACTTGCTTCTGATTGGTTTCTCCACGGAATCGATATTGAATAAGTGGGAAGTCCGCAAAAGAAAAATGATATTCATCATAGGTCTCGTTCTACTTATCAAGCATTCCCATATATTCTTAGTAACCATTTATCATAGTTGATTCTACACCCTGTCCTCCCATATTGCATGGGCTTACCTTACTAGCCACACATAGTTGAGCTATTTTTTAATTGGGCGATGGGCATGGAGATGCCCTTGAAACCCAGCGGGGTTGAACACTTTCGCGTGCCTAGGCGTCAGTTTGAGATTAGGCAGCCCCTCTGGCCTTCTTTCTATATATATGCTGATCCAACGAACAGATGAAAGTCTGTACTTCGAGAGGGCCAAGTTAGACCAATACGTTCAATAACTGCCTAATAACTGCATGCTAGAATAATGTTATTATCATATGGGTCTTCCTTCTTTCTCTTAGCATTGGCTATAGTTGGCAATGCGGATTCATGTACGTGGGCCCAAGGAGAAGACCGAAACCCTGAGGGACTTCCCATTTGCGAAAAATGTGTTTCTCGGGAGGATATTTTGGCCCCTGGAATCGGATTCGATATTGCTGATTCTTACGGGACAGCTGCAATCCGGTATTTCAATGGCTCAACGGAGAATTTGGCGAAGGTAGGCAGGCCAGTGATTTCTGCGAATCTATCTGTCTCTCGATAGATATACGGTCATGTTTCATGGGGCAAGACGAGACGAAATGAGCAAAGACTAGCTGCAAAACGCTGATAATGATGTGTAGGTAGATGGAGATGAACATTACCAAGCATTCATAGGAAAGCTTGCAGCGGGCCCTCCTTCACCAGACTGGTCAGTCTCAATGCCTTATCTTATAAAAACTTTCTGAAAGATCTGATGCTTCAGCAGCTCCATGCCTAAAAGCCTCTGGGAGAAATTTCTCTGCTGGAGGCTAGGAGTGCAAAGGAAGCTGAATAAAAGCCGGGGCCTCCCAGCTACACATGACGTTGAAACCCTGGGAACCCTTTTTAAAACCCTCCGTCTGGCAGTCGACGACAAACTTGGCGATGGTTCTTGTACTCGTGTGCTTTTTGCATTCTTCCCAGTGCTTCCGGGCCTGACGTTTGAAGACTTCCATGACGCAGTTGAGTACGCGGGCCTTTCGCACATCGACTCCCCATACGGTCAGGATTACGTATCAGAGGTTTCTGCCGCCGGCGCCGCAATGGGCTACGGCATCTGTCGCAACTTCACGGATGTATACGATTGCCTGAACGAAGAGAATTCGCTGCCGTGGAGCCAAAAGCTCTTTTTAAGTTTCACAGATGCGTCATTCACGGCAGTAAATACATATTCCAGCAATGCATTTTACATCCACTGGACGTCGAAACAGGTGCATTTTGATCTGGGCTGGGGTAGTTTTCCCGTCGACGCTGGCGAGGATATGCAAAGGGACTACTGGCAACGTCTTCGTGACACCATTGTGCAGGTGGGTTTGGAATGCGAGGAGTTACCGTCGACCCTGTTACTTGTTGGCGAGCATGCGTCAAATCCTGAATTCCAAGAGACGCTCAAAGAGGCTCTACAGGACATGTTTTCAAGCCACAATGGCGATGTAGATAATTTGAGGTTGACGTTGGAAAAGGACGAAGGCGCTCTTCGCCCTGCTTCCATTGACTACGAATTCCTTGTGGCCAGGGGAGCAGCGGTGTTTGCGAAACGATCTTTGGAAGCTCTAAACTTTTGCTGGGAGCCTCCGGAGTGTGATGAAGATCGCGGCTCTCTATTCTTGGACCTGCTCAATAAGGGCTCTGCAGAGCAAGTTGTTCTGGATGGGGCTTTGTGAAATACCCTTTGATGATTTAGTTTTGGGTAATGCTTATATATATACAATGAATACAACATGAATATGTGCCAGCAACTCCTAAAGTTTACATTTTACTCAGACCTGCAATGAGTGTGTTGTGTTAATCCATTCACTAATTGGGCAAATATTAAGAATGGAATTATCCACTATCCTTTTCGTATAATGATAGATTGTGGCATATATTTATAAATATATATATATATTCAATAACCATTGTATAGTTAACACATTTGTGTATAGGGCTTTTGATTTTAGCCTGTCATTTCAAGAGAGGTGCTCTCACTATTGTACAAAGGAATGTTGAACAGAAACAAAGCCACAGAGATTGCAACAAAATGTCAAAGCACAATGCCAGGTAGCTTCAGGTAAGCCTCATGCATATTTTCATCATAATCTCGACTTGGATATAAAAGCCTGGTTGGTCGTGTACGGTAGGTAGCATCAAAAATTTATCTTGTAATTAACCGTTTGTTGGCCTAAATATATAAGCATTAGCAAAACAAGCACCAATGGAAGGCTTTCGAAGTTGCGATTATACAACCACAACGTGGGCATGGAGGAATCAGAGGCATCACTTACGGTTCTATATTAATTTTTACTGGTGTAAAAGAACTACTAATCCTACTTTCCCTCTCGTTCTGCGGCAGTATCTTCTTCGAACTGCTTTCCATCACTTTGCCGGAAACAGAGCCACCAGCACTAGCTGCAGTGTTTTTGAGCCCCTTTTGTTTCCCTTCTCTGTCCTTCCCCCCTTTGTTATCGTCCTCATCGTCATGCGCACAGCCACAGTCGTAGAAATCCCCGATCTTGCTACAGTCGAAGATATCTTTGTGTAGCATTTTGTTCACTTCATTATGGACATGACATGCCCAGGCAGCAGCAGAGGAGCGCGAAGACACTTGCGGTGGGAATTTCGCCAAATGGGTTTGGAAATGAGACGCGCATTCGCCGCTGTTATCGACAACAAATGAAGTAGTTAGCAGATGCCCATCCATTCATCGTTGGTGTTTGCGCGCAAGAGCCGCTAAGAGCATACCAGGGATACAATCTTGAAAACAGATATATATATGATCGCAGCGTTTCCTGCTGTTCGCTTGAAGGCTTGTCTGGAAATTGAGCCATCATGGTATGAAACACTTTCCAGGCTGCACGGCCCAGCTCCACCCTAAGAATACGGTTTTGTGTTAGCTAATAGTACTGTGTACACCGCCATTTTTCAACACCAGTTATCTCCCTGCTACGCATCTCTCTCAGCGCAACGGCAGGACTGTTGGATCGAAGGGCATTCATTGATTAAACATTGAATAGCAGCCACAAATCCCAACCAAAAAGCAGCATCCATAGGGCGAAACACAAATTTTTCTCACTTCGCAGTCTCATTTCCCATCTTCTCCATCACAACCGGCCCCTGCAACATCTTGTCCGTAATCTCTACATTCGGGATTGTTCTATCGAAATGGCCTGGGGCACGGGTGGCGGGAGACAATGGGGCGCTTTGCCTCAGGAATGTAAGCGTGAGGATAAGGAAAAAGCCAAGGCCAACAACAAGAAACAATCGCGAGGTCGGTCGGGCCATGTTCTAGGGTGGTGGAGGAGGAGTTGGGGCCGAGCGACTACCCACCCAATCGACCTGGACGGGGCGCGAAGGAATGGCTCACATCCAAGGCAGAGGAAAGGAAACGTGCCAAAGAGGAGATTGTTCGTCAGATAAAGAATCAGTCTTGGGGTAATCCCCTGCTATTTATCGCCCAAGCTGTTCTGTAGAGCAGCCCGCTTGCGACAACAAGTTCGAGAACTTTTAAATGTGTCTGACCCCGTTGCCTGTTTGGGTTTAGCTCCGTGGTGGATCCTTAAGTAATCACCTCTCCGCCCCGGCCAAGCAACGAAGAAACCAAGACACTTCGGCTCTACAATGCCATTTAGCTGCTGGGGAATGGATGTGGGGTGTGGAGTATTTAATCTCAATGCCACCGTTTGCCCCCCCCCCCCCCCCCCCTTTTTTTTTTTTTTTTCAATGCTGCTTTCATCAAGCATGGCCACAGACCATAGATTTAGTTAAATTTATCCAGAGCTGAGAATCTCAAGATTGTGAAGATGTGTCTGTTCTGGCAATACCTTGAATGAAATCTAAAAAACCTATTGCTTGAGGTATTGATATGACGCTGCCATATACAGCGCAACTCTCAATAAATCTTTCTACGATTAGTTGTTGAATATTTGAATATGACTAATGAAATGTAACTAACTAGTTAGTTCTCAAAGTGGTTGTTTTGTATGAGGCCAAAGGGGACACGAGGAGATTTTCGGGACACTCATCATATATGGTAAAAAAGAAGGATGATAAAAATTAGCTTATTTCAATGATGAGTGGATTGGCAATAAAATATCACAGTTTCTCGCAGGTTACTGGTTGGTGCAGGTGGCTGTTCTCTATGGCTTGTTGATTTGGAGAACCGCGCAAATGCAGCTTGTAGTTTGACGTAAATATAGTTTTGCAGAAACTGGCGGCTACAATGTCTTATAATCCACAAAGCTAGCCGCAAGCTACCCTTCGCGCGATGTGATGTCAAACTTTCAGATAGGTTGCTTGCATTGATCGGTTCCGTGGACGGGAGGCGGCTTAATTTAAGCTTTATTCAACAACAACAACATCCAATCTTCCTCCCAATCAACACGAAACTATAAAGGATAAACAAAAGTCTCTCTATACATATCAATCTAAAGAACAAGAAAAAAAAAAAAAAATCCAACTCCGGGATATGCAAAGTGATGTAAGAGACCACAATTTATGAATCGAACAAGGTAATCAGGGAAAGGTATCCAGAAAAGAAAAACAAAAAGAGATTTTGTAATCCCAATTAGACAATCGTGTCTAAAAGATAACACGGAATCTCTTGCTCGTTCTCACCCTTTCTCCGTATTTGAAGAAAAACCAGGGAATCGGCACCATTGCAAGCGCAATGAATCCCAACAAAGAATTGCCCCATCCAAGGCCCAGAACGCGGTACATCTTCAAGCCACAGAGTGGGAGAACAGCGCCGCCAAGAGAACGGAGGACGGTGTTAGCAGCCATGGCACTGGCGGAGTGCTTGGTGAATGCGTCGACGAGGTAGGTTGATCCAGTCATCTACGAAGTGGTAGACAGCTTGGTTAGAACAGAACTTTGACGATTGTTTTTTATATCGTAGGAACAGTAAAAATGGGCTGTGGGCAAGCCTAGGAGGGCTATACTTACAAATATTAAAATCATCCCCACACCCACAAACCCGGTGCCAACGATGGGTACAATATAATGCATACCTTTCTCCGCTGTCCACCCATACCAGAATAGCCCAACCGGAATGCAAATGCCCCCGGGAATCATTAGCGGGATTCGGTATTCAGGTTTCAGCTCGCCATTGTTCTTCTTTGCTAGGATCTGGAGAATATGATCTGACGTTGTTCCAATGACAACAAGACCTAGCATTGATCCCACACCAATGCCGAGAAATGCGAGTCCAGTACTTCCTAATAGGCACAGGGGGTTATTCAAGTGAATACACGAGAAGTTTTCTTTCAAAAATCACAGCTCTTGACTGAAACCGCAACAATATGTACATACCTTTGGAAAAGTGATATTGTCTCTCGAAAACGCTTGTGAAGGTGGTGAAAAGAAGATAAATGTAGCCGTAAATCACAGCAGTGAAGAGCGATATCAGAAATACAATCGGGGACATAAAGAGCATTTTTGTCGGCCTGACAATAGAGAAAAGAAAGAGTTCTTTGGTGGTTTTACCCGTGTCAAGAACGGATTTCAGGTTTAAGTTGCCAGTTTCTTTGATAAGGCGCTTCGTTTTCCGTTCCAAAAGGATAGAGTGACACGACTCAGTCATAAAAAGAAAAGTATTAAGGGTGACAGC